GGAGGCTGAAGTGGAATTTGCTGGTTCTTGTGTTCCTGGAGGGCAGTGACGGCCTCCTGATATGTTGGCAAGATGAAGAGCAAAACCACCGGGGACGTCCAAATCGATGGGTGACTCCCACAGGAAGGGATAACGGAGCCGGCAGCAAGAGTAACACGAGTTGATACGAGCTCTCGTCGAACAGAGGCTTCAACGATGGATCTTCTGGAGACTTCGTGCTCCTTGATGCCCTGGACAGCGTGAACGGAATCTAGGACTGTATGTTTGAAGGTCCGATGTATCGGAGTGTCTGAAAATGGACCGCACTAAGCTCGATGGCGAAATCATCCATAATCTGTATTGCGAGACCGATGGTACCGGCAATTCCGCGGGCAGTTCTTGGTTCTTGCGGAATGCCGGTGAATAGGGGAAGTACTCTGTCCAGCCATCCCATTGGCGTGATCGGAGTCCGCCTGAGGTCGATTGGCTCGTTACCCCATGCCGAAGGGTGACTTTCGTGTTCGTAAATGGCAATCCTGAACGTTGCTGTCATATTAGCCACGGCTTCAATGATAGACCGGTCCAGACATACGCATGGAGGTTTGCGATATCTGTTGCCAATATCGGTGTGGTGTGACCTTCGCAGACCTTGCGCGGACATAGCAACGGAGCGAATATCCGTGCTGACGAAGGTTGAAATGATGGTGTCGTTACACAAAGGCTTGCTGCAAATGTTCAAGCATTCTGGCAGATTCCACGCGCTGTAAGCTCGGGGTTTGGTAAGAGATCCAACAGACCCCTTGTTGTCCTGCTGTGGTTGTTCAATGTTGAAATGAGATCAACAAGGTTGAGATGCATTGGCAAAAAGGAAAACGAGGATTTGGAAGATTTGGAAGTTATCAACCTGAGGAAAGAACTGACGTTATCTTGAAGTAACTAACAGAGAAGGTACAGCTGGCGGTTCGCGCTTCTAGGGCAGGAAGATATATGTTCTCAGAGAGCCAGGGAAGAAAGAGCTACCCTGGCCTATGTACTCAAAGGCTGTGTTTCCTCCACTCATAAAAAATAGACTACACGTCAATAATATAGCTAAAGTAACGCTTCTTTAGTTGGGAAAAGAAAACAGCCTATAATTGCATTGTTCCCTTGGCTGCGGACAGAAAGCAAATAAACCTCTGCAGATTCACTTACACCAACGGCATGACAAAAGCATCAGCAAAACGAATAGTAAAAGACATACAACACCAGGTATTCGCTGGTCGTCACCGACCCAACTACTGATCCGGCCCTCACTGGCTTATCTATGGGAGAGCGGACGGGATCCCGAGTTTTCCAATGGGTATGGTCGTATGTGCTTGAGATCGGCGACGAACATGCTCAAGAACCTCCTCGGCCGGGGTGGCCATCAAACAACATCACAACGCGTCTTTTCTCATTGTATTGTTGAGCAGCGCATGGTAATACCCCCCCGGTGCGTCGTCCGGGTTTACGGATTTCTGTACATCCACTCTGGACCAACCCCATTAGCCTCTTCGCCTCCTTTCCTGGCAGTTGCTCCCTATACTCCCGACCCGTTCTCATGTGTTCTTCATTTGCTGTTCTATGCTATTAGACTCGTTTCTCGATAGGAGATGTCGACTCTTTGCTTGCTTCAATGTAACAATGCAGGGAGTCATAGTCTGATGTCATTAAGTGTGACCTTTGACCGCAGTGCATGCCGTATTTCATTCGCTCTGGTCCTCTCAACTTTCACCGGTGTCTCAAAATACGAAGCGAACCTGTGAATGAATCAGACTCGTAGCCAATAAATTCCTCTCTCTTTCTTTGTGTCCCATTCAACCTGGTCATCTTTGCCCGATTCTATGCGGCCTCGAGGCTTTAAGCGCTCTTGTATTACGCACCACAGACCACTTTCGAGGATTCTGTCTGATGTAACACATCGGCGGCAACTGGTATCATACCGGCATAAAAGGTGACAGCTTCCCAGGGGCATCGGTAGAGGGGTTTCATTCTCTTGAACTTTGCTTCTCGGGACTGTCGTTACCTCACCTCATCTCATCAGGGCCGGCTTCAGCAAACTAAGTCCTGAGAACTTTAGGTCTGACATAAGTCATGGCAGACCATTCGACCGAGATGAACTCTTTGTCAGCGGCAAATTCGAGTCCTGCAAACTCTCGTCTCGGGAACACGTAAGTCCGTCATATACATCAGCGGAAGAACCGTAGAACTAACCAGAGCAATACGGCAGTCGCGTGTATCTCACGAGATACGTTCCTACGCGTCGTCAAGAAGCTGAAACTCGGTCGTCATTCCATACTCAAGAAGAAGATGGCGATGAGAATGACGACGAGAATGACGATGAGGGCGATTGGATCCCGATCCCGATCGAGATCAGAAACACAGAGCGGGTGGACGTGGAAAACATCAACACCCCAGGCGCTGAAGACGAGACTGGCAGGTGGATTCATATACCCGTGAATAATATCGATATCGTTCAAGTCGTTAACGCTTTTCCCGTCCTTGGCATCTTGGTTACTAACACCTTAGTGGCAGAGATGTATAGAAGTTCTGGGTCACCGCGGTCAAGCAAGGCGGCTTCGTGACGAATGGAGTCAGAAACTTCGTCCAACGCACGTTGTGCCGTCTCATATCTGGCCCGCTCATGCTTGGAGCGTGGATCCATCCATAGAGATCGAGAGGCAACCTGTTGATTCAATGCCGGGAGTTTCAGGCCCAGCAACTGGTCTCTCAGGCTTTGTATGCATACCTTGAACTCTGGACCAAACATGTGGTTTAGTTCAATGATTCCAGGCTTTTCTGCTAACTGGTGTGCCATAGGCCCCATTCCTGAATTGGGAGCTGTTTGAGAACGTGCAGGCGGCAAGAAATCGACTTCAAGGCTCGCGGTTCTGCCATCAACGTAAAACACTCCATGAATTCTTCTACAGCAGCCTTCGAGATCTAGAAACTCAGAACTCGCAACATACGGTTGCAAAGTGGACAGGAGATGATGACAGCATGCAGATGGGGGAAGACGGTCGAGAAAGCGCAGTTCAGAACAGTTTTGTCATCATGGCAGATCAACTTTGGATCTGGTGGATAGGCAAAGGTAGGTAACACACCTTATTGGATTCATCAATTTATCTAATCTGCAATAGAAACGATAATTACTTGTTTCCCAAGCGAAGATCCCCTAATCGAGAGTACGGACACCCCGTCATCTTTAAACACCATGGCTTCAGTGTTACAGTCTCCCGATATGAGAATCTGCTACACTGCACTTGACTTGGCAACCATAATTCTTCTGCACTCTTTCATCCGCCCGTTTGTAGGAACACAGACCGGATACGGTGGTGTTCTGTCAATTTTTCGCCTAGCAGTTACCAACAAAGTAGGTCTTTTTCGACGAGATTCGCTGAGGGATAAAAATCAGGCTTACATGTTCAATTGCCGTCAAGGCTACTCGCTATAACAAATTACTCCACAGATTTTGGGGGCGAGCCAGCGGCACCTCAACTAGCAATACGTCCACGAAGTATGAAGGAATGGAGGAGCTTAAGCTTGTAGTGGAGTTGGAGGATCTCGTGGACGAGCTGACCATTCTTCTGCGGCTATTGGAGCAACAACATGATGTTATCAGGCAATTTTTGGAAAAATTGGGCATGCATCATGAAGAAACGGTTGCTCACCATCGTCTAGAAGTGGGCAGGGGAAAGATTGAACAACAGATCTCAACTATTGAGTCGCTCATTTTGGACGCGGAAAAGGTTCACGGCATGGTAAGTCTCCATTCGAAGCCTGCTGGGTTAACTCCCCTCTCCTTACTCAAGTGAACTGGAAGAGCTTATGATCTATCAGGTGCTTAGACTACTCGGACTGGAACAGAATATCGCAAGCCTTGTAGAAGCCCGGATCGCTACCAAACATGGACGAACAGTTATGTTGTTCACTATCATCACGATCATATTCGTATGTAAATCTATGCATGTGTATACATCGACTAGTGTGCTTACCTCCATAGCTGCCCTTGTCCTTCTTCACCTCATATTTTGGACAGAACGTGCGGGATTTGACCGGTGACAATGAAAATCCAACGTCGGGCGACCTTTGGAAAACAGGAGGTTCGTTCCTCACACTATTACCAAGATTATCATTCGGGCTGACATCTGACACTACACAGGCCCAATCTCCGCAGTCGTTATTGTTTTAGCTTTGGCGACATCCATATTTACGATGTATCCCGATGAATCGATCCATGGGATCTTCCAAGCTATGAAGCATGACACCCTGGTTTGGCTTAGAAGGCTCAGGAAGAAGGAGACAATACAGGACTCGAACGTTTAAGCCGCAAAGGCGCGGATTCCCATTCTAGGATACAAGGGCTGGTTATCAGACGGATACGCAGAGAGGTAGCCGGAATATAAGGATTGATGAATAGATAAGAATAATCGTTTTGACTGATTTACGTGTGCGAATTAGCTACTGATGTCCTATGCTTGTATGTGATAGATAAATACGCAAATGTTTGAGAAGGGATTTATTGTATTGTAGATTGACAGGATGGAAGAGGCAGAAGTACCGTGAGAGGTGGAAGCCGCTGAAAGCATGCATATGTTGGGCGGACGCCGGCGATAATGGCACAAGAAGCAAGAAGTACTGGCTTGGGAAACACACAGGGGGTTTGAAGGAGCACGTTTCAGAGTATTGTATCGTTGACAAACCAAAGGAGCTCAAAGATACCAATACTATGGTGGTATGGAAGGATTGGATATATCCTGTCGAGACATGCAGGCGCTTCTTTGTCCTGTACCGGTTCAATACGACCATGTATTATCCCCATGCTGAAGGTAGACAAGGCCAACCCTTTTGACGTCTTTCTCAAGCATACAGCCATATGATAAAGAACTACATCTTAAAGAGCGCCCCGACCCAAATAGGATGAGAAATTTTCCAATAGGCTTGTTCGAATAGGCTTGATCGTATGTGGCAGGGCACCCTCCCGAGATGGCCAGCAAACCACATCACAACTCGTCTTTCCTCCTCGGGCCGCTCTCAAACCTTCTTTTCTTAGTCATTCCCGCCAAGATGTCAATGATCAAGTCTGCAGCAGCCACAGAAGTCGTCTCTGCTGCTGTGTCGTATGGCGGACTGACTTCTACAACGTCTGCGCCCACCATGTTGAGACCCTCGAGGCCTTTCAGAAACCGCTTGAGTTCTCGAGTAGTCCAGCCACCCGACTCCGGCGTCCCAGTTGCCGGAGCAATGCTGGGGTCCAAAACTACACCCCGGATCTGAGTAGATGCATGACAGGCCAGCTAGGGGCGGGGCTTACCATCAATGTCGATTGACAGATACACCGGTGTATCGCCAACAGTCTTTAGAACCTTGTCAACGATGGCATTCATGCCAATATCGTCAATCTCGTGAGCTTCAATTATGGTGAAGCCTACGACGTCTCTGTCGATTACGTAGTCGTTTGGGCTCTGACATTGTCAGTCTTGTGTCTTTCGGGTGATGGGAACGTAGAATTGACGCACAAACAGCTTCGTCCTCAAGCCTCCATGAATGCTGGTTCCTTTGCTCACACATCCTTCTCGACTCGCATGCCAGAAGAAGGTACCATGGGTGATGGCTGACTGGTTTGACACGATGCCTGTGTATCCCTCATACGGATCCCATCTTGACGCGCTGTTCAGTCATGGCCATTCCTAGCAGAATTGAAACACATACGTATCGAGATGAGAGTCTAGATGTATGACAGAAACCGGCCCGTACACGGTTTTCAAGCTACGAAGAATTGGAAGAACGATGGAATGATCTCCGCCGAGGCTGATAATTCTCGGATGCTCCCAGTCATCTGCCACCATCATTAGTCACCACGACTTGATGGGCGGATCATGAAGATTACAACAACATACTCTTCTCTGACGTCTCATGGTAGAGAATCTGGCGATATGCCTGCTCCATCTGTTTGAACGCGTGGCTGGCGTCGAAAGGTGTAATGGGAACGTCGCCGCAGTCAATAATCTCAAGACCCTGATCATATGGGTCGACTTCCCAGACGGTGTTGTAGCTGCGACCTTTCTTTTCCCTCGAGGATCCAGCACGGATGCCTCTTGGGCCGAAACGAGCCCCTGGGCGATAGGAAGTCGACGTGTCGTAGGGAAACCCCAAGATTGCGATGTCAAGAGGCTGTTGAATGTCAGATATACGCTATCATCAGGTGTGAAGAGGGTGCTTGCTTTGTTGTGAGACTCAGATAGGCATCGTTGCCACTCCAGGTGAGCAAAGGTTACTGGTTGCGAAAACGGAAGATCCTTATCCAGATCTTGTCTCAATGTCAGCGAGGCCCGCAAGATGTCAGACAGAAATATTTGGTAACCTTCGATGGGATATTGGTAGTCTGGACCAACATTCAGAGCAGCGCTCTGAGTCGTCAGACTCAAGATGAGGATGTTGCTCAATCTCATTGTTGCGGTGGAATTAGCGAAGGATGACTTGGATGGGATAGTGTGACGAGGGAAAGATTAGAACCTCCTTCTAAACATTCCAAGATACGACCATGAGAAACTCGTCTTCAGATGAGGGGCTTGCATATCATTCCCCGACCTACGTCTGATGTTCTAATATGCTTATCATTCACTGCAGCCGGAGACTTCAGACCCCACTTCCCAACCGACATCTCGGGGAAAGATGCCGGCAGCGCCAAACGCTAAATGACGTAACAAGAGATAAGTCGGATTCTTCCCCTTCCGTGTATGTTTCAACATTAAGTGATTGGGTTCTCGTTCGAGGTGCTGCTGAAAGCGTGAACACTGATCCTGCTGTCGTATGGAATCTCTTGGCATACATAAAGGACCTCTCGCGGGGCTTGGATGGAAACATTCTTGAATCAGATTTAGACCATTATGTTACGACTCCACATCAGATATTATCGAAACCTATTAAGGCAGAGTATCACAACCGATATCTACGTTGGACAGAGCTAGCGTCCGGTTCTTGAGCGGCCAAGACTGTTGGGATCACGGAAGCAGAACCTGGAGAAGAAGAGGCAGCATGTTGCTGACCCAAACCAGAGGTCTTGTATGTAAATCTCACACGGTTTCTATCGCAACTCAATCCCAGACAACAGTGATTCAATTATTGAAGACATATAAAGCTAACTTTGTAGTGGGTTTGGTATGAGAGAGAGGGCCTGGTCTAAGGAGGCAGCGACTACTTGCCTCTCAAGCAAGAACAGAATCGCTACGTCTTGTGCAAACGTTCCATCTTGTTGCTTAAAGCCATCATCATCTGAAAACGGGACCTCTTATTGCTAAATATTTCGAAGTCCTCATGAACTCGGCAATTACAACCATCACATTATCCCAACAAGGAAGTCTTTAAGCTGCTTCATCATCCTTGTACACAGTCATAGGTCAACCAGCATAAACCGTGCCTAATTCGAGGAACTGCTGCAAACGAACGTTGTTCTGCACTTAATTGAATAGTTAGGGGGTACATTCTGCAGGAGATTCCACATCGGAACAACTTGAATACATCTCAAATCCTGGCCTCATGAACTGTTCGTTGCTTAAGCGGCAGCTTCGGCAGCTGCTCGACAAGCACAAATGTCTCCACAGAATTTCTCCTCGACACTGATGCTCGGGTGAAGCTGAGTGTTTCTTTTCGCAGGATAGATCTCGGCTCGAGCCTTCTTCTCGGCCTCCCAATGCTTCTCAAGGTCTTTCTTCAGGAGGCGCTTGAATGCCATCGTGCCCGATTCGCGGGTCGAGTGCAACGGACCGTTGACGAAAACGTTGTTGACAAGGTTCTTCTGGACGCCATTCATGAGGTGGTAATCCTCGATCTCGATGCCCTCGAAGAACTCTCCGGCGCGATCAAAGTGCTCTCGCGGCGAGTTCTTGTTGCGATACACCTCATACTCGGTGGTGACAGTGGTGGGAGTTTTGGGGACCACGCGCATCAGGAACCAGTACGGTGTGGAGAGATTCAGAGACGTGTTCGGGTAGTTGAACGTGAAGGCACCATTCCCGAAGAATTGAATATCTTCAGCCTTGATGTCATCTCTGTTGGGTGGGAAGTGCTCCATCCGTCCCTTATCGGGGCCCCTGGTCTCAACAGAGTAGCGATCGAGATTCGTGATCTTTGTGATGCCAGGATGAGATGCCTGGCAGTGGTAGCACTATTCAGGTCACAACGTTAATACCGTATATAATCAAGATCGGAGAATGTCTGATAATCATTCACCGCAGGCTTGCTTACCTCGTTATAGTTCTCACCGACCAGCTTCCAGTTGTAGGCACCATTTGTGGTCCAAGTGCGCTCGTAAGTGTAATCATCAAGATTGAAGTCCTTGAAGCGCTCTTGCTCGTCAGTGCCCCCATTGAGCTCTGTCCAAGGGATTGGAGTCTCCGAGGCGTCGAAGTTTACCCAGATGAGACCGAGTCTGTCGATGTGGGTGTGGATGGAAAAAAGGCTGTAATCCTCCTTGCGGAAGTCCTCGACCTCATCAAACTTGGGAGCCTTAGCCAGCTTGCCAGAGAGACCGTAAGACCAGCCTTCGAAGATAGCAATTAGTCAACGGATGTGACACAGAAAGCAAAGTAACATAGTTATGACTAACCATGGTAGCCGCAACTCAGGATCATCTTCTTGCCCTCGCGACCGTCTTTATCCCCGAGAATGGGATAGGCACGGTGGCGACAGACATTGTGGAATGCGTGGATCTCGCCCTGTCTGTCCTTGATAAGGAAGAAGTCGAAACCGGCCATCTCGAAGCGGAGGAAACTCCCAGCCTCTGGCAAACGGGAACGATGGGTGGTCATCAACCAATGCTTGGAGAAGACGGCTCGCTTCTCGAAGTCGAAGAAAGCAGGCTGGTGATACCAGGAGGCTGGCATGTTGCCCTCGGGAATCTTTAGAGGCACAGACATTGTTGACTGATGAAAGTAGGTATTCGCTTGAATCAGTTTCAAGTTTTTTAGAAGCTCTTAGATCTTCTGTGTGTATTTCGATAGTCTTCAAGGCCGGACACTCAATCAAATTCTGAAAGCGTGGGCACATGGGCCAATTTAATAGCCCGAACAACTTAATTCATAACCAAATCATGCGGACCTCATGGGCAAATAGGATGTTGTGAACTATATGTTCTGAACGATGTGAAGTACATAAGTCTACAACATCTTCGAGTTGGACTGGAAGATGAGGAGTGCAGGAGGCTAGGACAAATCTGGGAAATAAGGCTCAATCAACGCAGCGTCGTTGGTGTATCAAAATTGCCGATATGGCATGTTGATACAGCGCCCAAACCCGTCTCGTTGAAGAGCTTCTGAGCTGCGAAGAGAGCGATGCTTGCACGTGAGTATAGTTGCCTCATGTAACAAATCATAAGGAGGTAGTTACTCTCATGTTGCAGCAAGAAACGCAGAGCTCCCACCGGCTAGCCTGAAACCTTTGGGTCTCACGTTTCTTTCCTAATATGGCATTCGTCCAAATAATAACCAAGACATCAGATACCTTATCTGAACGGTCTCTCAGTAGCTTCCCCAATTGGTTTAGTTCTGCATGATTGCCAATCACAGTCTGGCTATTGAGAAAAACTCCAGGCTTCTCATTCGCCTCAGACAGGTTGTATCGATACAATCGAAGACGAAGACGCAACAGAGAAATATGAATTTGTATTTCAAGACATAGGAAAATTATACCAATTCAAGCCCCGCATTCAAATCTAAATGGTCTTTCAGCTTTTTAGGCTACGTTCCAAAAGTTTTGGTGCGGTCAATACCTCTGAGGGGCCTGGATCTATTGCATGTGAGATTCAACAGCGGTATCAGGTACCCGCTACTTTTGAGATGACTGTGGATGTCTCGCGGCCTTTCGAGAGAGCTGCAGCGTTGGCCAGTATGGTCAGCATGGTCAGCATGCACGAATGACAAGATCGAAGGGCGCCTTACGTTCAGGCAGAGACGTTTCCCCGCACCAGGCTGTGGTTGGAACTTGGCAGGTGATGAGCATCTTGACTTCATCCTAGCACCAACCATTCTCGGCGCGTTTGAGTTGAGTCAAGCCGTCTTCTTGTGACAACTCAACGATGGATATCGCACGCTTGTGTGGGGAGGACGTCGAGGTGAATTTTGCGCCTGTGCGTCCTCCGAAGAGACAAAAAACCCGTCACAATAACTACACCATCGCCTGGGTCTGCGCGTTGTACCTGGAGATGACAGCAGCTATCAGCATGCTAGACGAAGAACACGACAGTTTGCCCATGCCAAACGAAGACACGAACACCTATGTTCTAGGGAGAATCAAGCAACACAACATTGTCATCGCCTGTCTACCACTAGACGAATATGGCACAAACAATGCGGCAAACGTTATGGCCAACGTAACACGGTCCTTTCCATCCATTCGGGCGGGCTTGATGGCCGGAATCGGAGGTGGCGCACCGAGCCAGGCCGACATCCGTTTAGGGGACATCGTCGTCGGAACAAGAGTAATGCAGTGCGATTTTGGCAAAATCGTACGAGATGGCGAGATCCAACGAACGGCCATTCCAAAGTTGCCACCTTTGTTCCTCAGAACAGCTCTGTCGGCCCTGCGAGCAAAACAAGACCGTCAGAAGAACAACATACCGTCGATTATCAAGGAGAGGTTCGGCGAGAACTCAGAATACTGTCGGCCAGACTCATTAGACCTGCTTTTTCCCCCGACGTACGATCACGTCCCCTCAGGCTGCCCCGGTTGTACGTCCTGCGACCACTCGAAACTCGTACCGCGCAGCAAACGAGCAACAAACGAGCCGCATATACACTATGGTGCAATGGCTTCGGGCAATCAAGTAATGAGAAGTGCCTCTCAGCGGGACAAAATCGCCAGGGAACTAGACATTGTTTGTTTCGAGATGGAAGCAGCCGGCTTAATGGGGAATTTCCCTTGCCTTTGCATACGGGGAATTTGCGATTACTCGGACTCTCACAAGAGCAAAACGTGGCAGAAGTATGCGGCTGCAACTGCGGCGGCATATGCAACGGAGCTGCTTGCAATTTTGCCTGGCGCTACGCCTGCCTGGCACCATCATGTATCAGAACTTCATGTTGGTAAGTACTACTGCGGTGCCAAACTTAATTTTAGACCCGGACTCACACACTGTTCTAGGTCAAGAAGTCTCTCTCGAACGATTACCAGCAAAAGCTGCTAGAGACTCTCAAGTTCGACCAACTGGACTCACGGCAGTCATCCATTAAAGTTGCCCATGCCAAAACCTGCCGCTGGCTTTTGAAAAGTCGCAACTATACAGCCTGGCGCGATCCCGAAAAGCTGAAGGAACATCACGGCTTCCTATGGATTCGCGGCAAGCCAGGGTCAGGCAAGTCCACCATCATGAAATATGCCTACGCGAACATGGCTCGAGCCTGCGGAAAGCAAGCTCTCATAGCTTGCTTCTTTTTCAACGCCCGCGGCGATGAGCTAGAAAAGACAATGGAAGGGATGTACCGATCTCTACTTTTGCAGTTACTGCAGAGCTATCCCGATCTCCAATCTGGTTTGAACGCTACATGGACGGATACTACCGTCAAAGACAACAGCAATCACATGTCTCTCGATATTCTCAGAGGTTCATTCCGCGCTGCTGTCCTCAAACTCGGCAAACGCCATTTCACATGCTTTATTGATGCTCTCGATGAGTGTGACGAACAGCAAATAATGGACATAGTTCCGTCCTTCGAAGATCTGGCCGAAGAGGCAGCAGATGAAGGTATCGAGCTACGAATCTGCTTTTCCAGTCGTCACTATCCCTACCTTTCCCTTCGAAACGGGATTCAGCTGGTCTTAGAAGATCAACCAGGTCATACACAAGATTTGGCAAACTACATTCAAAGTCGTCTTCGCATCTCCGACCACTCCCTCAGTCAAGAGCTACAGACCGAACTTCTCGATAAGGCTTCAGGTGTCTTCCTTTGGCTTGTTTTGGTTGTTGACGTACTCAACACGGAGTACGCACAGGGCGGTATGGCGTTAAGAAAAAGGCTGGCAGAAATACCCGGCAGCCTGCACGATTTATTCAGGGATATGCTCAAGCGCGACAACACTAAGAGGGAAGAGCTCCGCCTCTGTGTTCTCTGGATACTCTGCGCTGAACGTCCATTGACACCTGAGGAATTCCGTCATGCTCTATGGGCTGGATTGTCACCCAGGGGCCTTGCAGACTCCGAACTCCCCGACGTCTCATCCGCTTCTACTGACAGCACAAAGACATGCGTCGTCGGTACATCAAAAGGCTTAGCGGAAATTACCAAGGCTAAGCAGCCTACAGTTCAATTCATCCATGAATCGGTTCGCGACTTTCTTCTCAAGTCTGGGGGTCTTCAGGAGGTGTGGCCAGACTTGGGATACGATTGGAAGATCCCGAGTCACGAAATTCTCAAGGAATGTTGCTCCGCGTATCTCAAGAACCAGTTGGTACGGGACCCAGTCCTGCAGCTGGATTTAGAGGCCGGTAACGCCACGACATCAGATGTCTCTCGAAGATATCCTTTCTTGTATTATGCCAGCCAGTACTCACTCTACCACGCTGACGTTGCTGCGGAGGGAATTCCTCAAGACAAGTTTCTATCGGGTCTTGTTGTCACAGAGTGGATCCGAATTCTCAATCATTTCGAAAAACATTCAGTGCGAAAATACACCACAGCTGCCAGCCTTCTCTACATTCTGGCAGACAAAGGCTGCTCAAAGCTCATTCGAACTTGGCTGAGAGATAATCCCAAGACTGAGATACGCGGAGAGCGCTACACACTGCCTTTCTTTGCTGCTGTCGCGAGCGGTAATAAGGATTCGGTTGCCGCTATCCTGGGCCTTGCTTCGATGATCCATGACGGCGTTGACGTTTTAGAAGGCCTGAGTCACAAAAAGGACGACACACGTCTCGTTGGCAGAACCCCATTTACTTGGGCTGCTCAGGAAGGTCGGATTGGAATCGTCAAATTTCTGCTTCGATGGGGAGCCAACGTCATGCTGGCGGATGATCAATCCCGCACCGCTTTATCAAGAGCAGCTGAGTGTGGCCATGAGGCTGTGGTCTCATTCCTGCTTCAGAATGGTGCAAGTCTGAGCGTTGAATCTGTTGCAGAACACAAAGCATTCCGCCAAGCTGCGCAAAATGGCCAGAAGACAGGTGTGAAGCTGTTTCTTGACCTGGGTCTGACACCAAATACACAGTACAAGTGGGAAACTGCACTTTTAAGAGCCTGCCGCTTTGGTCATAAGAATGTGGCAGAGCTTCTAATCGAACGCGGGGCTAATGTGAACAACTTATCGGGACATGAACTGGTTTCTCTGGTTGAAAAAAACGTTGCAATGGCATTTTTTCTCTTTGAGAAAGGGGCAGACATAAATGCGACTAGTAACTACTTTCTAGATACAGCACTCCACAGCGCACTCAAGAAAAAAGACACGGAAATAGCACAGCTTCTCGTTGAGAAGGGAGCTGATATTCACAAACGCAATCGGTATGGAGAAACAACCCTCTTTCGCGCGTTTGACAACAGCTTGCAAAAAATGGTAACGCTTTTGGTCGAAAAGGGTGCAGATATCAAGAGCAGCATCAGTGGTGTCTCTTTTTCAAGAATCAGTGACCAGAACGGAGTAGCTCTGAAAGACGGCGATGTGGAGTTAGCTAAGCTTCTCATCGAAGGAGGCGCAGAACTTGTGGATATGCTCAGAAACCCTCTCAGCCCGATGGATAGGGCTATGCGCGATGAACCTAAGACTGTAGCTGCACTGCTACTTTCGAATGGAGTGGATCTGGACGCTTACAACACTGAAGGGAAAACAGCTCTGATGGTAGCCTCATATTATGAACACGAGATCGGCGTGAGATTTCTCTTGAAGTCAGGAGCCGATCCGAATCGGAGTGGTGGTGATGGAATGACGGCTTTGCATGAAGCCTGCCGCAGCTTTCATGATGTCAAGAACATGGAGATTGTTACGCTTCTTGTTGAGCACGGAGCACGTGTAAATGCCATGAGTAGCAGTGGAAAGACACCGCTAGCCGAGATCAGGAGCCGGGGACTTGCATTCGCTTCTTCTCCAAAAGAGAGGGAAATTGCATATTTCCTTCGTCATAAAGGAGCTGAGGTATTATGGTAGTAGTTAATGGACATGTCAAATACATCCAAGCGAAACAGGAGAACACAGGGTGGGCAGTACTACACTATCTACATATAAGTTGCAGTTGTAACTAGGGTCGGTCAGTGATCACCGTGACCAAGTTTTTCATGAGAGGCCGTGCCCCAGCTCTTTGCAAGATCCAGGCCTCCTTCTAGAGAATTAGATAACATCATAAGATTATGGAATGATAAGAAGTCGAGTGTTAGGTTGTTTCTTCGTCAAAACCAGTGCAACGCTGTCCACGTGGTTGTTATCTGATAACTCGCCGCTACCCCGCATTTCTTGTTATCGCGATAGTCTTTGCCTGAATGGGGTAGGTAACATGAGACCACCCGGCTCAGTGGCATACGTACAACTCGTAACTCTAAACAATAACATTCGCTGGGAGGCGAACGGTCCGGATACCTTGACCCTCTCTCCAAGGATCCGTTTGATCACCGGGTCGATTTCCGACGACTTTCTGCCGCGACCTTTGCATGAGGCTCATCTTTACTTCCCAATTCGATATCACAGCAAATCGAGGGCTTACTGCGCAAGCTGGTAGGGAACAGCGGCTGAAACAAGAAGAGATGGCCCCACGAAAGCGTCCGTACCGTCCAAAGGTCAAAGGTTAGCCAAGTCTGAGCGATTTCCATCGTTGAATTACGTCACAGTGTAAGCTGATTATAGATCAGGATGTCACGAGTGCTCAAAGCGTCGCATATCTTGCGACCGAAGGGTCCCCCGGTGCGCCAAATGCTGCGCCAGGGGTCTGAAATGCAGCGGCACCGATGTCGACGTTCGGATTCGCTTCGCTGATGGAGTCAATACCCGCGGCAAGTGGGCAGGCGAGACTATTGAAAGTCTTTGTGAGAAGTAATATGTCCAGATCCGCGCATGGCTTAAGGCTCACCAGCTGACGGCTCCGATATCCAGACGCCAGAAGTCCAAGAAGACGGAGGTGATTAAACACCAACGGCAATGGTCGGACTTCACATCAAACTCTTCACATACGGCTTCCCCGGTTGGAGAATCCCGAACGGAGAGACCGAAATCTTGGGACCTTGATGACATAGGGGGCCTGGATGTTGATGCTGGTGGTTTGAGCCCAGCACGACATCCACAACCAATCGAGGGATTCGCAGCTTCCTCGATGGAGACGGATCCAGAGTCCTCATGGATTTCTCAAGATTGCTGTCAGGTGTTGACATTGTTCAGCAGCCGGGACGATCCACTATCATCCTTTCTCGGATGCCCCCTTACCAGCCCCGCCATGTGGCCTTTGACGGGGTTTCTCGGTGACGATATTCCTCCTTGGAAGAGAAAGCTGCTCTTACACTGTAAGCACCGTGAACTCGTTCTCGCCGGTCAAGTTCCTGGAGGTGGATTGATTCTAACGCCATCTAAAGACTCCGAGCATATTGCCAGCGAGATGGTGGCTATCGATGGAAGCCACAACGGTTGGCGACACATCATTCTTCCCATGGCTCACTCCGATGAGCTGGTTATGAATGCTGTCCTAGCCGTGTCGGCCTTCCATAGAGATGAGATGAAGAAGGACGGCGCTGAGTCGCAATACGCTGTCCAACAATATCATCTCGACGCGGAACCGATATACAGCCCACAAGCTCTGTACGACTTGGTCATTGACGGCTTGCGGCAACGAAGCAACTTGCCAGAATGTAGCAATGAGGCCAATCAAGCTACCCCGGTCGCTGTTCTTGTGCTACTTGTGGCGGCGATGGTGACCAGAATAGAAGACTTTTCGACCATCTTGGGCATGTTACATTCTGCAACCGATGCTCTAGGCGGCGAGCATCAGCTGGAATCAAGCGAACTCGGGAGCTTTCTGGTACGCCAACTGAGGAAGTAGGTTCTTTCTATATTTACTCGTCCTGCTCCTCTCGATACTTGAGTAAGACGGCCTGACCTTGACAACAGAAACCGGGTGTACGCCGCACCATATATAAGCGAGTTTGCGGGGGTCGAAACCCTCGCCTCCCAGTCCCGGTGGAATCAATACTTCGACTGCATCCGGTACTGTTCCCAAGGTGGGAGTCACAACGCATCCGTTGTCGCTGTCATCGCAAACATGATGCAGCAAGCTCACGATATATACCTACAAGGCGTGGCTGGAGCAAAAGCCTGGTCGATCGACAACAATTGCGGTAGAAAAGTTGAAGCGGGACTCGACGAGCGGATTGAAAGGTTCAAACAGACTTTGGAGCAGCTTCCGGAGCGCGAGCCGGGAGCCCACGTGCTTGTCTGGGCAATCTTCATAGTAGCAGCCGCCAGCTCATTGGAGAGCCACAGGGCGTTCTTTCAGGAAGCTTTGTTAAGGCATTATAGCCGTAGCAGATTTGCAAATCTGCTCAGAGGAATACGGAAGTTGCCATACATATGGGCAAAGGCGGATCAAGGGGCGAGGTGGACGGAGCTGTTACCAGAAGCAAGGTTGTTTACCATGTGAGATACCTACGCTTCTGAGCCGGTTCTATGTCATTTGCATGGGAGGATGTTTATTCAACGCTCATAATAATAACCGTTTGCAAATACTCTAATGTTTCACGATATTAGCTAGGCAATACGGAATAGCGTTCTTCGAATAGGCCCGTGACTTGACAACTTGGGAGAATATTGAAGCTCAGCATTTGCAGGGGCATCGATCCCAGTAGGAACGCCTCCTCTTCTATCTACGCAGGGTCCAAATGATAAGTCTTTTCTTCAATTTTGACCTAGAGCTACATCAGATCGCCTCGTAACACAACCTTTTACGTCCATCAAGTATTTTGATATCGGATACTTAGGCCGAAGTCGCTCAGCCGATGGTCTGTCAGTCAGGATTCCCCCGCATTTTCACCCCACCATGCAATGATGAGACCCTCGGGATAGTGGGGGAGCCCCAAGGTCTCAATCGACCTTCCCGAATAGGGCAGATCTTGGATTTGGATTTAGATTCCCGCGTTGCATTGATCCCGGTACCTTGTCCGCGATGTACAAGTCATATCTGGAGCGTACTCTGTCGGGAAAGTATTCGGAGACCACCCAGGACGAAGCCATTTGAACCTCTCGCGAGAAGATAGGACCCAGCTCCTCAGTCAGATAGACGTGGACATGATGACGTATCGGAATAGTATTAAAGTCCACAGGCTTGAGAACAACTTCTTTGCTCGGTCGCATGTAATCAGTTGTGAAACTTTGCCAGCGTTCATTGTCCTTTACGTCCCCATCCTTCCATCCCCTTCTAACATCCTAACTATTGCTCACCGCAAGCGAAATATCACACAATGTCTGGAGCTCTCGAAGGAATCTACCCTCCAGGCGTGGTCAACCCGGGCCTCCCTCGCGCCAACCCAACAAAACCCTACTGGCACATCACCCCCCACGCCTACGCCAACCACAACTCGCCATGGCCCCAAGAACCAGTCGACATCGCCATCATCGGCACCGGCATATCCGGCATGGCCCTCGCCCGGACCCTCTGCGCCAAGCGACCAGACCTGAAGATCGTCGTCCTCGAAGCCCGAAGTCTCTGCTCCGGCGCCACGGGCCGGAACGGGGGTCACATCAAGACGATGCTCTTCTCGATGTGGAACGAGCGGAAGCATCAGTTCGGCATCGAGGAGGCTATCAAGATTTCCGAGTTTGAGCAGAGTCACCTCGAGGCCATCGCCGCGGCGACGGTAGAGGATGGCGCTGATTGCGATCTGGTCCGGACAACTGGTGTCGAGGCGTACTACGACCAAGCTGTTTTCGAGCAAGATCTGAAGGCTCTCGAGGATATCCGCGTCCACGCTCCGCATCTAGCTGCTTTACATACCGTTCACACCGACAGAGACGTACTACAGCACCAGATGAAGTTATCAAAGCGCTGCGTCGGAGCCATCACCATCCCCGCGGGCTCCGTATGGCCTTACAAATGGATCTCCAAGGTCTGGGAGAACCTCATCGACGGAAACCGCATCAACATGCAGACCAACACCGCCGTCGAGGCCATCGAGGACCGCGACGGAGCGGAGTTCGCCACGGTCAAGACGAAGCGCGGCATCGTCAAGGCAAGAAAGGTCGTCCACGCCACCAACGCCTGGATGGGCTACCTCCTCCCGGAGATGCAGCCCTTCGTGTCCCCGGTCCGAGTGAACGTGATCCATTGGGCGGCCGACGACAAGGGCCAGTCTCTCCTCGGTACGGTCCCCGAATACTCCATCTGGTATCGCTACGGGCGCAAAGATTACGACTACCTGATCCAGCGAGAGGACGGCGGGATCGTCACGGGACGCGCCTGTACGGGACGTACCGTAACCGGCGACGACACTGTGACGGACCTAGCACCACATGCGCACCTTCGCGGCTTCCCGTTCGAGGCGATTGCGAACCCGAAGGCGGACGCTGCCACGAGTATCGACTGTGCTTGGTCAGGCATCGTCAGTTTCACGCAGGATGGTCTCCCCTTCATTGGGGATCTTCCTTTCGAGGGTCGCAGTCATCAGTTTGTATGCGGCGCGTATCATGCTACTGGTATGGTTAAGGCGTTTCGGTCTAGCCAGGCTGCTGCGTCGCTGCTTTTGGGAGAGGAGCTTCCGAAAGACTTCCCGATGTCGTTGCTGTTGACTGAGGAGCGGGTTCGAGAGCTTCGGAATTCTCTGGATCGTGGCAATTATCCCTGCTACTGGGCAGTTGCAAAGATGTAAAGTACTAGAGTATGTATCAATCAGCGTATGTTTATCAGCATTCGAATAGCACTTGCCTAACTTGGATCCGATCGCGGGCAATGCTAGCGTCCAAATTCCTCACATTACCTTGTCAGCCCAGGCGTTTTGTAAGAGAAATTCATGTCATTGGTATCTCTATACGGGAGCAAAACAACTCAGATGATTCACCTAGCTCACAAGTGCATTTAGGGCTCATCTCTCACAGCAATATCTTTGAGCCTCAGCTTCAGTCATCGTAGTACTCCTCCAGCTCCTCCTCATATTCCTCCCTCGCCTCACGCAACGACTCGCGATCGCTGCTGCTAGCATCAGATCCATGCGCGCTCGCAAGCTCCTCTTCATACTCCCTTCTCGCCTCACGAAGCGATTCCCGGTCACTCTCGTCGCGGTCGTACTCGCGATAGCGGTGCTCGGATCCGGAGTCGCTTCCTCGCTCGTGTCTTTCATGGTGCTCGTGATCACTGTCCGAGTCGGAATCTGTAATGTGTCAGCTTGGTGCCCATTAACAAAGGAAAGTACATCGTACCTAAAGCGTTGGCGATCAGCGCTCCTCCTATCGCACCGACAGCGAGACCACCCGCCACACCAAGCAGCATGTTACTGCTACTGCTGTTCTTCTTTTTCTTCTTCTTTTCCTCGCCGCTGTATCCCTGCTCGTAGGGGTTGTTGTTGTTGTACTGCTGCTGTCCGTACGGATGCTGCTGAGGCTGGCCGTACGGCGATCCTTGAGGTTGACCATACGGAGATCCTGCGCCATACGGCGACCCATGAGGCTGTCCATAAGGTGATGCTTGGGGTTGCCCGTACGGTGATCCCTGCGGTTGGCCGTAGCCTTGGTGACCGTAAGACTGATTCGGGTCATGGTACCGTTGCTGCTGTTGAGGCTGACTCTGTTCATAGTTGTGGCCGGCGTAGTATCCCGCGGCAGCACCCGCCACCGCACCAGCCGCCGCAGCTCCCGCGGCGTACTCTCCAGGCGAAGGTCCTCCGTGTCCCGGCTGAGGTGAGTGGCCGCCATATCCGGGCTGTGGAGAGTGTCCCCCGTACCTATCTCCGTACCCTCCATAGCCAGGCTCCTGCGGCGGCGGCGAAACAACAGGGGATGGCGGGGCAGGCGGCTCCCACTGAGACGAGCCATGCGGGCTAACATAGTACCACCGGCGACTTGACTCGTCAAACCTCTTCACCCAGCCCTCCGGTAGACGTGGCGAGGGCGGTCGTCCGTAACCGTGCTCAGGCGGCCGGTACGGGCTCGCGCTGTCGCCATACCGCTGGTGCTCCGGTCGCGGTGAGTCGGCGGGGTACGGGCTAGACTGGTCGCCGTAGCGATGCTCGGGTCGAGGTGAGTCCGTGGGATACGGAGCGTGAGCGGCTCCGTAGGTGCCAGCGGCCGTGGCAGAGAAATCGCCCGCGCCATAAGGAACCGCTCTCTCCGGATCGGCGGTGCCGTATGCGTCAGGATGCTCGCGCTTGTACTCGTCGGCGCCGTTCTGCGGACCGCCAGCATAGCCGGTGGGAGGGCGACCGTCGTAGCCGCCGGCGTGAGTGCCGTGATTGCTGTACCCAAAGTCCTTAGAACCTGCCGAATCGTTAGTGTTTGTCAGGTCACGGTGTTGGGTGAGGGGCTTATCATCTTACCGTACTCGTGCTGGATCTCGGGGTCGTCGGGGATGGTGAAGCCGCCGAGCTGCGACGCCAGCTTAGCGACGTCGAAGTTTCCGAATAGCGACATCTTCCTTCGTGCTTTGATGTGTGGTTGCGGTAATGACAGTCGAAAAGTTGGGAATCGGAAGAGCAGTCGTTGTCCGACGACGATGCGAGGTGTCGCGGGGTCAAGTGACGATGGCGAGAGGTACGAGTTGGGCCACGAGGGACAAAAAATCAGATGCGCGCACGAAAAAAAAGAGGCCAACCACGCAAAAGACCCGCGTGCCGGAGGATTCGTAATGGGCTTGCTTGGGGGAGCTGCAGGTCGCAGTCGTACTGCACGTCAGATTGGTTCTTGTGGGCGACGATGTGATGTGTTCTCGGTAGCTCGGGAAGGCGGCAGCTGGGCATTTGTTTACCTTAATTTCTGGGACCCCTCCTCCTGCCTGTTATGTCACTCAATGTTTTGGAGGGGCACGAGGAGGGGAAAACATTTGGTTTTTTTTTTTCCGCCATCGCATTCACACTTCCCCATCCGCTACCTTGCCTACCTTGGGTGAGGCAAGGGTACATTAACAGTGACATTTCAGCTGAGAGGACCCCCACGTTTTGCAGCCATCGTCTGAACTTGGGTTGATCGCGGGACGACCCGCCCATACCATAGGGCTGAATCGAGCCATTCATTCCTGTTGAGACCGTGAGATGAGACGGCAATGGAATGAGTCCAGGACAAAATTCATGGGCCATATGATCCTGTCATATCGGCGCGCTCAAATCCCTCTCGCATCTTGTTACAAGAGGCCAGCATCATGAGTCGACTGGTGAGGTGAGATCCGACCCAACTATGTATGAGTGGTGCGCAATGAACTAATTTATCAACTTTCTCCTCGCTTTCTCGCTTCTCACAAGTTGAGGGGCGATCGAACTTCATGGAGTGCCTGTTTTGAGTGCGAGAGGGACATCTCACCGATAAATTCGACCTTCATTCAGTTCAATGGCATGAGTCGTCACTCGCCTTCTCACCTCGTCGCCACTTTTCATCGAACTATGCGGCCAAGTAGACAGGTAGTGATCCCAAATCATATCCAAGACTCTCAAGGCAAAAGGTCCCTCATGGCCACCGCTCTTTCCTCGCAATCATGCCTGATGGGCGACCATCAATATTATTACAATAATTCAACAAAAATAACGCCCTCTATTCATCATGCTCCAAAGTCCCCGCCCTCACCCGAGACCTCCACCTCCCACTCCTCCCCCTCTCCGTCACCCCATCCTCGTCCTTCTCGTCAAGCCGATCCAACCCCTCAATCAAGTCAGCCACATCAGGAGGCGGCCTCGTCTCAAAAACAGCCTGAATATCCCCGTGCGGCGAGAACCCCGAAAACTGCCGCCACCCAAGCAGCCCGTTCCTCGTCCTCCTTCCCCTCTGCCTCCTCGAAAACTGTCGCCTCTCGTACAGACTAATCACCAACAGCGTCGGTAGATTCAGCACCCGCACCAGCGCGACATTCACCCTGTGAAACGTCTCCGCGCTCACCGCGAACCGCAGCGGCAGCAGCGTCGCCAACGCGAAGACGTTGAACGGCGGCGGGTACGCGAATATCGCGTCGCTCTTGACCCCCTCGAACGTCAGCACCGCCCTCCGGAACTGCACCTCGGCCGTCTCGTCCGCGATGATCTTGGAGAAGGTGTTGGTCAGCATCGCGACGAGGATCGTCAGGAACAGCGTGTTGCCCAGGAACGCGAACCCGATCATGAGCGCGGGCCCCAGCGCCACGTGGAACTGCACGCTCTCCTCGATGCCCGTCCCGTCCAGCCCGAACCAGATCCAGAGCATCCACTTGCAGATGGTGAACCACGAGGGCGTCTCGTTCGGGTTGTCGTTGGAGTCGATCAGCCACTGCAGCGCGAGCAGGAAGCCCATGAAGCACCAGCACGCGAGCAGCGAGAGCAGCATGAAGTCCTTCATCATGGCGTGCAGCGAGATGAGCACGATGTTGTCGGGGGCGATGTTGAAGGCCGCGCGCGTGAGCAGGATCGGCGCCGCGAGCGGCAGCACGTGCAGCCCGTGGCCGTCCGGGAAGCGGCCGGCCGCGACGTCGAAGACGCGCGCGACGACGTAGGCGCCGTAGATGAAGGAGAAGGTGACGTCGAGCCAGCTCCAGAGGTTCTGCGCGTGCACCTCCCAGCCGTGCTCGACGATGGCCGCGAGCTCGTCCAGGACCCAGCCCGCGGCGTAGATGCAGAAGAGGAACTCGAACACCTCGTTGCTGCTGCGCCGGTACAGCATCGCGAGGAAGTACAGGACCATGAGGATCAGGAACTGGATGAACTCGATCAGGTTGCGCGACCGCGGCACGATGAGGCGGTAGTGGTTCAGGATCGGCGCCTTGCGGGGGTCGTAGAGCGAGATGGGGTGGTACTTGTAGTGGTCCGGGAGGATGTCGACGAAGGAGAGCGGCGTGTAGATCACCCGCCCCTCGTAGACGGCGTTCACGACCCTCTGGCAGCCCGCGGAGCTGATGAAGGTCTTGCTCTCCGAGAGGATGGCCAGCTCGAGCGCCGTCAGCTTGCGTTCCAGGCCGCCGCGTTCCTGCACCGCCCACTGTCTCCGACCCTCGAACTCGACGGCCTCGGGGGCGCCCTGGAAGGGGTCGAAGCCGCCGACGAGGATGTGCGAGAGGAAGAGCAGGCCCTGGGATCCGGGATTGTCTTCGTGGAAGCGGCGGAGGGTGCGGGTTGCGACGAGTTCGCAGAGGGTTGCGCGAGCTATGTTGACGGGTTGATGCACCGTTGTTGCTTGTTGGCGGAGGAAGTAGAGGCGGTTTGCGAGGAGGCAGTAGACTGTGGCCGTGTCAGTGAGTGAGCTGGGATGAGAGAGGGTATGAGTACCTATTGTGATGTCCTTCGGGTTGTAAAGTCTATCGACGAGAGGTCTGACGATGAGGACGTTGAGTCGAGGGTCGCTCAGTTGATCGAGTGTGTAAGGATCATCTTGACGGTCAGTCTTCATCACAGTATCATATCCACGGAGACTTACCGATGCTCGCGATGATCAGTCGTCGCACACTATCTCATTCGGTCAGCACACTCTCACACCATCTCAACTCTCCCTGAGACCTACCGGTGCATCGACACATAGATGGGCAACGCCTTTTCCTCTTCAACCCCTTCCCCCTCATCCCCGAGACAAGCCTCCGTCTCGGAGCCGCCCGCAGCACCAGGCCCGTCCTCGTCTTCATCATCCAGCAACCGCGGACTCAGCTTCGGCCGCTCCTCCCGCGGCGACCACAACTTGTCCTCGTCCATCTGCTCCGACCGTCTCATATCCGGCTTCAGGGTCCGTCTACGTCGCAAGTACATTCACGTCAGGATGCGCCATGGAAAGAGTAGAATTGGCGATTTCTAAAAAAGCATGAGAACGACAAAGGACGGAAGAGAGAGACACACACAACACGATCGTCGTTCACAGCCTCCGCCAGAGTGTCCTCCCGCGTAATAAGTGAACACCCGGCATCCGTACCCAGACGCGAGGTAGGCATCCTTTTAGTCATGGAAATCTTGGCGGGCCCTCGTTACCGGCGATGGCCCAAGGATCGGGGGCAGAAACCATTAGGTAACCGCGACTCGTGGCACGCGCATAATTACCCCTGAGAACTGAGTGTTTGCGAGGTTGCTTCTGGGTACTTACATTGCCGTGGGCAAACACAGCAAAGTGGCCGGCTATCCGAGATGCCAGAGCTGGCGTAATGGCGTACGCATACTTGAGCCGCGTGGGAAGCGTAAAGATGTTGTTGTCACATCGTGACGCAGGGTAGGTAGTGACGCCGCAGAAGGCCAGTATCTTCACATATTCCCCGAAAATGATGGATAGCAACGGAGCGACCAGGAACACAGTTTCGAAATCGCGAGTATACATCCCAATTCAAATATAAGTTGATGCCATATCGTATCTCAAGATTGCCCGTCCCTAGGTATGTAATGAGAGCCAAGATCAGGGAAGCTCTCGGGAATTATTGAAGCTCGGCGTCTCGGAGTACGTACTTTCATCGGAAAAGCAAAAGGCCGATCTAATCCTGACCATCTGGCACCAGCGGGCGGACCCAACCACCGCGGGGTCCTATCGATAGGTAGCCAAGCTCCATCACACCCATCACCATCACCAGCAACGCAACGTCATCCAGGCACCAACACCGAACCAACCTAAACATCAAAACCCAACTACTTCCACCTCCCGACGAACGACGAACCTCTCCCGCGCACACATCTTGAACACAACACCATCCCCCCAAAAAATATGAACCGCCTCTTCGGCAGCGCCCCGAAAGGGCCGAAACCGACCCTAAACAGCGCAATAGGCAACATCGACGAGCGCATCTCCTCCATCGACGTAAAACTCTCCTCCCTGACCGCCGAACTGCAAACCTACCAGTCCAAGCTGTCCAAGATGCGCGACGGCCCCGGCAAGAACGCCATCAAGCAAAAGGCCCTGAAAGTCCTGCAGCGCCGCAAGATGTACGAGTCGCAGCGCGACCAGCTCCAGTCCCAGGTCTGGAACATGGAGCAGGCCCAGACCATGCAGGACAACCTCAAGAACACCATGGCCACCGTCGACGCCCTCAAGACCACCAACAAGGAGCTCAAGAAGCAGTACGGCAAGGTCGATATCGACAAGATCGAGAGGCTGCAGGACGAGATGGCCGACCTGATGGACATCGGGAACGACATCCAGGAGAGCCTCGCGCGGTCGTACGACGTGCCGGAGGATGTGGACGAGGCCGAGCTGGATGCCGAGCTGGAGGCGCTCGGGATGGAGGCCGAGTTGGAGCCGGAGCTGGGGGCCGGGTTGCCGAGTTTCATGCAGGAGGAGTTGCCCGAGTTCGTGGACGAGGAGCCGGCGAAGGAGGGGGCCAAGGTCAAGGAGGCTGCCGGGTAGATCAGGTGATGTTCGACGACGGAGTTGGCGGCGTACATGGCGGCACTTTGCGGGGATAGCATGGTTAATGGATTACACTTGAAATTTACACTATCGCCTCAACGCCGGTGCGTCCTACGGGAGAACCCCGACAGAGATCCTCTACGCTATGCCTGTGATGCTATTCTCACATCTAATCTACCGTCGCGAAGAAACGCGCGACGCTCTCCAGCTCCTTGTCGCCGTTGCAGAAATCCCATCCGACAATCACACTAGTCTGGCTACAACAGATGATCCTGCGGGCGTCGTACTGCAGCTTGAATACCCTCGCCGGCCCGTTGTCGTTTGCTACACGCGGGTGGTGGCCGGCTTCTGGCACTTGTTGAGCTCCCTGTCCCGGTACAGGTTGCGCCTGCGTCTGGACGGGAGCGCCGGGTTGCGTCGGCTGGGCCTGGGCCGGAGCTTGCGCCGGAGCCGCTGCCTCGGTCTGGGCTTGCTGCTCGGGCGCTTGGCCCTGGATATGCAAGTGTCCCTGGACAGAAGGCGAAGCTGTCTGCGACGCAGAGGGACCGACCGACCGTTGAGGAATGGGTGTGGGAGTGCCGGTACGCATTTGTTCGAGGTTGGCGGCCGTAGTATGCGGGGCGTGCTGCCGTCTTGGCCTTCCGCCGGAGGGCGGCGCCTCGTCCGTCGTCGTCGAACGGTGATGGGGAAGGGTCGGATCTTGTCCGTTGGCTGCGGCAAGCGCGGTAAGGGAAGGCAGAGTAGGCGGGACAAGGGTGCCCGGCGTCTCCCCGTTGGCCGCCTGACGAGCACGAGCTTGGGAAATGGATGTCTCTATCTGGGAGCTGTTCAAAATAACCCGCAGCTCGTTCCTCGTCCTCGGGTTCGGTTCTCGAGCGATAACATTTTGGATGTGTGTGACGTGTGAGAGCGCGGCAGGGTAGTCTCTCAGCATGGCTCGAAGAGCTGTAGGCCCTTGAGGCACGGTGATGTCGATCAACGTAGTGATGTTTTGCACAGCGTCTGGGGCGGTCGCGGCGTCCGGCGTCAACCGCGTAGCATCGGCGGCTGCATTTGCTTCCGTCCGGACTGCTGTGTTTGAGGCTGCGCCTGCTTGGGCTGGGCCTGTATGGGTCGCAGCGGCTCGAGCTGCGGCCTGCGCCTGACTCTGCGCGGCGGACGATGCCTCTTCCTGGCGGAGATGGTGCGCGTCCTTCCAAACGCCCTCCTTATCGCGACGCCAGATGATGATGGACTGATCATAAGAACCGGATACGATGCGCGCATATTTGCCGCCACCGCCGCCGGGAGGAAGACTAGCGCCGTACGCCGTGATATCCTCCGGTTTGCTGCTGCCGGCGTTTCTAGGCCGGCTGCGACGGCTGCCCTGTTCGGTGAAGGGGCTGATTTTCCCCTCCTCTATCGCCTTGAAATATTCGTTGTCGACCCTCTTGGCCTGAATCTTGTCCTCCTCCTCACTATACGGGAGATCTCCGAAGCCGGCCTGGATCGTCCGCACAAGATTTGTGTGGGCTCGCAGGCTGGCCACCTCAAGGCCACTGGCTCTATCAAATACCTTGACCTCGTTGTCACTGCTGCCGCTGACAATTCTCCGACCATCGTACTGCACGCAAGCTATGCCCTTGCTATGGCCAACGACAGTCCGGATGCAGATCTGCTTGGCCCAGTCCCAGACTTTGATGTTGCGGTCGCCGCTGGCGGAGACGACCTCGTCGTTGCAAATCTGCACAGCGTTTACGGCAGCACCATGCCCATCCAAGACTCCAATCATGGTGTACGCGGGCTTGATCGGCAACTGATCCATTGGGTTGATGTAACCGTAATCGCGAAGGTGGGTCGGAACGGAGTAGATGATCTCGGCGTCGCCATATCCGGCGTCGCCGTACTTGAGTGGTCTGCGGTTGAAAATCTTGATGGACTTGTCCTTGGAGCAGGTCACCAAGATGCGCTTGTCGAACTTGACGTTGAGCACGGATTCCGTGTGCGCATTCGAGAGTCGCTGAATGATCTCTCCCGTCGAGAAACGCCAGAGGATAACGTCTGAATCACTGCTGCCGGACACAATCAGGTCCTCCTCCGGGCTTGAATCGAATTGCAAGCACAGGACGGATCCGTTATGTCCGACGAGTGGCTTTCTGAGCAAGCGTTGATTGTACATGCTCCAAATGCGGATGGTCCAGTCTCGGCTGCCGCTCACGAGGTACTCTGTGTCGTACTGCAAGCTGTAGATGCACTCGTTGTGACCTTCTTGGGGGTAGTCGGGGTGAGGGAACTGAAAGTTGGTGAATTTTCCGAGCTCCCAGTTTCTCTCGAGTCGTCGACGCATGGTGTAAAGATACTTCCAGTTCAGCCTGTATCCCGAACTGGAGCCGTCCCACGACCAGAGCTCCGACTGTGGGATATTGATCTTGCTCGAACGATTGGGCGGGGCGTTGGACGGAAGGGGTTCCTCTTTGCCCAGGGCCGTCCTAAGCAAGGGTGACGCCTTACCTTTGCCCTTGAAATCGAACCTGTCTGCGCTCCAGCTCTTGGAACCCGACGCCGAACGATCGACGTCCATATCGCCCGGCTGGGGGGTAGCGGAGCTTCGGCCAAAACCGGTGAAGGAGGATGCCGGGCTGCCAAAGATGCTGTTGTTGGAAGCGAAGGAGTCCTCGGTCTTGAGGGGACGATCGGCGTCCGTCATCTCCAGGTCGTCATCCTCGGATATAGCGCGTTTCTTGTAGGTGTGGCCATCCTCGGAGGATCTAACCCTGTGGATGGTGTTGGAGTTTAGACGCTCGGTGCACTGGTTCTTCTGTTCCTCCCATTTCTTGATCTCGGGATAGATGGCTTGCCAGCCCTCCATATGGTATAGCCTCTCCCAGAGCTTCCTGTCGAGGGCCAGATCGTGCCAGGCATGGCAGGACTGGGCGACGTTGATGAGGGATAGGGGGTCGAGGAAGCCAAGGATCTTAAGGCAGACTTCCGGGGGCAGGTAGCTGACGAAGTCGATGTATAGGCGGGGGTTGATGTGCTTGAAGACTTGGATGACGAGAGAGGTCGGGAGTGAATCGAGAAGACCGTTTACGAGTCCTGCGCGAAAGCATGGTCAGCCGCGATCAACAAATTTGACGGGTAGTGCGCAAGGCTTACTGTATTTCTCGTCTTTCGTCCAGCCCTGCTTCTCAATCCAGGCGGCCACCAAGTCAGGAGGAGGGACCATGGCGCCCGCGTGGGCAGCAGTCATGGAGGTATCCTGGGCGCCATTGAAGCTCGGGTTGAGAGGGTCCTCGGAGTAGCCCTCGTCGGGCTCTTGCGAGGAGAATGTAGCCATTTCGGTAGGCAATGCAGGAGGTTTATCGAAGCAGGTTGAAGTCGTCGCACGGGCGGCGTGGTGGCTTTAACTCTATTCAGGAGTGTTTCCGTTGTCGCAGTGCCATCCGGACGGAAGAGGCTGAAGGGCTCGTGCTTCTACGGAAGAGCAGGGGATAGATAGATTGGTCTTGTCTCTGGGTTCGCGACAACGACAAGGCAGTCGGCGAGGCAAGATTGGGGCGCGAACTGCTGCTGACGATGCGATGTCAGACCGCGTGACGTAAATGCGACGGGTGGCCTTTGTGTGGATGGTCGGTAGTGATGCGTCTGTTGTTGTACCCAAACCCCAAAAAAGGAGGGGAACAAAACAAGAAATGCCGTTGGATGGATGGATGGAAGGCTTGATGCGTTCGAGAAACCTGTCTGCGGGAAAAGAAAAAGGAGAAGATGAGATGGGACGGAACGGGAAGTCAGGTTTGTTGGATGATTGTTTGTTGGTTTGGTTGGTGGGAAGGGCGTTGGCAGGTTGGCAGCGGCAGCAAGTGGTTGAATGTCGCAGCTCAGGTAAGGTAGGTAGGTCTGGGGGAGCTGGGCTGGTTGGTGTCTCTGGAGTTGCAGTCGCAGCCTGTTTCTGGTTTGGTCTGGATTTATTGGGGAGAAATGGAGGAGGGTGGACGGGGAAGGGGAAGGGGAAGGGGATAAGACGGGGGGAACGAGCAAGAGGGGTTCATTCCCGGAAACAATGCGATGCAACGCAAACAATGCAATTGAATTGGAGCCTGGAGGCAGCAGGAATCTGGAAGTGAGGTGGCGCCGGATTCAACGGCCCGGGGGATCACAGTCGACGGGAAGCAGCAGTAGCACCCGCGACATCGAGAGAGGGAAAAGCCGGGGGCGCTATTCAGCAACGGGCGGCGAAAAGCGACGACGAGAACAGGAATGTGACGGCAAGAAACAGGCAAACAGGGCATCGCCCGGCGCGAAGGCGAAAGGTCCACCGGTGAGTCCACAAAACCCTGAACACCGGGGCCGGGAGGCGAATCGGCGGCAACATCGGAGCTGGCCCGGTGCGCTGTGGCTGCCATGAGCCTTAGGTCGGGTTCATATGAGAGACAATCAAACCTCAATGTCACGGCTCTAATCAAGCGTCTTGATGAGTCGCCGTCCATCTCATAAGTTCACATCCTAGCCGTCAAAAACTCAACACACAACACATTACTCACTCATCCCGGATGTGAGCCGCTCACCGGTCACCACGGGAGACGATCATATCACTCAGGTGGAGACTCACGGTGGAGTGCGCCACATGATGAGCATGAGAGCGGAATCAACGGCGGTCAGAACTCGAGATGCTATCCGCTCTTCGTCCAAGTTTTGTATGCATTTCTGTGAGCAATGTGATGCTGCACAAAATCGGGGTTATCCCTACTTCATTCTATCTAGAGAAACTCACATTCCACAGTAAACAAAGGTGAGGTCTTAAACTCAATCACCCACGAATTGATTAGTGAGATGGCATTTTTATGCCAGGGTAGCTAAATAAAAAGCTAGTCATCTTGCTAGTGATAAGTTTAACTGACGGCCGCTAATGATCAAGATCTTCTCCCGCCCAAGATTACCTTTCCCTCCGCATTCCAACACCATGTCACATACCTCCTCAAAACACCCCAATCACTACGATTCTCATCCTGCATGCCGTGAAGCTTGCTCCGATCACCCGCTCAGCAGCGTTGGTTCATCACATATCACCAGTGTCTCAATCTCACTTGGCTCAGTTCGAAGCTTCATTCCTTCCGCATCGTCGCCGCCGTTCTGGGCTAACCGCCCAGCGAATCTCACTCGCCAACGTTTCACGATCTTCCAGTCACATGATGCCGGCCAATCTGTCAATCCCAACGTAGCACGAGTGTGTCGCAGAGCTCCGAAGCGGGTCAGCTGGGGTTTTTGACGTAGAGGGTGCAGCTGCCAGACGCCATGATCTGCATGTCGCTTCCGAGACCGACGGAGCACTCACTCCTCTTGCTGTTCACTGCCCAAGGCTTCCCTGACTTCGTTGAAACTTTCCAGTCGCCCGTCAATGACACGGGCAATACAGCAACGGTTCGCCTGGGTCAACCGTTTCCCGTCTCGGACAGAGTAGTCGTGCTGGGATAGGCCCTCCACAGACGCCGGCGCCTGACTGGCCATGGTTTACAGCTGAGAGATACCATTAGAGCCAGGACGCTTCGAGGCAGAGCAAGCGACACGATCTTCATGATATCTTCTTTTCCTAAGCCGACGTCTCGGATGGATGAGGATAATATGAAGCAGGTCCCTTTCAGAAGACTTGCGTGCCGCAACCGCTTAACTCATCTCGGACAAATGTGCCTCTCAAAGTGCTCTTGCAAGCACAGTCTACGCTGCCAATATTACTTCTCCTATCCCCTTCAGTGTTATTACGATAATATGAAATGTGCAAATATCCACTTGTTGGTTAATTACTCAGAGAACGCACGATGCAACTCCCTACTCATCCCACACAGCAGTCACCACCTCGCCAACACCATCAACATGCGCAAGAAAAGGTCCCAACACCCCCGTCGACACATTCCTCGCCAGGATCGCCACCCGATACGAGTACTGCAGACTAACGGCGACCAGATCTCCAGCCTTGTTCATCTTGAAGTGACGCGGCCAGATCCCGCCCGCAGGCGCGAGCTGCACGAACTCCAGCGCCCCGTCGTCCGCCGGCTTGAACACCGCGAGCGAGTCCGACGCCTCGGCCGTCCGGTTGGCCGGGTCGAGGTTCGGGATGCTGAAGGACGAGTCGTTGCGGTTCGAGACCATGATGAATCTGTTATCGGGCTGGTTCGTTCAGCAAATAAGGCTGTGGGCTTTTGTGTGCGGAGGATTCACGGGGGAGGGTTTTGGATGATTGACGTACCGATACCTCGATCTCGGCCCCGATCCCGTTCGGCGCGGCGGGCTCCGTGCCGTACGCGCTCACGACGCCGACATTCGCAAAGGCGATTCTCCCGGCAGCGGGATACGTCACGCGGAACGAAGTGACGGTGCTGTCCAGCTCCGAGAGGACGTGGAAGTACAGAGGGCCATCTCCGCCGGAGGAGCTCCGGGACGGAGCCCAGAAGAGCCCGTGACGCGGACCGGAGCCGGTAGGCGTCGGAAACTGGTCGACCTGCGTGAGGAGGTTCGTCTGCTGGTCGAATGTGTATACGCGGAGGATGTCGCCCCCGAGGTCCGGCACCACGATGAACTTGCCCGTCGGATCCACGATGGCGTCGTGCGGATGAGATACGTTCTGCGAGGGCCTGGGCCCGGTGGGTGAGTTGTAGATGAGGGTCTGGATCAAACTTAGGTTTCCATTCGGTGGCGCGTTCCATGCTGTGACGGCGCTACCGGCACTATGGACACGACAGTCAGTCTCTTGTCTGCGTTGGAAGACCTTTGAGTGAGGACCACTGACTAGTGGGCGAGTATCAAGCCGCGGTTCTCATTAGTGTTATAAAACGCGCTGCTGACCGGTCCAAGAGTCGTATTCACCCTCGCGATCCGCCTCAGCGCCCCGTCCCCGGACACGGCAAAGGTGTTCGCCGTGCCGCTTCTGTCCAGGCAGTACAACACGCGATTGGGAACGTCGAGATCCAACCAGACGGCCTGCGGACCGCCTTGGTCAGTAACGTGCGTCTTTTCTAGGGCGTACTTGCCGCGGCTGTCGGAGGTGAGCCTCAGCGAGGTGAGGTTGCCGTCGTTGGCGCCGGCGTAGAGATTCACCGCCGTGACGGAGGCATGCGCCAGTTGAGACATGGCTAACAACAACCGTGACGGTATCATGCTTCTGGAGGGCTTATTACGCAAAAGGCAGCTTCTCCTTCATTAGGCCGTGTAGGTTGTTCACACATGCTATCCTAGAGCGGGCTCGTTCGGGGGTTTGCGCGTCTGGGTGATTTATACACGAGTGTCAGGTCAAAATACAACGTCGTCGACCCTGCCGAGAAAGACAAGGCGGATGTAATGCCAACCCGGAAAAGTCGCGATTGCAATACCCTCAAGCTGCAAAGAGCTGACGCGGTACGATACCCGCGGCGTCTTCGGCCGGATCAGCAGACTACAGTCATCCACTCAACTCTGCAAGACCAACAACCTTTGATCGGCAGAGAGTTGTGGTGCAATTATCCTCCTCCGATGACATGCATGACCGTGTTCTAGAAGAAAGCATACCATGAGCTACTCCGTCGAACCTGGAAACAGACTGCCACTACATTCTCGAACCGGGGCCGTGACGTTGGCGGGGGCGGCACGGCGGCTGAAGCGGATGAGCCCTCCGCAGAGACAGCGGGAAAGCAAGGTTTAGCGCACGGCAGGCAGACTTGGCAAATGTCAGCATCCGGGGCGGACTTAGATAGTACACGGGTCGTGTTTAACTCCGGGAGAGTTCGACGTCAAAAGTCAAAGTTCGATCAGAGACCGCGGTCGACCTAGGAAATAAGGTATCGTGGGCCGTCACTCGCACGCCGTAGCAGGTTTGGGAGAATGCTGGATTGGTATACTAACAACACTAGACACCATGTTAATGAGGCAGAATCGGTATGTCTTGTTACCTCATGGACCCCTTCTAAGTTAAATAGCCGCATAAAGTTTACTAAACTCCATGATTACCTATCTGGAAATTCTTGGTGATCTGAAGGAACGCGAAGAACCATCCCACGTAACGAGTCTCTGGATTTGAAGCTTAGTTCATCGACACAGACAAGGTCACAAGTACCCCTGATCCCACAGATAAAGAGCCGCAGGCGATCCTGAAGGGGCTATCTTCGCCGAATGGATACTGACACTCCATCGCCGACGACGTTTGGATGAACCAGCCATGATCGACCGCCATATAGACTCTCTTGGCTTTGCATTCACGACCCACTTACACGCAACCAGCTGCACTCTGCTGACATGTTGGAAGCCGGCCACCTCGAAAGTGCACGCCGTACTTGAGCACCCCTGACCGAAGAGCGTCATTTGAATCATTGTCGTTGTTAGTCGTGGATGCGAGTGCGGATACGGCGTGGTTACAATGCGTATGCATTAGTTCGTCACATTTCAGACATGTTGATATCGGCCGTGATTGTAGAGAACATACTGAGGTATAAGTGAGGACATCCAACGACACTTGTCAAACCTCTTCCCAGCATCGTGGCACCTCTCTCCCACGCTCAACCCAGCTTCCCGACTTCATACTCTCAAAGTCCATCTCGAGTGCTTCACAATGACTCTAATTCTCGCGGGCGTCCTAGCCGCGCTCCTCGCGCAGGTCCCAGCATCCCTCGCCGCCGGCTGTCAAGAGGCCGTAAGAACAGACAAACCCGACCATTTGCAACGGAACCGCTAACCACCAGCTCATAGTGCGCCCAGCTCCGCACCGAATTCGACACCTCCGTCCACCTAGGTGGCAACGACCCGGACTTCGCCATCTGGGACATGAAGCAGCAAGAAGCCAAGCCAGCATGCCGCTTCGAGCCCGCCGCCGCGACCCAGGTCTCCCGCGCCGTCGAGGTCGCCGTCGCGCACTGGTGCCGCTTCGCGATCAAGGGCGGCGGCCACATGACGAACCCGGACGCGTCCAACTCGCGGGGCGGCATCACCGTGGACCTGCACCGCATGAACCACGTCGAGATCGCGGAGGACCGGTCACGGGCGGACCTCGGGCCGGGACACGTCCTCCGCAACGCGTACCGGGCTCTGGAGGTGTATAATTTGACCATGGTCGGCGGAAGGACGGCGGACGTCGGGCTGCCGGGGTTCACCATCGGAGGCGGGCTGTCGAATCTCTCGCCGCAGTACGGGTTGGCTCTGGATAACGTGTACGAGTATCAGGTGAGAAACCCAAGATTCTGTTCAGACTACCAACGCGCTGATGTACGAGGGAAAGCTCGTCCTCCCCAACGCCACGATCGTGAACGTCTCGGAAACGGCGCATCCGGATCTCTACTTCGCCCTCCGCGGGGGCGGCAACAACTTCGGCATCGTGACCAACTTCCGCGTCCGCCTGGTCCGCCAGGGCCAGATGCTGGGCGGTTCGAGGACGTACTCGATCAACTTCACCGACCAGCTCGTCGAGCAGTCGCACCAGCTGGCCACGGCCAAAGCGGAGGACACGTACATGTCCTTCTGGAGCCGGTACTTCTACGAGCCCGCGAGGGACCGGTTCCGGATGAGCTTCTCGCAGGCGTACTACGAGCCGGTGCTGGAGCCGGCTGTTTTTGAGGAGGTGAATAAGATTCCGTTCGAGGAGGGGAACTTGCGCATCGACTGGATGAGCAATCATAGCCTTGATAGCGTCTCTCCTCATGGGTTCCGGTGAGTCCTTCTCACGATCAGCGTGAGATTCTTGTATTCTGATCGATCCTGCGGATGTAGTCGGGTGTACGCCAGTATCACCTACCGCCCTTCACAGACTCTGCATAAGAAGATCATCAACATCTTCTCCGAAGAGGTTGGCGAGATTAAGACGACTCCGGGGCTTTCGACGTCAGTTGTCGTCCAGACGCTCCATCATAACGCCATCAAAGCGATGAAGACACGCGGTGGGAACGCTCTTGGAGTCGAGTCCGATGGACCGTTGATGAGTATGCCCCTCCAGGCTTTCGCGACACGAAGAAGAGACCCACAAAGCTGACAATGCAAACCTGAACAACAGTCGCCCTTCTAACACTCGGATGGTCCAACGCCGAGGACGACGCCGCCATGTACTCATATGCCGACCGTTGGGTCGACAGATGCGCATCCGAAGCGAACGCGCTTGGTCTGTTGCATCCCTGGGTTTACATCAACTACGCCAACCACAACCAAGATCCGTTCGCGGGATATGGCGAGGCGAACAGGTTGAGGCTTCGAAGGATCCAGGAGGCCATCGACCCCCGTGGTGTTTTCACGTCGCAAGGTTTGGTCAGGGGCTCTTTCAAGCTTCGGTGAAGATCAACCGTTCTTCAGATCATCGAATTGGACAAGCGACAGAGGTGCCTCCGGAAGTTAGCCAGAGACCCAGTAAATCGCAATCGACATTGAATCAAGACTGGTTCATGATCCCCAACTGTCCATGAGGCTGATGTATCGAAGACGCAGCACATGGGTATCAGGAGCAGCTACCTGTGACCATATCAGCTTTGAGGGTGTGCGGAACGACCACTCCACACGACTCGCCCCAACCAGCGAGCTGAGGTAGGCAAATAAACTCAGCGTGTAGTGGCGAGGAGGTCGCACCAAGGCCCTGCTGTTTCTTGTCTAACCCTTTTGATCTCGTCGGGGAGTCATGTCAACCAGAATTGGCTTCTTGGGTGTTCGCCTCTCCCGCAAGCTGACCCAGGGCTTATGACTTGGGGCTTGCTCCATGCTTCCTCGCCTCGCAGCCTCACAATGGCTGCCGGATGGCATCATAGGCAGTCCCTGGCAGGCTTGACTAGTCCAACACAATCACGAGCGCACATTGAGGTAATTCTGAGCATTCGGGCCGTTGCGTCAAGATAGCAAAGACCAGTGCCAAGAAACCTTGGTCGGATCCGCGGTGCTCAATCTTGACTGCAGACTGTGAATGACAACGCCATTGTGTCGCGAAACGGTCTTATCAAATCCAGAGGCAGTGGCATGCTCCAAGAGATTTTGCGGGGGTTGCTTCGGCTCTTGGTAGACTCCACTGGAACTAACTGTAACTGACGAGGGTTGGGCGGATGAGATGCATGCACGAGATAATTATCCCGATAGACTATGCCCAGTTAGTGAAGCGCTGGAGAGCCTCATCCCAATGGCAACATGGGAACAAGGTACTTGTTCGCGTTGCTGCAGATTTCCAGTTCTGAGAGGGACCGATTGTCACGGCGGCTTGCATTGCTGTCGTCGGCGGCCTCTCGTATGCCGGGAAAGGCATAATCGAACGACTACAACGCCGGCCAACCGGCACGAGTATCGTACCCGTCCGTCCTTACAGGTCCAGCGGGCGCCGGGTCTCAACCATGCCGCCTCAGAGAGGGCCACGGTACCCATCGTCAGCCACCGTCAGCGCTCTTGGTGTTCTTGCTGTCCAGGACCTCGGACCAGAGCGACATCCCGGACAGCCCAAGTCAAGAGTGAGACGCGCCGTTGCAGCCTCCCGATCCCCTCAGGCCCGGGGCTGAGCTGAATGTGGTGACACAGGCTTGCGTTTTTCTTTTCAGGACCACGCGAACGAGGAACAAAGGGTGCGAGCGCCGGGCCTAGTGTCAATAGCCAGACGCAATTAGGCCAAAGTAACCTGAGGGTCGCATATTATGGACTGCACGACATCGCGAGCCAGATGGATGGGTGGTCGCAGTAGGCATGCCTTGGAGATCCCTTCATTCGCTCGCAGCGAGTTCCGTTGCCGCCCTACGACATGTACCCTGTCGAGGCAGGTGACAGGAAGGATGCGGTAACTGACGATGGGCATCGATTCGTCCCTGATCTTAAAATAATTATCATGTGAGGCTTCTATTGTTTCCCTGGATCTTTGGGTCTGGTGGGCCAGCCTATCAAGGGCCAAGGTGCATGAACTGGGTGTTTCAACTGTTTTGACGTGTTTTGGTTAGCCGCGATGGGTGTGCTTGCGCGAGTGAATCTGTGGTTGCCGTCCTTCAGTCGACAGTCGTGAGGACTTCATCCGGTGGTGGATTTAGGTTCATTGATAGAGCGTGGCGAGAAGCTGGCAATCTACCCGCTCACGGGCGAGGAAGAGGCCGTGTGTCGGGCAGATTGACAGCGACTTTGCAGATATCGCGGGAGAAGGCCGCTCGAGCAGACCCTGGCGGGGCGAGACGGGAGAGTCAGAAAAGACGAGGATGTCCTGTCGAGTACTGAGGTAGGAGGGAGACTTGAGGTCGAGAGAGCAGGGTAGTCCCGTGCATTGAGGCATCGAAACAACAGACGGATGGGAGACGCTCATGCACTCTGTCCGAGAGGCAGAGGCCGTGGCCGTGGCCGGTACTGAAGTAGTCAGGCTCGCAGCTGTCGGTCGGGAGGCTTGGATGGTGTTGATGCTGCCGACGGGCAGCACAAGGGTTTCGGTCAGGTCAGTGGCATGGACCATGTGCCGTCGTGACTAGCAGGCGGCAGAGCGACAGACGGCGAGAGATGCTAGGACGAGACCAGACAAGAAGAAGATCTGTGGCGGGGAACAGGCTTGGGCCCGAGATGGGAAGGCCGAAGACTGCAGACACGACGGGAGGGCTGTGCTTATGCTTGGTTGCTTGCTTGGTGTTTAGTGCTTGTGCTTGAAGGCGTTCAGTACTGCGAATGGCGCGCGTCGCTAGTTTCGAGAACAGGTAGGCCGAACCCGACAGAATCACGGCAGTTGTGGAGGAGGGCCAACGTCTTTTTCGTCTTGAGGAAGAAGCGACTGGCTGGGTGATGCCGGTGGAACGATGAGAGCTGCATATTGTGGTGAATGCAAGTTCAACGGTGGTGCTTCTGGTGGTGCTTATGGAAGAAGAGACGATGTCGATGCTTTTTGATAATTGAGAATGGAATGGAGAGGAAAAGACGCCGCCTTCAACTTTGAGGGAATGCTCTGCCGGGGTGTTGTCTTATCGGAACCCAATGCTTATCGGGTTTCTTATCGGGAAAAGGGGGTCGGGTGCGGTCGGATGATAAGGAACCTCCTTCCGGCTTCCGTTTAAACTGGAAGGAAGGACCCTCTGTGTAAATGGTACTTGCCCTTGGTGGGAAGGCAGGCGGGATCTGCCTCTTTTAGCAGGAACGGCGTGTCTCAATTATCAAGCAATCACCTCATCACCGCCGCTCCGGGCCTCCGGCTTACATGCAGTTGCTTTTTTCGCTTCAAGAGACGAGATGATAGAGATGGCTGGTGGCCTGACCAGTTGGAAGGAAGTGGGCAGTCAGGCCATGGCCCGTCGCAACGATGGATCTATTGAATTCTTCAGCGGGGGTTTACTGGCCGGTCAGACGGCATTGATTCTTGATGGCGGCTTTCGGACCTCGAGTCCTTGATCAACCGCCAGTGGTCCTCACTTCCAGGCCCGGCAGGCATGCGGTGCAACGAGTACCTTGCAGCGGTGATGGAGCATTGCCAATCAATTCGGGACCAACAGCGGTCATGTTGGATCCGGGAAGCATCTGGTGGGTGCGTGGCCTTCATATATGACATGCCACGTTGTGAAGCAGCCATGTCAAGACTACGGATGGGATGCCAGGCAATGCCAGTTTCCGCGATGGTCGTCACTCAGGGCATGACGATGACACAGGTCGAAAAGACGCAGAAACGCTGAACAAATGGGCAGCACATTTCGTGATGTTGTGTTCTCGCACTCACCATCAAGCTCAGACTCAGACTCAGACTCAAGCTCATGCTCATACTCTGCATCTGCAGTCAGGCTGGCATTCGTTCCCCTCCTCCTATTTTTGTTCCATTGACCTTCTCGAACAATGCCGTACAGCCCGCAGTGGCCTTGGCCTCCATCCGCCCTCCATCAAGACGGTACTGCATAGTATGTTCACCCTGCCAGCAGCATGACCAGGATCAGCAGTCTCGTGTGTCTGCTGCCATCCTGGTGGTCGCAACCATTGACTTCAGACCTTACGTCGACAAGTGGGTCGTCGGAGCCTCTCTCTGGTCAGTGTGAATTCTGCCCGTCATGTTCAGGAAAGTATTGTGCGTGTGAGTGGTGTGAAAAAGGAACATTTCCATGGAAGGATGATGAGGTGCTGGAAGTTGCAACCACGAGGACAGCTTCAATCAATGGGAGACGTGATCTGTCCACTGCAACGGAAGGCCAGCCCCGATCGGGCCTAGCTCGGCCACCCGCTCATTTGAAACGCCCAAAACCTCCATCAGAATCAATGCGAGCAGCCTGCTCCTTCCCTGCCCGAGAGATCGCAGGAAGTCTTACAGTGAATGAAGTACGTACCTACCCTCTGTAACCTGGTGATGTCGATGCTGGACGCGCTCTAGAAACGCAGTGAAGCAGTAAAATCCACGATTTGCTGGCGAGCCCAATCAATCTGCGCTGTCCGTCCCCTCCTCCTCCTCCAAATGTCTCCCACCACTACCATCACCACCACCACCACCAAAGGAAAGTGAACATCCAGCCAATCTTGTCCGTACCACCACCAAGTACCAAGTACCACCCTCCATCTTTCTCTCTTTTTACCTCCCGTCCGCTGTCCTCTCGCAACAGCGCAAAGACCAGCCGCTAGCGAAAGAGGGAACTGCAACTGGAAACTGGAACCACAGCTGGAACCCGACCTTTCTTAGAGCTGGCTGGCCTAACCCGATTGCCCGACTACTGGACTGGCTTGCCTTGACTTGCCTTTGGAGTCCTTCTATTCCATCCATGTTGCTCGGGCGGGCAGAGGAAGAAGAACGGATACACTAGAGCCCGGCACGATACTCAGGTCTCCTCGACCACCCTTCCCAGCTGCCAGGCTTCTCCTTACCCTGTTTGTCCTCCTCCCTCCCTCCTCCCACCTCCCACCTCCCACCATCCTCCTCCACTCTCTCTGTCCCGGTCGCTGTACGGAGTACCTAACCCAGGTCCCCAGGTCACAGGTCGCAGGTCGAATCAAGACACGCCTCTACTCATGCATGCCGTCTGCAGCAGCAGTTCACGTCCTGCAACAACATCCCCCAAACCCGACCGACATCACAGATCCCACTTGGTCTGAACAGCCTCCGCCAGACTCGACCACAGAATTCCCCGTTTGAACAGACACTTCCAGATCGCCCACGACGTCCTTCAGGGAAACAGCTGGTGCGACGCTACGCTACCAGAAGAACCGGTACAGGACACAACAGGGGAGCAAGGCCCTCTCGTTTCGCCCCGATAGCCCGCGTCGCTCCGCACCGCTCCGCAACTTCGACTCGTCGACTCGAAATCAGACCCGCCCGTTCAGGCCCAACCTTCCTCCTCCACCGACACTCGGCGCCGGCACTTCTGTCACACTGGACACTCTCTCCTGCTCCTCCTCCTCAGACCCTCAACACACGATTCCAATCTTCCGCTACATGTGTTGTTGCCCTACCGCAGATCGCTGTTGAGGCGCATCCGACGACCGAACAAAAAGCACCCTAAGCCAACGCCCACCGCTTCGAGACAAAGACCCTTGTCCTCAATTTGAACGGCGCCCCCCCCCCCCCTTTGCGACGACGCTCGACTCCTGCGAACCGACCGTGACCGCTACATCGTCTCTCAACCTCAACTCCTCCCCAACCACTCCTGATTTCTGGAGCCCTCCCGAGTTGATCGACTCCGAGAATCCTTGCGCTGGATGACGTGAACCTGGTCCGACAGGAAAGCGCTTCATCAATTTTCCACCGCCGCCGCCGCCCCGTACACTTCTGCCACGATACCCGACCGACCGACCGACCGATCTCGTCTTGAGCCCGACAACCACAACTCGTGTCCTCGCTTCCTCTCCCCTCCTTTCGCCGGATGGGTTAGGACGTCATGGCTCATGCTCCTCTCCTCAGAAACAACACGGCTCCTGTATTCCCAAACCAGAACGGAATTGGCGGCCTACCCAATACCATGAGTAATGCGCCCCGCGCCAGCCAGCTTTCCGGCTCGACAGCCTTCTCATCGGCCTCTTTCGCGACCACGTCGACGATAACTCCCGCCCAAAATGGAGGCCCTGTTATGGCAACCGCCAACATCATCAATCAAAAGGCCGACGCTTCGCGCTCCCTTTACCAGATTTGCATGTCGTTGAAGCAGCGCCTGGCACAGGTCCCTGGATTTGACCCCTATCTCGAGCAGTTGGACCCCAACGACCCTGTCGAATCCCTGTGGGGCCTTTTCCGCACCGGCTACCCGTTCCTCGACATTTACAACGCCCTGCAGCCCGAGAAGCGCCTCGAGATCGAAGAGTCCAACGCCGCTGCGTCGGAGAGCAAGAAGTCCAAGATTGCCATTTTCAAGTTTATCCAGGCCTGCTTAAAGGAACTCGGCATCCCGTCTGCAGAATGCTTCGTCATCAGCGACGTGCTAGGCAATGACACCACTGGATTCGTCAAGGTACGTCAGCTCAGGCTCCTCGCGATCGCTGCCCGGAATCTCTCTGTCCCCCGGCATTTGGAAATGTGATCTAACTCTATTGCAGACTACACAGGTTGTGAACCTCGTCCTCGATCTTGCCGAACAGAGAGGGCTGCTGCTGCAGCTCCAACCCTACCCCGAGGATGATCTGCCGAAGGAACCCGGCTCCAAGCTGACCTACCGAGACCACATTATCAAGGAGTTGGTTGATACGGAACGCAAGTACGTGCAGGACTTGGAAAACCTTTACGACCTGAAGAGCAGTTTGGAGACGAAGGGCATCATTACGGGAGACACCATTCACCAGATCTTCCTAAACATCAACGCCATTCTTGATTTCCAGCGCAGATTTCTCATTCGAGTCGAAACGACAAACTCCATGCCCGAGGGGGTCCAGCAATGGGGCGCTCCATTTGTGACCTACGAAGAGGCCTTCGATATTTACCGACCCTTCATCGCCAACCAGCGAAAGGCAGCCCAGGTTGCCGGTCAAGTCTTTGACCAGATCAAGGCCTCCGGGCACCCTGTAGCGGCCGACTTCAATACCCTCGACGGCTTCCTACTCAAGCCCATGCAGCGACTAGTCAAGTACCCGCTTCTGCTGAAGGATTTGCTGAAGAAGACCGAAGACGAAAACATCAAGGCGGACTTGACGGCAGGTATTGGGGCCGCGGAACGAGTACTCTCTAGGGCCAACGAAGAAGTCAACCGCGATCTGTTGGATGAGGCTCTGGATGACCTCCGCAACCGTGTGGACGACTGGAAGAACCATCGCGTTGAACAGTTCGGCAGGCTGCTCATGCACGGCGTCTACACTGTCGTCACGGGGAAGAGCGAACAAGAGAAGGACGTAAGTTTCGCCAAGCGAGAGTATTTCCCGACTGCACCACTAACAAAACAGTATGAGATCTATCTCTTCGAATGCATCTTGCTCTGCTGCAAGGAGATCTCGGCGAACAAGAGCAAGGACAAGAAGGACAAGACCCGGTCGACCGGCCCCAAGATCAGGAACAAGAACGCGAGACTGCAGCTGAAGGGCCGGATTTTCATGACCAACGTTACCGATGTTGTCTCCCTATCGAAGCCCGGATCGTATAGCGTTCAGATTTGGTGGAAGGGCGACCCCGGCGTGGAGAACTTCATGATCAAGTACTCGAACGAGGAGCAGATGAAGAAATGGGCCACCACGTTGGAAACACAGCGCAAGGACAACGCTCCCAAGGCTACGACCAGCCCGGACCAGGCGGCGCCCGATTTTACCTGGACTCGTGAGCACGGCGGCAAACTCGAGAACCCGTACCTCAACCAGCAAGACGATGACGATGACGAGGAGCTCTGGCCGCCAGCCTCCGCCCCGGCTCAGTTCCCGATGCCCACGCAATCCACCGGTGGCAGCATGCTTCCTCGTACTGCCTCCAGCACCAGCCTCAGATCACGGGCTGCCACGGGCGAGAGTCTCGCCGGAATGGTGAGGGCGCCCCCGCCACGATTCCCCCTCCCGCAACCTCCGGTGCCCTTGAACATCCAGACCCAGGTCCCAGCTCCGGGCGCGTCTTCTCCCGGTGCTCGCGGCGGCGATTCGTACTTCTCACCGGTAGCCGAGTCCCCCGTCTCATCGCGCACGAGTACTGCGAGCGGCATGTTTCCCAACCCGAACTACCAATTCCCCAAGTCTCTCACGCCTCAACCTGGATGGGAGGACCCGAACCAGAGATACACAGCGCCTGCGATGCCGCGTGCGCCTTCTAGAGATGGCTCCGGTCAGAGGAACCCACGCGGTCCCTCATTGCCGGCGATGGCATCCAACAGCCAGAGCGCTGCGCAGCAGCAACGCAGCAGATCGTACAGTACACCTGACATCAACGGCCCGGGAGGCATCCGTCGTACGCAAGGAGGCACTCCCGTACCGGCAGTCCCTGGAATCCCGGCGCACCTGCATCCAGCACACGATCAGAACATCCCGCGGTCTCAAACCGGCTCTCCTAGGAGCAACGACATCCCGATGCGCTCAAACACACAGAGCCCGGGAGCACAGCGAGAGCGGCAGTACAGCCACCAACAGTCTGGCAGTTACGGTGGCACAATGTCGCAATTCCCCGCTCAGCCGATTTACCCTCGCCAGGGAACGCCAAACTCTGTCGTTCATGATCGACAGCTGAGCATTGACGCCGCAGCCTCCATGAACTCGATGTTGTCCCCGCCTCTTGGCACCGGTGTTAGTGCAACTCAGTCCAACCCGCTTGCCAGCCCGGACCTCCCGATCCCGACTCAGTTGAAGGTTAAGGTGAACTTTGTCGACAGCGGCAACTACGTGACTTTGGTCGTCGCGTTCAACATTACCTACCAGTCTTTGATTGATCGAATTGATGCCAAGCTGGCGCGATTTACCAACAGCAGCATCAGCAAGGGAATGCTCAAGCTGCGCTACCAGGACGAGGACGGCGACTTTGTCACCATTGCCAGTGACGACGACATCCAAATTGCCTTCATCGAGTGGAGGGAGGGTGCTCGCAACACCACTCCGGGTGGGGTCGGCGAGATTGAACTCTTCTGCGTCGGAGACACGGCCTAGACGCCTCATTTCTATGTCGAAGTAGGTCTGTTGGGACAGAAGGACTTTCCCAGGCGCATCATACCATATACCCATCGGGGGGGCATTTCTTTGCATACATGGCGTCCGGAGCAGATTGTTTTACCTCATTCTTATACCTCTCAGCATCGCATCGCATCGGAGCAGGTGGTTGACCCGTTTACACTGCGGGATTGCAGCGGCGGCCATACTGCAGTTGGGAAGCATTCGGACTTAGACGGCACCATCATCATACCACATTTTCGGCCCCACGACGCACGTCACAGTGTTATTCGGGCTTTCAGGCGCCTTGGACCTGAAATCCCCTTCTTGGAAATATTTCCGACCGTTTCACGATTCGTAGCCCTGGGCCTACTTTACACGTGCCTTCATGAGGCCTAAAAAGAACCAGGCTGATAGGAATTGGCCAACGGATCCGGGCACTTTCGCGTCCTCTTTTTTTTCACTTCTTACGTTGGTTGTTTTACTCTTGGAATGACTGACCCTATTTCGATCTTTACGACTCTGATGATGACGGAGAATTTTGATTCGGGTGTTGCGGGGTTGAAGGCCGGTAGACCGCACCAGCCAGGAATGAGATGCTTGCCTCGTCGCTCGCTACAGTTTGGGATAGGTTCTTGACTGGCGCTAGCTAAAGAGTACTGAATAATGGACAGGCTTTGCCGTTCCTTGAACTTGATGTTTTCCTGCAATTGCCGAATGCTGGTGGCACCGTGAGAAGAATGTGTAGACTGCCACCCCTTATATTGACTTCGTTGGCTCAACCTGTCAGTAGCAATCCGGTAGTAGCTGAAGTTGCTGATGGAGATTCGCTAAGCGTGAAGCCACACTTCGTGCAGAGCAATCTATCGTATTGTAAACCTTCTTTTGTGACTGCGGCGAGTGTGTTGCCGCTTGATATTGTACATATGTATACATCTTTAAACGCCTCCCATTTTATAGTCATTCATTGTCTTACAGTTCCATTGAAGTTCAGAAACAGTTCAACAGACCTAACCCGTGATCGCATTCAGACATCTAGACGTTTGTCTCTTGCCTGCTGCGCATCGTTATCGACACCATTTCCAGACGGCGCGGCGTGCTACTGCTCGACCGCGGGACGATTCCTCCCATCAAGCGCCTGAACCTCAATTGAAAGGGAGGTGATTCTCCCAGTCGTCTCTTCGACCTTCCACTACCCGAGACTCCGTGCTCCCATCCTTTACTGGTTGTCCTTGGTGGGTTTGACATCCTTCTTGTGGGGAATGACGCGGTCGTACATGCGGCCGAGGTGGTGGTTGATCGGGGAGGAGCCGGTCTTGGGAGCCGGTGGCTTGTCCATGCAGGCGCGGAGGGAGTTCTCGAGGGCGGCGCAGCCTTGGGTGTTGTAACCTGCCGAGGCCCAGCACGCTGATTGACGACAGAGGTTAGCCGTGTGTTCATTCTCTCGGTGGCCGCTACCAACACGACGCAGCACCGAGCTCGTGTTACCGCAGAGAAAAGGGAGGTCACCTACCCAGAACTGAGGTCATGACTGCTATGCAAGGGTTGGCGGCCTTCTTGTTGGGCTGCTTGACGCGGAGCACCTTGACAGGGGGCAGGCGCATCGGTTGCTTCGGCATGGTGGGCGATTTTCGTGGGGGAGAGCTTTCGTGACAGTCGAATCCTGCTCTGTATTCTTGTTGAAATGCCTTCGAAGGCTATGCCGTACGTCGTCGTGGTCGTCGTCGTCTTCCGATAAGAGCTCTCTCTATCGCTCTCCCTGCGACATCATCAAAAAAAGCTCTGAATGGCGGCGCGGCACCACTTTTTCACCAATCACGTGCCTCTCAGCCTCGCCCCTCTCTCTTCTCGCCGGAAAATTGCTGATTGGCTCCTGACGCGCTGAGTGGCGTTCCGATGGGGTCCAACTAGACGCACGGATCACCGCTGCAGAGTGCGCGAGAAAGGGCGGTGGGGGATTGTCCCAATTGCCAGTCGGGAGCTGCCGATTGGCTGGATTGAGTCGAATGTAAACAAAAAGAATAGCGATTTTTGGGGGGAGAGCTGGAGGGAAAAGAGACCGCAAGCGTTGCGCCGGCAGCCAGATCCAGCAAAGCAGCCCACCACACCAACCATAACACCCTAACAAATAATTCCCGTGTTTTATGCCCTCCAATTCCAGAGGTCAACTCTTCCCGGTCTTGTCACTTTTCGTTCTATTTCGTTAGGAGCAGGTACCTTGAACAACCCCTTTGTTCCTGCCTTGCGCTACGTTGACGATACAGTCGACATTCCTGCGATTTCTACGAACGAGCGCAGATAGGAAGGAAAAGGGTAGAGACGAATTCGTTTTTGCTCATCGGCAGAGCGCGTCTCGTTATCTTTATTCTTCGCGTCTTGCGCTTTGTTTACTTTGCCCAAAGCTCACTCCAATCGCGCCTTTTGCGGTTTGCGTCTCTCTACTCCGCGTCGCGTCGCATTGAGCATCATAGCTCCTTGATAGCTCTCACCCACACACACACTCGCATACACGCTTCATTACCCCATTGCTCCATCGCACTACTCTATTTTATCACCCCCCAATTCGCCTCAGCAGATGCCTCATCCACGACCGCGACGATGAACTTCTCTGGATTCTCCCTCAGCCCGCCCCGCGCGGGCGCGACCTTCACCCCAACCCGTACGACGCGATCAAAGTCCGCCGACCTCACCGACGCAAGCCCCAAGGCGGCCCTCGCCGGCTTCTCGGCCCTCGAGGTATCGCCAAACCCCAACAACGCCATGACCGCCACCCTCGACTCCCTCAACCTGGGCGGCCTCACCACGCCAACCAAGGCTAGCGCCTCCGGTGCCTCGGGACTCTCTCCCATCCCCAAATCGACCTCAAAGAAGAACGCGCCAAAGTTCAATGCTTTGTCCCTCGCCGACGACAACGAGGACTTTGCGCGGCCCGCGAAGTCGCCCAGGACACCAAAGACCGCCAGCAAGAAGGGCACCGGCTCGCCTAGGAAGCGCGTCAACCTCTCCGCCGGAGTCTCCATCCTGTCCCTGCACCGCGAGAGGAACAGCATGTCGCCTCGGAAGACGCCTTCGCCTAGAAAGCTCACGCTCGTCGAGGATGCCAGCTTCATGTCGGTTAACGGTTCGACGCCCAAGAAGGCTTGCGACCTCTCGCCGAGCAAGTCGAGCCCCCTCAAGTCTTCTTTCCGCACCGGCAAGACCCCCTCGCCGAAGAAGGTCTCGTTTGCCGACGATGCGAGCTTCGCTTCTGCCTGCGCATCCACGCCCAAGTCCCCTCGCGACTTCTCGCCAAAGTCTACCCCTTCGAAGCCTGAGGTCACCGAGTTGTCGATCATGTCGACCACATCACCTACCCAGTCACAAACATCACACGACTTGTCGCCTGCGCCGGACGCGAACACATGCGAAGAGGAGGATGAGCTGAGCTTAGTAGAGACACCATCCAAGACACGGAATGCGGAGGAGAGACAAGAGCCTAGCTCGCCCGTGGATTCTCCGTCCAAGATGTTCCAGTCGCCCTCAAAGGCTTCCGAGACAAGCGCCATGTTTCAATCCCCTTCCAAACTTGACGTTTCGATGCACGACGTTACTTGGATGTCCGACTACGCACCATCCGCCCCCTTCCAAGAATACGACTTCGCGACCACGAAGCTCACCGAAACCGCGCAAATGCTCTCGTATGTCGACACCCTTGTGCGCGCCGCATGTTGGCCTCGCTAACCCTTTTTTTCATAGTGGACCCTTCCGCCCCGAGCTGTTTGAGGAAGCCGACTTCTCCTCCGCCCTGTCTGCACCCTGGTCGTTCCCGATGTCCCAGATTGCCCAGAAGCACGTGCGGGCTGTGAACAGGAAGAAGTTGCAGCGTCGCAAGAGGAAGGAGGTCAGGAAGATGCGCGTGGAGAAGGCCATTCGCGAGCAGGTTGCTGAGTCGCTCGACGTCAACGAGCTCGAGGCTGCACCTCAGTTCCGTATCATTGCGTCTAGAGGCCAGCTGACGTATGCCGTCTGCTCTCGCAAGAGGCAGAGGGTGACGGAAGAGGCCGAAGACAGCGATGCGCTTTGGTTCGAGGGTGAAGAAGACGGCATTGCCTTGCTCATTGAGGCCAGACGTAAGTGTTTACGCGGTCGTTTCCTTGTGCGTTTTCTAATGTGTCTTGTAGGTGTTGTCCGCAACGAGTTGTACGATGTCCCGATGGGCCCGACCGTTCAAGAGATGCGCCGCCAATACCATGCGGATATGAAGAAGTTTGGCGAGCCCCTTCAGTCAGTCCTCGGAAAGAGGAATTACGACTCGATCCCTAAGCGCGCCTACAACAACGACCTCCTCACCCACAACATCATGCAGCCTCTGCTGTCGTTCCCCATGCCTGAGCTCAGCTTCGAGTTCGTGCTCTCCCACGCCATTGCCGAGTCGGATAAGGCCCAGGGTCGGCGGTCTCGGAGGACGCGCAACGTCAGACAGCCCATCGCGATCTACGGCGAGCCCGAAGTGTCTGTCATCGAAGAGGAGGAGGAGCCTCAGAGCCCGACGCGCAAGCTGCCTCACTTCCCGTCGACCGCCACCCATCAGTCGAGTGCTAGTCGCAAGCTCAGGCTGGAGCAAGGCGGTGATAACATCCGCGCCAAGCTTGCCTCTCTTGCTTCGATCCCCGAGCCAGTTTCCCCTGTCGACGAGCCGCTGTCTTCACCCATTGGGCCTGGCTTCACCTTCGAGTGCCCTTCGTTCATTTCAACCCCCAGCGTCACCAAGAACAGTGACCAGGATGAAACCGAGGTCGTCGAAGACGCCAAGGATGATGAGCAAGAGACAGAGCATTTCGAGGAGACCGTTGCCAGCCCCATCGTCGTGTTCAAGGACCGCACCCCTGGCGCCATTACTCCCAAAGCCGCTTTCAAGAAACGACGCTCTCTCCCCGCCGCCCGCCGCCTCTCCTTCTCCACCCCCCTCCGTCGCACTTCCCTTCCCGCTGCCGGTTCCGACCAGCCCTCCTTGGTGCAGGATCTTCGTGATCCAGCATCGGAGTCGCTGGTGGCTGCTCCCACTCCCGTGGTCGAGCTCCCTGCGGTGCAGAATCCCCTCGAGGTTGATTCAGCATCACAGGCGGATACCCAGGCTTCACCAGCTCCCGCTGGCGGCGCGTCGGACGCCGGAAGCTCTTCCCCTGCTTCCGTTGTCGTCGATGTGAGGGAGAACCCGGACATCTTTGGATCTTCTCAGGACAGAACCGGCTCGCCCGTTCAGGCTTTAGCGTCGTTGGCGCGTGTGTTTGAGGATTCGATTGAGGAGGAGGATGGAAAGGTTGCTGTCGAGAGGGCCGATGGTCGCATGGTTGTCCGGTTTAAGGTGTCGGATGAGCACGCTGCTCTGTTTGCCGCCGAGGAGGCCGCTTCGCCTGTTTCTGCCGAGGCCGATACCACCGAGGTCGACGACGCTGCGCAACCGCTTTCGCCTGCCGTTCTCCCTGCGTCGCCGTCACCAGCCCCTGCTGTCGCCATGATTGAGGAGGCGACCACGGAGACGAAGGACGATGAAGATGTTGCGGGGGACATGAATGACGAGGAAGACGAGGAGATCGTTCAGGTTCCCACCGTGTCTGTGACCGAGGAGGTGGAGGACGATTCCGAGCTGGCGCTTCTTAGGAGTTTCGTCTCTCGGCATGCGGCCTCCCGCGCTGCCAGGGCCGCCGAGGCCACTGCCACCACCCTCGCTCCCGCTTCCCCTGTCCCGACAGCCCCCATCCGCCTCGCCGCAACCCCCGAGCGCCGCCCCCAGGGCATCTGGGCCGACACCCCTGCGTTCTCCGTCTCCTCTGCCGAGCGCCCTCGGCCTTCCCCGGCGGTGTCGTCGGCCCGCCAGCCTCTTGGCGTGCTTGACGCCAACAGCCCGAGTCCCAAGAAGATCAAGCGAAAGGCTGATGACGTTGAGGAGAAGGACCCTTCGCCAGAGAAGCCCCCGTCCAAGAAGACCCGCAAGACTAAGGCCAACAAGCCCGAGAAGGAGCCGAAAGATGACAAGAAGGATGAGAAGAACGACAAGGACGAGAGAAGCGAGGCAGACGGAAAAGACGAGAAGAGTGAGGCAGACGAAAAGGACGAGAGTGATAGACCCCTCGAAGCCGACCCCGATCCCGACGCTCCTGCCCCTCGCGTACGCACCCGCGCTCAACGTGCCGCCGCCCGAGGAGAGCCTACACCCGCGACCAAGATCCCTTTGCGACACCAGGGCTATGCCAAGGTGCGCAACGGCGAGAAGGACCTCGCCACCCTCACCAGGCAAAACACTCGTTCCAACAAGGGCAGCGCGCTTCACGTTGAGGATATGCTCGCCCAGCTCAAGGACGCGCCCGAGGGCATCGAGACGAGAGCGGCGGCTGCGGCCAGGAAGGACGGTAAGAGCGTCCAATGGGCGGAAAAGCTGGCAAGGAGCCAGTCTGAGGAGCCTCCCCTCTTGTCCCCGTCGCCCGAGTTGAGCCCTGCGGAGGAGAAAGAGGTCGGCAAGGCCACGAGGAAGAAGGCCGCGGGCACGCCGAGGAAGGCGAGCGCCCAGGCGACCAAGTCTGCGAATACCACCACAACGAAGACGACGAAGACGGAGGCGGCACCGAAGACTGCCGCCAAGGCTACCAAGTCCGCGGCGCCCTCGAAGCTCCGTCAACCGAGCACCCCAGCCGCTGCCGGTGGCCCTAAGACGGAAGGGGCCAAGGTCACCAAGACGACGAGAAAGGTGACGCCGGCGGCTAAGAAGGAGATTGGCATGAGTGTCAACGGCACCCCGGCGCCGGCCAAGCGCAGCCGCAGAATCGCGGAGAAGAAGTGAACCCCTTGAATCAGCGGAAGAGGGGATAGAAGGATGACTGTGGAGGACGGCGGAGAGGTATATACAGCATTTTGCGAAGCGACAGGATGTTTGTTTTTGGCATCATGGACACCACCACCCACCCACCCAAAAAGAAGGATATGCATAGCTGTGCGGCGTTGGTTTGTTTGGTTTATTACTTGTTTTGCTTTACTTCTACTCTTGGCCCCGGGCCCCTTGGAGGCGGTCAACCCGAACCCGCCTTGCCTAGCTGGCGCGTGTGTGGTGGTTTCTTGTTGTTGTTAGTATAAACTTGCCTTTTTTTTGGCAACATACCCGTTACGAATGATGAAGATTTGCATCTCAGTTGGATATTTTTTTTCTGTGATTGTGTTCTCGCGAAGTTTTTGGGTATGGCTTGGGTATGGCTGAAAGCTATGTGGTCCATCTGGCTCATCTCGGGGATTGAGGTAAACTTGCCTTACCACCGCTATTGATCCTATTAGCTGAATCACTGCGCCCGAGGGGAGTAGTATCCAGCTGCCCTGCTGATGACGACCTGGTGACTTTCTCTGGAACGACGGTACGTCTGCCACAGCTGTGTCCCCGCAACAAACCGATGTCCAGGTTAAGATGAGAAAATCTGATTCTATGAGGGCGTCGTCTCCCAGTACCGGCGGATATTATATTTCTAACCTAGGTGACTCTAGTCCTTAGTGACAGAGACTTCGGGTTGCGGTGCGGGTTTGGTGTCACGGTTTAGGATGTCTGGCTTCCCTCCGGATACCGCGAGATTCGGCGTGTAAGCCGACTGATGATATTGGCGAATCTGTACTATTGGATGAAAGACGACGAGGTGGCCTTGATTATGGAGTCTGGGATTTTGTATTGCTGGTTTGATCTTCTTCACCTTTCAAATATTTTCCATTGTGATGTCAGATATCAACAGACCTGACGTTATGCAAAGAATATCAAAGTTGCAGTCTCAGTAATTATCTTCGCCAATGAGCGAAGAGAACAGAAAAAGGCATACGGGGAATTAACACTTCCAAGTTTACGTGTATCAGACGTTGCATTCGGGGCTCTCAGTCTCAGTGTCTATAGACCAACAAGACTATATAGTTAGCTGAGTCGACAATATAACAAATTACACAACAAGCCATCGAACGTAAAGATAGTCAGTAATACAGACTATGAAATCAAATCATGGAATTAAGCCTCGGTAGTATATCCTCGGTTAAAGCAAAGGGAGGGGGAAGTCGTCGTCGTCGGATAAGGGGCGGTTGATTCCGACTACACCTTTAGCCGACGTCGGGAGGCACACACACACGGGCAGTCTGATCTTTCAGTAGTCGACTGAGTGAGTCAAGATCGTGAAACGAGCGTGGTACTTGGCGTACATTAGTTTGGAATCGTGTTCAAACGGATGGGTTCGGTGGTAGCAGCACTCTTCCGAGCTGTCGGGGTATCAGATAGTTGTTCGTCTCAGCGAGACTGGGCACGTGGAGATCACTTGAGCTCGTGTCAAACGCGCGCTTATACTGAGTATCTCTTTCACTTGCCTCACTCCGGCTACACTCTCCGGCAACATTCACGTTCGTTGGGGAGTGTAATCAAGTGGACTATGCCGTTTATTAATGCTTATCAATCCTCCTCACAGTCAGCCCCATCCTGTCATGGAACTGTGAGGCAATGTTCCGGTCTTTGCAGACGTGCCGGTTCCGACCGGTATACTCGAACCTCAACAGTCTTGTTGATACCTCCCAGCGGTGTTAGTGCTTCTATCTGGTCCAAGTCTACATCGGATCTCGACCTCGACTTTGATTGACCGGTGTTGAGTATGTTCTCCTGTGAACTTGATCTTCTCCCGCCGCGTACTTCGACGACCCGTTCACTCTGCTGCGTGACCGGGTCCCAATCTTCCGGCTTCCTGGCCGAGGTGAACCCCCGCAGGGCTGGTCGGCTTGGGCAGGTCGGGTCGTAGACCTGTGTCGTGAAGACGAGTTTCGACGCCAAGATGTCGATGCTAGTCGTACCGTCAGTATTCCTCATCAGCACATAAGTGAATCTCGACCGGACTCACAACATCACAACCGGGAAAAGGCACTCCAGCGTGTACGCGAACCGGTCTAGTTGGCTCGCCGCATTTGTCGCGCTTTGAGCCGTCATTTGAAAAGAATACGTGATCGCCCTCATCGTTCCGAGTACGGCGAGCGTGGCGAGTCGGACCTCCGTGCTTCGCATGAGGTATTTGAACAGCCCGCCCCTCAACGCTGCTCGTATCGAGCTTGACTTCACCTCGGCGAACGTCTTCAGTAGAAAGAATGCGCTGACGCATTCGAGTGATGCGATGAGGACGAAGTAGGCGATGTGAAGATTGTTGACCGTGCTCTGGAGATTCGTGTTCCCTCTGAGGATGAACTTCACGCGAGACACGGCGATGGCGCTGCGGAGGGCGACGACAGCGGCGATGATGGTCCAGAACAAACCGTTGAAAATGATCCACCCCCGATCCTTCAGTATTCTGCGAAGGAGAACCCAGCTGTAAAAGGAGAGGCCGACTTCTTGCACCTTCACTGCTTGTCAGTCGAATTCTTCGGCTAACCCGCTCATCCACTCACCATCCAGAATAAGTCTCCAAACACAGACGCGGCGGCTTTGCTCCGTAGTGAGTACCCCTCATCGTAGTATGCGTAGTAGCACAGCCCGTTCGCGATGGCCCCGGCAGCCGATGAGATGATGGGAACCACGGTGATCTGCGAGAAGGTCGTGATGCCGACGATGAGAAGGCCGAAGAGAACGTTCGCGGCGCCGATGGTGCTCAGAATCGACCAGCTCAGTTCGAAGTAGACCGGTAGTATTGGCGTCGACATGTTCGCGCCGATGGAGCTTGCGAGCAGCTGCCAAACTGGTGCATGGTGTTATGTTGGCTTGAGGATAACATCCATACCTGCCCAGCAGTTCTGATGGGGAGTGGCTGATCACAAGCTTATAATCCGCGTGAACCTTGCGAACACCCACGAGCCTTAATCATGAGCGGAGCACCCCAAGTACTCTTTCCCTAGGATTCTATCTCTCTTGGTTTCGAACGTTTAAGCCTTCACACGGGCGGAGAGGGAGGAGCAGCGTACGGAGCATCCACGAGGCGGACGTGAACTGTACTTTGCTAGGGATCTTGCCTGATGGACGGGCTCCTCCGCGGCGGCCAGTCCTTGTCTCGGCGTTCTCTATGGAAACCTAACAGGCCGTAAAACTCGACTGTTGGTTCACTTTACCGACTGTCTCGCCAAAGCTTGCCCCTCGGATACCAGGATCTGCCCTCGGACAAGCTCGAGTGTGTGGAGATAGTTGGACACGGTCAACGGCGGGCGTATGTGTTGGACAATGCCTGCCACTTGTCTACGGAAGAAGTGTCATCGAATTCTGCAATACATTGGCTCGCCTTGCTGCTAATCGACCTGAAAACTGGCGAGAATGCATGTGAGTGCAAACTGATAACGTACGTGAGTCTGGTCATCTGAGATAACTTGTAAAGACGGACCTTGGCGCCACTTGGCTCGAAAACCACATGGCCCGTCAAACCCAAACGGCGCCGCATAATGTCTTCTATCCTCCTACTAAACTGTAGAACTGAGAGATGGACAGAGTTCCGAGAGCTTCGCCGGGTCCAATCAAGCGACGAGGCCCCCGCAGAGCGTCTCACACATCAGTTCAACCTCCAGCTGTCATAGTTTCGTGGCGCGGCACTTGCGAGTTTCCAGAAAGGCTAATGTAACCCTCCCTCTTCGCGATACCGAGACTCAGGAAGGTCCCTGCGCGATGATGTGCTCGCTATTCTCCACAGAAAACGTGGGAAGAACTGATCGAACCCATGGTGGCGAACTCTTCGTTTCGTTCTCCAACCCTCCTCCCTGGTCAGGTCTGGTCGAGGTCCGGATGTTGGAGCCGGGGCGCTTGATAAGCGGACCTCTCGTACCTCATTACAAAGACTCAGCTGAGCTGCAACAGGGGGGAACTGCGGAGTAGGAACAAGGGGTAGACGCGAGTATGACGCTGTTGGCTCGTAATATCATTGAGAAAAGAGACGCAGATATGTGATCAGTGTCAACTATCGATATGCGCGATGATGCGCCCTTGGCAGGGCTGCTACAACCCGATGGACCAACGCATCAGGCCAACTTCAGCTTAACGGCCACCAACTGCTGAGGAAACACATGAAAGCCTGTTGGTCGGTGGTTGGTCTCCGGACGTGCTGATAGGACGAGGCGCTTCATAATGGCCGGATTTTGACTTTGTATGCGTCTGAAGTCCGGACGCACTGACTGGAAGCAGAGCAGAAATACTACTGCTGATGATTGGACGCATCGTACAAAGTGCGCACATGGTCAGTGTCCAAACTTGCGATGGGCGGCCGCGAGTCGCGGATTCCAACGTACTCGGAGTAGGGTTTCCGACTCCGCGGCTTCGTCCAAAGATGCAGATTGGACGCATGGCGCCCGGACGTTTGGATCAAACCAAGTTCACGCGCAGCAGCGCTGGTGACCCAGGAGTTGACATGGGCTGTCAAATCCCGAAAACACCCTCCCGCTGAACTAGGCAACATTCCTAAAGAGCCACTTTAACCCCTTAGTCATTGGATACTATGGCGTTTGTGATGATAGACCATCGTTTGGGTTCATGTTTCGACAAGCCGCTTAAGCGCCCGCTGGTGAGGAAGAACGGCACGAAGCCGCCAGAGGACAGGTGAGTCGGATGGAGGGATCGATTTCAAAAGTAGCTTTCTTCAATTCCACAATGGTGTAAAGCGGATGTGAATACTGGCTTTGGAATTGGAGAGGTGAGCAGATCACATTAATGATCGCCTATGTTCCGCATGTTGAATGATATATGTCGCTACCATCAGTGCTCTCAAAGATAAGTGTTGACAAGGCCGCGTAAAAGCCGTCCGTCGTAATACAGTGTCTAACCTCGTATACGCCATCTTTCCCGCCTGGGCCAGCTGCCATCACAAACTATGAAATGAGTCGAGAGTCAGCCAGCGGCAGATGGAAACGTCGCCTGGCCGGGTCGAACCCGGTCCTCCCGCCATCACTTTTCTGGCCCGATGCCGGCACGGGGTCGTAAAACGAGCATCGGCTCGGGCTTCTCCCGGTCGTCGCCGTGGTGGGTGGAAATTCTCAGCAACATCTTCACCTTCTCGCAATAACATCGGACTTTGAGTCATTGGTCTCATTACTATCTATATCCATGTACCGAAAGGCAGGCTTTTCATCATGGTGAACAACAATCTCCTCCAAGACTCCCACGCTGAATAACAACTCCAGTACCCATGATATCTCTTGCAAGATCGCGAGAGCCTCCTTGCCTTCCATTTGAAGCCCCAACGCCATAGCCATGTCATGTGATAATCCAAAGAAAACTTTTCCGTCAATGCTTTAGTCCCGATGCTGGACGACTCATCCTAAGCCATCGTAACCCCTTGTGATGCCGCTCTTGTGCTGTGTGTGACAGAGATATCGTCCAAGCCCGAAAATCCGCTTTCGGAGTCCAGTGCACCGGTGCCGGGTTTGCGATCCATGTCGAACATCTTCCAATCCACGTATGTATCGCCTTCCTGCCCGTTCATGTCCGGCTGCGCGTTCATCGCAACCCCTCTAGCTGCGTTTTGAGCCGATGAAGCCGCCATGCTGGTATGAACCAAGTTCTGCGCGGCACCGGAGATGTATTCCTCGATGTACGAACACCCACATCCACCATGTTGAAGAACCATATTCTTCAACATCAGAATCTCGCTCCGTAGCATTGCTGCTTCGGAGTGCAGCGTCTTGTTGATGTCCTCGGCGACCGCCTCCTGAGATTGCAGCTCCTCGATACCCTTCTGCTTCTTTTGCCTGCACTTATACGCGGCCTCGCGATTGCGCGCACGAATGCGGCTCTTCTTGTCGTCGACGGTGTTCTCGTTCTTGACGTCGTCGGCGCCGCTTGCTGAGGCGGTGGAGGCTCGTCGTGCGGCCGCGGTCTTCTGTTGTGTCTTCGTTCTCGGTGCGTCCTCCTTCGCCACTGCTCCCACCCGTGTAACTCGTGTATCCCTCGTGTTGGTCGCGTCGGACAGACGGGGTCGACCCCGCCGTCGCTTCGGAGTTTCGATCGCATCTACAGCTTCATGCGGTTGTGCCGGTTGTGTCTGAGGTTTCGCGTCCTGGGGAGGGATGAGAAGACGGGGGTCGACAGGAGGCGACACGAGGCTGGAGTGCGGAGATGTGATCGATGTGGCCGGCGATGACAACGTGTGGCTGACGGGCGAATCTTGCCATCCTCGCGAACTCGGCGCAGATATCGAGGAACGACTGTCGGAGGAGATGAGGGAGGGCGCAGCCTCAGGGGCCGTAGTCAAGGCGGACGGCGCCACGAAGGTTGGCTGCGAGCCGTTGCCGGCGTCATTTTCCGCCGTGTTCTTCAACTGCTGCTGGAAGAAGAAATTGGCCTGTTGGTCTTCGTGACCGTGCTGCTGGTGTTGTTCCTGTTGCGCATAGCTTTCGCCTGTCGATTGAGCAGATGGGTTAGAGAGCAATTCGAAAAGTGCGTTACCAGGTAACCCACTTTGAAGTGTACTCACACCTGCTGAGCCGAAAGCCATAGTTGCTGGCTGTGTGGCTATGGAGTTGTAATGCCGGGGCAGAAAGAGAGTTTACCAGGGTGTATGCGTTTGCCAGGTTCGGGGTCCCGGAATAGCGTCGTGTTGAACGTCGACGCCAAGGTCGGTATTATCGATGAGCGAAAAGTCGATCGAGTTGCTAGAAGGACCGAGACACGTCAAGGAACTTTGAGATGGAATATGAATGACGTTTACCACGATTCAAATTGCCGGTTGGTTGGGGAACACATATATACGATGCGAAGGGGGAGGTGAACCGAGGGGAAATGGTGCTTTATACGAATACCGCCAGACAAATTTCAGCCGCGGGGGAGATCCAGACTCTGTATTTCTGTGTTAGGCCCGGTCTTTTGCCTGGCACAAAACATGGCACAAAACCTGAATGCACAGTCGAATGGGTTATGTGCCAGCAGATCCGATCTTGGTTGAGCAGAGATACCGTTCAAAGACATTGAACCAATCATACGGTACGATTCACGACCAAAAGGGTCGCGGCCGAGGGTACCGCGTTGACAGTAGAGTACCGACCCTCGTGTCAAGGGAGGGACCATCTTTGAAGCCAATGATAGGGCAATACCAGGACGGAGAGGATTCCAGAGCTGGTTTTCCCGGTTAAGATGAAGTTGGGAGCTAACACTGTACAATGACGACTTGTGTCCATCCGACGACGTACTGCTTTCGTCGCGCCAAGTGAGGAGCGGCCGGAGGTAAGCTCCGGCGAAGAGAGAAGAGATGGGACGTATGTCTACTATGATTGGACCGCCACTAAACGGAACGGTTTCCGGGCAGTTTCTGCTCTCTTCATCCGTCAGTCTTGTCCCCGCACAACTTGGAGATGACCCAACAAGAGGATGGGCCCCCATGGTAGATCGGCCGGGAACCTCTTGACGGTCCAACTCTAGACACACTAACATGCCACAAAAATGGAATCGTTCCTAGTGTTCCCAGGCACACACGCTCAACGATCTGGTGCCCATTCCCAATGGCATTCCCCACCCTTTTCTTCTCTTACCCTTGTCTCGTCTACGCAACTTGTGCAGGTTCGCCTGGTCTTGTTCGTCTCCAACATCCACTCAGAGGTCTCAGAGCCCGTCATCCCACGTTTCCCGAGACTCCGAGAGTGTCCATTGGCCAGATCGTCTGTGGCTTTGAGGTGGCGAGTACGCTCGATTGATGTGCGAGCCACAAATGCCGCCATTGACACCTGCTGGAGGGCTCTCCGTCTCACATCTGCCGTCGCAAAAAAATTCAACAAATGCGACGCACATACGGGATTTCGCCTTCATAAGAGCGTCATATCAGTCATTATTGGCCCGCGGAGTCGTCTCCGCTCTAGGATTACAAACCGCCCCTGATTTGAATTGACAAGAGCCGCATGATCGCCACCGGTTGATGGGATTTTACTAATTGCCAGGCCGCGCGCCATCAGTTCTGGCCTTATCAAGACCAACGGAGCCGGACCCAGGGTCTGTCCGTTAGACGGGGCAAACTCCGATGGGCTTTTCAAGACTTGATCTCTGCAAATCCCCTGTCCGTATGTACATTCCCATCCACCTAGTGTGTCGTATGATGGGGATCGTCAGGTTTTGCCGGAAGAGAACCTCCAGGTCTGTTCGACTCGCTTCCGAGTTTCTTTCTCCGGGCCTTGGCTTCGATTCTTCCAAGTTCCACCTCTCGCCTCCAAGTCTCGCATCTCCGATTGAGATGCGAGAAACCGAATTGCAGTCCGTCCAACGACATCTTATCCGCTCTCATGTTGCACTTGAGGAATGACAGTTTTCTGCAAACGCTAGTCCACCGTAGTCCCAGCACAACGGACCCGAAACGCCAGAGACGCCATTGACGACTTCAGCGCGGGACGTACAACCAGACGCCGTCGATCTATCGGTGCTCGATACCTCGAATCATGGCCAGACACGGAGTGCGGAGGCTGGCGCTGCTTCGAATCATCTTGCGCATCGTCTCCCGCGACAGCAGCACCGACATGGGACTAACCAGGCTTCCCGACGCCGAGTGGGTGCTAGGCAATCTACAAACACCAGACTAACCTCCGCAGGACGAGAACGACAACCAACCGACGCTTGTTGCTTATCCCGCATCGTCTCCTGAAGCTTATTCATTGGCCAGCTGCCACGCGACGACTTGGGGTATTTGGCTTGATGTCCGGCTTCTGTCCAGACGTCGGCCCGCAGAAGGCCTTGGCCACGGTGCGTCGCCATTGCGGACCTTATCAGTCCGTAGCTCTCTTTTTCTCGACCTGTGTGGTTGAAAAGCTTTCAGACGCTCGGATGCTCATTATCGAGTTCATCCAACGATACGAAACCTACATACGTTCACGGCTGGCCAGGTCTATCATACAGCAATGGCCATCTCGCAGGGCTGAAGGGCTGCCGAAGCCAGCCTGTGCGGGAGACGGGGGGGAGAGAGGGCGGGCGGAGTAGACTCCGGCTCGGTCTGTGATGACGTCCAGAGCGACACAAGCGTGCGTGCATAGTGCCACTTCATCAGACGTTTTAGTGAAAAGCGAGCAGGGCACGCCGGGCGGCTCGTCGTAGGTTCCGAGAGATGGCTGGTGGCGGTTGAAGATCATCGGCGCCACACGACATCCTGAGAAATGGACTCGAGGTCTAGCCGCCGGAGGAAATCCCGTTGCCCAATGGCACGGGCAGTCGGCGTGCGTAGCCGCAACGGTTGCAGTTCTCCCGTCATTCCTGTCCAGCCCTCAAATTCTGCCACGACTCACGTTAGACGCGAAGATCACCTGGGGGAAGACGTGGCCGCCATTTTCCTGCGAGACCAGTGTCTAAGAGTCAGTGAGACTGCCGAATGCGGCCCTATGCGACCAATCAGCCGATTCTTGAGACATTCAGGGACATATCTCGCCCTTAACCCGCACGCTGGTGCATGCCTCGGTCGAGATTAATAATAATTAGGGCGCCTCGCCGAAGTTGATGTGTGTGGCTTTCGGGAACAGCATCAAGGTTCACTGAGATACGGAGCCAGATCCGAAGGTGAACCTTTGGCTTTGGTCAAGCATGAGATTCATCACTTGGCCCTGCTGTACATCACCAGGTGATTCACTGAGATACGGAGCTGCCTCCGAAAACGAATTCCTGACTTCGGTCAAGCATGAGGTGTTCGTATGGTCAATGAAGATAAGACAAAGTACATGTTTGATCTACTTGAATATCTTCAATGTCGGAGTATGTTGACACTCAGACCCATGTGCGTGCGTTGATACCCACCGCCGTAGACGTCTCAGTGTAGCTTCACCGCCAATCTCAGATCAAATCCAGCCGTGGAAACCCAGTTCTGAAAACATTTTCTGGGTCAAACTTCTTCTTCACGTCCTTCAGCTTCGCCAACGTCTCTTCGCCGAACAGGGCTGTCCAGTTCACGTCTTTGTCAGGGCCCAGATTGCGGTAGCCGCAGGGCAACGTCAAGCCCTTGGCAGACAGCTCAGCTACGAGGCCGTCGTTCCATTTCTTGTAGCTCTCGAACTCGGCAGGCTGAAGCCCGGCGTCGGGCACGCCGGCATTCGGGTTCACGATCCGGTGGCGCCTGCGAAGCGGGTAGCACGCCGCCGGGTTCTCTTGGAGAGCCCGTCCGTGAGCACTGTGGATGACGTTGGCGCACATCGGTCCGGGAGGTGGGTTGTTCGCGATAAGGTTGCCCACTTCTGGTGAGAGGTATTCGACTGTGCACACACGTGGGTGAATGTGGTTGCCGGAGGGGTTGGGGAAAGCACTGTAGAACTCGTAGTCGGTGACTTGGACCGTAAGTATTCACTCCGTCTCATGGGAAAGGGGACTCCGCACCTGCTGCCACTGTATCTAGTATCGGCGTGCCGAGAGTCTTCAGCTTTTGATGGAACGCCCAGCCTTCCTCGAGATCATCGTCCTCCGATGTCCAGGCGAACACCCAAGCCAGGACAGCACCAACACCGGGGATCGTCATATGGGTTAACTCGCCGGAGAAGTTCACGGGAAGGTCCTTCTCAAACTCGCTGAACTGAGTCAGTACTTTACCTGCCTCCGCGTTCGGATAACCCAGGAGACCACCAAGGTAGGCCGTCTCGGGGTACAACTTGACTCGGAGCTCGACAACCACGCCGAAGTTGCCGTTACCAGCTCCGCGCAGAGCCCACAGAAGATCGGGATGTTCATCCGTATCGACCACCTCGCCGCTGGCCAAGACGACCCGCGCCCCGAGAATCTGATCGACGCCCAGGCCGTAGAACGCACTCGAATAGCCGTACCCTCCGCCGAGAGCCCATCCGACGATGCCCACAGTCGCGCACCAGCCATGTGGCGTCAGGAGTTTGTGCTCGTGGAGAAACTTTGACAGGTTGACACCGAGAATACCTCCGCCAACGCGAGCGGACTTCTTGTCCTCCGCGACCACGGCGCTATCGAGACTGCGGAGGTCGATCATGATGCCATCTTTCCCCTGCAGCTGGGCGGCGACTAGGTCGTGTCCGCCGCTTCTGATGCCGAACGGAACGCTCTTAGCTTGAGCCTCTTGAATGACGGCCGCAACCTCGGCGTCAGTTCTTGGGCGTACGATTGCTCCCGGCTGGTTTGTGAAGGCTGCGTTGTAGAATGGTCTGACTTCCTCGAAAGTGGCGGCTGAAGGTGTGTATATCAGCAGATCCGGAAACTTCTCAGCGAGGTCGCGAAGATGAGGCGCTTCCGACGCGATCTGCTCGCGAGTTGAACCCTCAGGGTTGGAGACGCGGAATTCAGCTGTGGCTTCAAGTGGCGCCATGTTGGTCGTAGTCAATCTCGATGGGGATGGCGATTGTGCAGTTCGAAAGCTTTTCTGGAACGCGAGCTGTCTTTATGGGAAGAGAGATCTGCCCCTCACTTCGACCTAAGCCAGGCCCTTCTCTGAGTTATCATGGTGGGATATGATATTGGAGCAGGGTCCTCAATCCTTGAAGTCAGGGTAGGATCGAACTGAAGTCCCACGTATCGCCAATCACGAGCATCTCCAATGCGATGAGGTGGACCACCACGGCTGCAGCTGGCCGAGGATGGCTAGATTCGCTCACGTCAGATATGATATTCTGCCACTGACGAATCCAGCTCTAGCAATATCTTCTTAACGAAAGAGGGGTTGAAGATTTGATGGCAGTCTCCTCGTGTGACCTGTGAATCTTCAGCGTCTATCGGGACGTATGCAACTTTTACAATGCGCTTGTGACTTTCGAGGTGAGTGCCTCAGACCGATTGATGTTGGACTTTGGTTTGCCCCGCTCGTCTGTTGGTTCGACTTGGCGTGGTGCGAGGCGCGCAGCAACGTGTCATCGGGACCCCTGGCTGAATGTGATTGTCAGATTGGTGGACTCAGCTCTCTAGTCTCGGTTCGCTGCATTGTGACAATCACAGCATATGCAGATTGTTGAAGATACTGCCGTCTGGTGCAGTGTCTATCTGTGGAGAAATCTCCGCCCAGCATCTGACACCCGGGAAGGGAATCGGAAAATGCGGCGCAGCCGGAGATGGTTTTGGTAGGATCGGAGTTTACCTGGGCCGGCTAGACAGCGGATGAGACGGCATATCGGAATACTGAGTCGGCTGCACTCAATTCGCTCTCGCCAGCACTGGGAGGGGAAGGGATCTTGGCGACGTGAAGCACAAGTCGTCCAAAGACTTGGACGCCCTTCAAGTCATGTGCGACATTGATCCACATGACTTTGTCGAGATTCTTCTTCGCTTCTGGCCATGTCTGCCCCAGTGACCCTTGAACAGAGGCCAGCTTTGGCAGCAGCCACGAATCGTCGGCCTCGCTGAAGACGGTCATGGATCCCATGACCAAGGTCCAGGCAAAGACCGTCTTCGCCGCTGGTGTTGACAGCTGCGACATGTCAACTTTGTTCAGCGTCTCTCGAAATCTATTCGTCATCCAGATGAAGTTCATTTTGAGTCCGAGAACATGGAGAAAGAGACTGGCGATGAAGCCGAGCATCGCCAGTCGGAAGGCTTCTGCCATGATGTCGGCGTCGTCGTCGAGTTTCAAGTAAATGAGACGATATTGAACGGATGTCATGAGTGCCTGGAACTTATCGGGGTCCATCTTCTTCATTCGGAACAGGTAGTTGACCATCCGAGAAAAATCTTGCGTATCCTGGAAGATGTTGCTCAAACGAAGATCGAGCGAATCCACATAACTTCGTATGGGACAATGACCCTGCTGAGGCTCGAGTCCGCCAGGACATGGTCCCAAGATAGACGTGAACGATCGCTCATACGACAGTTTCTCCCTGTAGTAGACCGGCATTTCTCCTGTAATCAGAGACCAACCGATGTCAACGCTACATTCGGGTTAGTACATGTCCAGGAAGAAGTTTTCACAAGAGACGCTCACCGGCATGTCTTGGCGTAAAGCTGGAGATTATGCTGGAAACTGTCAACACCACCGCGAAGTTTGACTATTTGCCGGAGCCCAGCAACATGAGCGGTGGACGACGCATGATCTCCGAATAACTCGGCCACAATACTCACGGTCACGATCGTGGCGACCGTCGAGTCGGCCACGGCAGTGTCCTTGTTGGCGAGATTCTGGTTCAGGTATTTCAGCGTCTTTCCAATGTGGTAGTTGGTCTTCTTGCTCCGTTTTGTCCCCCGTACCCAATCGTTAAGGAGAGCGACGGTGAACAGGGTGGAGTGCAGATAGGCCGGGTCCATCATCAACCAAAAGAACCACGGAGTCTTGCTTGCGTCGAACCGCACACACCACTCGACGGGGTACATCGCTTCTTTGATCACGGTATAGACTGGGTACGAAACGTAAGCACATGAGGACAGGGGATGACGAATGGGCTCGTACAGTCGAATAGCATTTCCCGTGAGCTGCTGTCGATGTCATCAGCAAAGGGGCACATGAACACGTCGTGGGGTGCGTATAGGATCTTCAGGAGACCCTCCTCCTGATCCTCGCCACAGGATTCATCAGAGGAACCACTCGACGAGGGGGTCGATCCAGCGGATACTGCTGCCACCAGTTCCTGTGACCTGCGGGCCTTGTCCTCCTTTTTCGCAGAGGTGCGGCGGGTCGGGGCGGCCCGCGAAGCGCGTGTGTTCTTCCCTCGCATAACATGGCTGCGGATCAGCTTACGGTCTCCCGAGTTGGGCTTCCCGTCCGGATCTGCGATGACGAACGCAAACCCCTTATTTGCTGCTGAGCCAGATCAGACAGGTGTCGTATCATTCCAGGCGGATGAGGAAGCCTTACCGCTACGTTTCTGACCGCCCATAGCGGCTGGCTAACTTCCCGAAGCTCCGCTCTTGTGGCTCTTGAAGGATGTATTGGTGATCGTTCGACTCAACCCGGTTCAGTTTCGGGCTGTAAACGTGGCTCAGTACAGGCACGCATACGATACGGCCAATGATCTCAATACGAAGTCAGTCTCCGAGACACCCTACTGCTCACTGGGTACCAGAACTCACATGAACGCGTGAAACCGATCACTTTCAACGGATGACTGTTCACCACAAAGACACTGTTTGCCTAAAACGGCATACAATCAAGATTTTGGGGGAGGGAAATATTTGACCAAGATCTTGACGTGAGAAGGAGTAAACCTCTTTGGTGCGACAGACGTTCTTCGATTACCCACACTGCGCCGCACGTTTCCATCTCTGAGCCAGCCCGAACTAACACGCTCGCTTACCCCGCTCCAAGGATCACCGCCGTAACGCCTGAGTCGTTGCGAGTCTTGATTGTTGCCTTCTTCCGGTCTAGCGCCAATCCTTCACACCCGTTCATAGTAAACTTACCAGATACGGAAATCATTCCAGATCAAAGCCCACGCGCGCTGATTAAGAGATTTCTGCGCGAACCCATGCTCAGAGATGATAGATGTTAGTGCGAACAGGCAAATCGTGTGGTCTTTGGTGAGCACCCGCTAACATATGTGATCCTTGAGCCTGTAACACCGCCGATGTGGGGCCTGGCGCCGGCCGCCGGACTTAGCAGCCCCGGGTCCGGGCCCGATCATGAGCCCGAGGTTCATTTCTTTCCCTTTTAGGAATTCAATCGGACCTGAAATCACAACATTTCCCATTTTCAGCCATCGGCTTTGGGAAATTTGGCTCATGCTTAATCCGATAGATTGCACGACAATGACGAAGGTCCACGGCGCGACAATGGGAACAGACAGTGGAGTTATGGTATCTCCTGCTGTGTAGTGTTTGAGCATCGTGTGGTTCATGAGTATAAGAGGACAGCGGGAAGATGAAGCTTGAAGAGCATTATTCACCACAACACCACCGACTACAACACCATCTGCCACAACATCTTCCACGACAGCATCGCATCATCTGCTACATCGCCATCATCTCAACAATACACATCGCTCGCCAAGGCAAACACGTTTTTTTAAAAACCTATCTCCACGATCGAACCGTTCAAGATGACAAGCTCCATCAACCTTCCGCCCTTGAATGCAGGAGCATTGGGTCTGACGATGAAGGCTTGCTGTGCAAAAGCTCAGATGCCACCCAAGGACCTGTCATTTGCCGGACAGACTGCCATCATCACGGGATCCAACATCGGCATAGGCTTGACTGCCGCAAGGATGCTTCTGGAGAAGAACCTATCCCATTTGATAATGTCGGTCCGTTCCGCAAATAAGGGAGAGGCCGCCGCCTCTGAACTCCGGAAGAAGTTCCCCTTCGCCAAGATAGAAGTCTGGTCGCTGGACATGCTCTCCTACGACTCCATCCAGAAGTTCGCCGCCAGGTGTTCCGCACTGCCGCGCATAGACTTCGTCATCCTCAACGCCGGTGTCGCGAAGGAAACCTTCGATCTTGCCCCGACCGGCCACGAAGAGTCTATCCAGGTGAACTACCTATCGACTGCGCTGCTCGCTATCCTTCTTCTGCCTGTGCTGAGAGCCAAGAAGATCGACGGGAAAGCTCGCACACTGTCCATCGTCAACTCCGGCACGGCCATGATGACGAAGTTCAAGGAGCATGGAAATGTCCCGCTCTTACCCTCCTTTGACGACGGGAAGACCTTCGACCTACTCGACCGATACGCGGTGTCCAAGGTTTTGGGCCACCTCTTTATGGTCAAACTTGCTGAAAGCGTCAGGAAGGAGGACGTGATCGTGAACTTGGTCGACCCTGGCTTGACTAAAGGAACGAACCTGCACGGCGGTTTGAGCGCACCGATACGGGCTATCATGGGAGTAGCCAAAACCATGACCGGAAGACCAATCGAACAGGGAGCATCGACTTATATTCAAGCTGTCACAAGGGGAGAAGAAACCCACGGCAGCTTCCTCATGGACTGGACCATCACCCCGTCAGTTTTAATCGCACACTTTATCTTGAGCTTCCGCTAACATTTATTTGACAGATTCGCCTCTATCATTTACACACCGGAAGGAAAGGCTGCGACAGAGAGATTGTGGACCGAGACTCTGGATGACCTCGAGTTCGCAGGGGTTCACTCGATCCTTAGCTCTATGCAGTCGGGTTCAAGATAAGGATTGCGCCGGATTTCAGGCCATGGGCCTTTTGGACCGCCAGTCTGGATCGGTTCTTCTTGATTTCTGCAGGCGTTATGGGTTGGGTGGTATGCATGAAGCTTGACTGATGGAGATCGGTTCAAAACATGAGGTCCTGTCTAGGTGCTGGGGTCTGCGGGGGTTTGGGTAGGATAGAGGTTTAGACCAGGTTTGCGATTGTTAGCATATAGATCTGATTTATCATTCGTAGAAAGCAAGGTTCCTTTTCTCAGAAGTTCCAGTAACACCAATTGCCTAGATATCATTGTCAGTGTACATACCTTGCTGCAGGCTCTGTGGCAAGAGATCTCACTCTGAGCATCGTCTGGCAATCCGGACTTCGGCACATAACACGACATACCACCACGGATTCAATGCTCGCCTCAATACAATAGGCTGACGTCAATGAGGTGATCAGGCTATGGTTGAGAACAGCGTGTGGCAACGAAATACATCACTCGGACTAATCAGGATGCGCCATACAAATGAAGAAAGACGCAAGATGTGCGAGCTCGAAGGCGATGCGATGTGATGCCCAAACGGATAAGATGATCACTTAAGCGATAGGTCAAGGTCAGATCGACATCGCAGATGTCGTCAAGCTTTCTTCGCAGTCCCCGAGAGTCTGGTCAATCTGCACTGCACCTTTGCATCACCTCCTAGGCTAGGGCTGCAGGCCTGAGAAGCCTATACACGGCCAAAACGACTATTTCTCATACGCCACTGTCCATCGTGTGGCAATGATGGGTGGCGTGGTGCGTCCGATGTAGTCTTGCTGGAAGCCTTTCGTGCTGAACGAACCCATGTTGTGTTGGTGGTTGGTGTAAGCCGGGAGGGCGAGCGGTGATCGGCTTTGAACGGCGATCTGGGCACTTTCAACGCGCACGATAGGTTATTCACGGCTCGAATCCTGCCTGGAAGCATCCGTAAACTCGATGGATGGTTCCATCATCTCGCTCAAGCTCCATGCCGTGAGTGCGGCACGGCGCCAACGAACAACACCCTCTTGCGAGTCGCCCATCGCGGAATGCAACGACCTTCCAGAAACCGACAGCCCGATACGATGCCCTCCTTCTGCTCAGTAACCAATGCCAAGCAGTCAGATGCATACAGGGCCACCAACAGCTTGTCAATGCATGCCAAGCACCATTATCAGTCAGGGATGGCAACGCAGTCGCCCCGACCAATGGCTTTTGACGTGAAAACAACCGTAATCGCAGCTACAACTGAGCCAGGTTTGCCGTGGCACGATAGGAGGTCTTTTTCAGCAGCTGAACGCTTGTCCAAGACCTTCCAAGACGGCAACATGTGCCCAGGCGGAGCATTGTCATCGCCAAGTAGAGGCCACGAGCCGTGATCCGAGACAGCGTCTACGCCGATTTGCGTGACCCTGGGGCTTGAGTGAAGCTTCGTTTGAGCACCGGCAGACGCGCAGCTCTTGTGAAGAAGTCATGTACTCGGTAAACATTGAACAACCCCATAAGCAGTTCTCGCGATGGCAGCTATGTCAACGAACTTCGCAATGCTGACAGGCAGCAAACCGAATGTGTTGTCAGCGAATACCACTACGCCGAGACCTCATCGCAATGAGAGCAATCGGAACCGGAAGCTCATTGCGGTCGGGCGAGCACATGACCGAAGTTCTTCCCGAGCTGCCTCTTTTCGGCTTTCGGACAAGTAATTGCCAAAAGAGATGAGTTCTCGCCGTGCGATCCTGTCATACGGTGACTTCTGCGCCGCAATCTGCGCCGCACAAAAGGCCTCCCATGTCATGGGCCTGATGGCTGAATCGCGCTGAGAATCGTCCCTGAAGATAGCTCGAGCCTCGGTGTGTGTGAGAGAGGTCTTGGCAATGTGCTTGACTTTAAAAGCATTTAGTCTAGCAAATTAATGATAGCGATCACGCGCGCATTGCGATAACGGTGGAGGGCATTACGCCATGCGCCGACCGGGATAAAGCTGCATGTCGAATGCCCCAATGGCGCTGGGGAATATTGACCTGCCAAATGAAGAAATCTGGAGAAGGGCCAGTCCCGGTCGGGGTTAGACGAGCAATTGAGTTTCTCGTACCACGGGCGGCGTTGGGCCGTTGGCTCAGAGTTTGTGTGAACGAGCATGCTGGCCAAGATCTGTGTCGCAGGGAAAACGCCGTCGGTGATTGTTACGGTAGCAAGGAGGTAATCTGAGCAGCATCGAAGTCTGATTTGAAAAGGATTCCGCCAAAGCCAACGATTGATCTGAAGCACGCAACGGATAATTTTGCGAGCTCGGAAAAGTGAGTGCGGTCAGGATTGATACCTGATAAAGGCCAGAGAAGAGTCGACAGCAATCTGGCCAAAGTCATCAGTTCAGCATCCAATGTCGTGACAGGAAACAGGCAGGGGTAGTAGATAGGACGCGTTGCTCGTTGCTCGACCCATCTAATAAGCTGCCGATAGTATGAGCCCGTGAGGGGGCTAGCAAGGGTCTGCGTGGAGGATTGCCTCCAAAAAGTTCCTCCTAAAGAAGTGTCTTGCGACAAGCGAACACAGATTAATCAACTTGCCACCTATTTGCTGGTCGGATGATACGACTTTGAGCAGAAGAAAGGCTTGTGAGTGGTCAATTACCTTGCGGAACCCCGGACATCTGGCAGATAAGCGTGGGAGAGATGGAGCGGGTGTTTGGGGGGACGAGACCTCTCTCTGGATGAATGTGTTCCCTGCCGAGAGGCATCATTCTCTCAAAGTCCGAAGTCGTCTTCATCCCGTTGATGGTTTCGTGATGCTAAAGTGAGCCGCATAGTGCACAAGCTTCGGGGAAGATCTCTTAACTCGCCTTGTCGCTCTCGGCTGGTAGGTCTTGGGCGTCTTGGAAGCATATCGAGAGTGTCTTGGTATTCTTGGAAAGACGGGCTTGGAAAGCTTGGGCATCTTGGGATACTTGCGAGAAGACACCACACCAAGGGTCCAACGGATTCAACGCCCGTCTTTGAACATGTCCGTCTTGGTAGTCGGGCTAAATTGCCAATCCATGCCACCGACTAGCGCGCAACTTTGAAGACGGAACGCAAATGCCGAGGGATGATTCGTTGGAGGACGTGAACCAGCCAGCCATCACCCCTCTCACCCGCCCACCCATCCGTCCATCCACCCTCCGAAGGATGAACAACGGTCTTCTAACATCCTTCTTTTCTGCTTCGATGTCGGTTTGATGGCGCTTACCGGCCACGTCTTCGGCGACCACGACGTACAAGGTATCGCATCGTGATACGATGGGCTACTACTGTACTTCGCAACTCTGAAGTCGGTCACCCTGTTCATCCGAATGAAGCGGCACAGCACCTAAACCTAGCGGATCTTTTGACAAAGGTCGAGGTCTGGACGGAGGGGAGGCGATCGAGTTCTCCATTCATCGAGTCCTCCCGTTTATAATCCCTGCAAAGACCCCCTCATCTTATCGTGTGCCCGCCCCCAACGCTCCAGATTCAGTTACAGAGGGAAGTGGGCTTCAAGACGCCTTCTTCCGCGGCGGCTCCCTCCCACATGTCAGTCCCACACGAGCAAGCTATTCGAATGTTTGCTGCTCTCACAGCAGACACAGGTTCGGTGGTACTCCCACACGCGACAGTTTGCGATCAGTGCCGAGACCGTGAGGGACCCTCGAACGGCAACAAGGTACGAGACGGCACACAGGAACGGATAGACACTTCAGCTTGCCACCAGGATATCCCCGCCACTGACATTGACGGGGGAGATTGAGAAGAGTGCGGTGTGGGAGCCCGGGGAGCGGGCAAACCAACCTCTCGCTGATTGATGAGAAACATGCGTGGGATTGATAGTCTCTAATGTCGATTCGCCAACAACTGGCATTGGTCCCGATCGACAGTGATTGAGACAGACCTGCACTCTTTCTGCGGGCTGAAATGTCGCACCACGATGAAGCCATCGCGATTGCGACATGGGCGCCATCTCAGCGAAGCAACGGATTGAAATGATTGGCGACTTGACCTGCAGTTGCTACAGCTGATGGCAAGCCGCTTCAAAAAGTTCCTCTGTTGGTAGCTGGCAGGTATTGCCTTACCGTATCGAGGCCCTCCGAAGTCTCAGTCGCACGCGATGGCTGGAAACCGGCGGAACGCCGAAGCTGGGCACAGAGATATCCGCAAATTCGGACTCGAAGATGCCAACAGCGGAAGCTCTAACTTCATCAGCAAAGGTTCCATGCGCATCTGCATGGGCCAGAGAGACCTTTGCGTGAGAACTGGAGCCCCGTCTGCATGTTCTCTGTGAAGACTGGGACTGATCCCGGTGGGTAACCGGGAGGAGGGGGCAGCATGCGGGTTGCGTTTCCGCCCAAACCAGGAAAAGAAACATAGAACGAACCACGACATTTTGATAGGCTCAGAGGTCTCAATGTCTGTTCATTCGAACTTTGTGTCCGCACGAGGATAGGCATGGTATTCCCTCTCTGATCCTTCGTCACGATTTCCTCACCTCAACCTTCTCTCATCTCTGCCGTCTGACACTGGTTCTGAGTGAGCAACCCGATATGGACAAGGTAGGGAAGCAGTTCCTTGCCTTCTTCGATGTCCAGGGACCTTTGATATCGGCCATGTCGAATGCAGAAGGTAGAGCTGTCTGCCGCCAGGGTTGCACTGCACTCTCGGGATGCACGACCAGACGAGGGTGCCGGTTGGAAGTCCAGCCCTGAATATGATCACCCATGCCACACACCCTTGCTCCAAAAAGAAGAAGCTGTGCCATCCCAGCCTATGCCATCGCGTCGTTCCATCTTGGGGGGAAGAGACGTTCATCCAGGATCGTCTCGTGGCGACACTGTCACCACCGTTCTTGTCCGTCGGTTGCCAGGCCGTTGGGATTCCCGTCTCCACCAAGTCGATAAGCATACTCGGTCGCCTCATGGCCCTGGATATTAAAGGCTCCCGATATCCCCGTCCCCTCTTTCCCCGTTTCTTCTTGTTTCTCGGTCACTGGCAAACTTCCAGCCCAAGATTCGACGGGTCCAGCAGATCAACCTTTGCACACCTCACTCAAGGTGACAAGAAGTTCTGACCCAGCGCAACCATGTCTGAGATCCGTGAAAACCGGCCCGTCCACCAGGGCGGTGTCCTCTCGGACGAGAAGGCCCCTCCCGTAAGACGACTCGCCTCATGGGCCTTACTCAAGGCCCTTTGAACTGACGTGATTGTGTGCTAACCTTCCCTTCACAGATCATCGACGCTCATCCTGATGGCACCGACTACAATGAGCACGTCGAGAGAGACCTCAACGTCACCGAGGACGATCTCCTCGAGGCCAAGGAGCTCGCCTCGCAGATGACCCTCGAGGAGGTCCGCGAGATGATGTTCAACGTCCACAAGATCCACGAGAAGGACCCCAACTTCCCCCTCGTCATTATCGAGAAGATCGAGGCCTTCCTCCAGAACGACGACGTCTTCACGAACCCCGAGAAGCACGAGACCTTGATTCAAGAGATGAAGCTCGAGGCCGCTCTCATCACGGGTAACTCGCCCTACTCCGAGGTGCGCGCCGTCGTCGACAACCACGATGATCCCACGATGCCCTCTTCGACCATCCGTGCCTGGACCATTGGCCTGCTCTTCTCCGCTCTGCTCGCCTTCGTCAACCAGCTCTTCTCCGTGCGCTACCCGTCCATCACGATTTTGGCCAACGTTGCCCAGTTGCTCGCCTACCCCTTGGGTAAGCTGTGGGAGAAGGCCCTTCCTGATGTCGGTTTCAGCGTCTTTGGCTCTCGCATCTCCCTCAACCCTGGCCCGTTCAACCGCAAGGAGCACATGCTCATTACCATCATGGCCAACGTCGCCTACAACATTCCGTACACCAACTACATCATTTGGACTCAGGTAAACTTCTACCCTGTCTCGTACAACTTTGCACTTCAGACGAGAATCAACTAACAATGATGTAGTGGCTCCCCCAGTTCTTCAACATGCCGTATGCCGCCAACTTCGGCTATCAGCTCCTCATCTCGCTGTCGACCAACTTTATCGGATACGGTCTGGCCGGTCTCTGCCGTCGCTTCCTCGTCTACCCTTCGTACTGTGTCTGGCCCGCGTCGCTGGTGACCATCGCCTTGAACGCCGCCTTCCACGCCGACAAGAACAGCACCGTCGACGGTCCCTTCCGCAGCGTCTGGAATGCCAGCAGACAGAAGTTCTTCTACATCGCCTTTGCCGCGATGTTTGTGTGGTTCTGGTTCCCCAACTACATCTTCACTGCTCTCAGCACCTTCAGCTGGATGACCTGGATTGCCCCCAGCAACCGCAACCTTGCCACCATCACTGGCTTCAACAGCGGTCTCGGCTTCAACCCCTGGCCCACGTTCGACTGGAACATCTTGTGAGTGACACCTTCCAACGCTGTCTCGCTGGAAATCTACTAACCGTCGCAGGCTGTTCGATAACACTGACCCTCTGATGGTTCCTTTCTTCTCCACCTTCAACAAGTTCCTCGGCACCCTCATCTCCGGCTTCGTCATCATCGCCGTTTGGTACACCAACACCTACAACACCGGCTACCTTCCCATCAACTCCAACAAGGTGTACGACCACTTTGGCAAGCTGTACAACGTCTCCCGCGCGATCAACGAGCACGGCCTGTTCGACAAGGATGCCTACGAGGCCTACTCTCCTCCCTTCCTGGGAGCTGCCAACGCCATGATCTACATGTTCTTCTTCGCCATCTACACTGCCACCATTACCTACGCCTTCCTGTACCACAGACATGAAATCGCGCTCGGCTTCAAGGCTCTGATCGGCAGCTTCCGCAAGAACAGCGACATCGAGAAGGACCAGGTCCTTGACGTCCACAACCGTCTGATGAAGGTCTACCCCGAAGTTCCTGAGTGGTGGTACCTGCTCACCTTGGTCGTTGCCATCGCCCTTGGTTGCGCCGGTATTGCCGCTTGGCCCACTTACACCACCGTCGGTGTCGTCTTCTACGGTATCATCCTCTGTCTCATCTTCGTCGTGCCCGTTGGTATCATCAAGGCCATGACCGGTATCGAGGTCACCCTCAACGTGCTGGCTGAGTTCATCGGTGGTTCCTGGGTCGAGGGTAACGCGCTGGCCATGAACTACTTCAAGTCCTTCGGCTACGTCACCTGCGCCCACGCCGTTTGGTTCTCCAACGATCTCAAGCTTGCGCACTACGTCAAGATTCCCCCTCGCCACACCTTCTGGGCTCAGATGATCGCGACGCTCGTTTCCACCCTCGTGTGTCTCGGTGTTCTGAAATTCCAGATGACTAGCATTCCGGGAATCTGCACTGCCGATGCCAAGTTCAAGATGACCTGCCCCGGTATCAACACCTTCTTCACCGCCTCCGTTCTTTGGGGTACCGTCGGTCCCAAGAAGGTCTGGGGTGCCGGCGGCCAGTACACCGAGACCCTTCTCGGTTTCCCCCTCGGTGTCGCTGTTGTCCTCATCTTCTGGGGTCTCGCCAAGGCCTTCCCCAGGTGGAAGTGGCTGCGCCAGATTCACCCCGTTGCCATGATGTACGGCGCCCTCGTCTGGGCCCCCTACAACATGTCTTTCGTCTGGCCCTCCGTCCCCATCGCCTACTTCTCCTGGGTCTACCTCAAGAGCCGCTTCCTGGGTTTCTGGTCCAAGGTATGTTTTTGGCCCCTCAACTCCGTGACTCCCCATTTCGAACAGCAGCTGACATTGCCCGCAGTACAACTTCGTCCTCTCCGCTGCCTTCTCCTGCGGTATTGCCATCTCCGGTATCATCATGTTCTTCGGCCTCCAGTGGCAGGACATTGAGGTCGACTGGTGGGGCAACTCCGTCGTGTCTGAGGGATGCGAGGGTCTGGCTTGCCGTCTCCTCACTCTCGAGGACGGCGAGTACTTCGGTCCCCGCATTGGCGAGTTCCACTAGACGTTGTCGTTCGAGGACCCTGCGACCTGGATGTCGCGGTTTTGCTTGTCTTGTTTCAGCGGGCGTATGATGTGACGAAAAGAATGTGAAGGCCAGGAAGATGATGGCTTCATTAGAAGATGTAATCCACGGATGTAATGAAACGTAGTATGAAGATGAATACCCCAACACTCGTTTGCGAAACTTGGATGCCGAACATATCCTGACGTCGTCTGTCGTGGGCTTCGTTCATGAAGATTGGATGCATAGCTAATCACTCTTCGTCATGAAGACGCGTGGCTGGTTGATTTCTCTCCGTTAGAGCTTGCCTTCGGTGCGTGCCTCATAAAAGATCGGGTGTCGAACTCGTGGGTGTGTCTCTTCGGACCACTCTCCGAAGAAAATGAAAGAGGAAAATCGTTCTCCGACATGACTTCGATGGTGGTGCGTTGGATCTAAGTGTCACCACTCAATTCGTTCGGCTGGAGCTTTTCGGTGACCTTTCAAGCCACTGGTCATTGTTGCGTCTTTGAACACGAAATTCCCCAAGCTCGTATTAATACCATCGCCAAACGGACTCGATCCCGCAAGGATCCCGTTCGGTGCCGCGCCGGCGTGGCTGTGCTCGATAGCGCGGGGGCCCGGAAGAGCCCCTGTAGAACCGTCAAGGTGCGAATAGCCGATACGGCGACTCTGACGATCGGGATCGTGTGCTACGGCACGAGTCTGACTTTCTGACAGGAGGTTAGGTATTCGAAGGGTGACTTGAAGAGGATTTTACGGGCCTTGCACTCGTGAGAATTCGATGCTGGCCAGGTCAGTTGCAGCGGGATACGAATGAGATAACCTTCAAGCAAAACAATTGAGAACCACCAGGAACCATTATAGACGGGATAGGAAGGCCGTATTATGAGTCAAATTGAATACACAACTGCCAACAGAGCTTGCGTAAGGAAAAAGAAAAGACGCAATCCTGAACAAACAACATGACTAGCACACTTTCCTATCTCAAGTATTATTTCCAAAGTCGGCAACTCCTCTCGGCATTGCAATCTCACCCAAGAACCCGAACCAATCACGCATGAGGCCCGGCGGGTATCATAGCAGAGCTGCAAAGTTCGCCAGGCTTACCGCAGCGGGACACGTACCCGGACATACCTCCTTGCAGTTGTCTGAAATGATATCGATTCCAAGGACGCCAGGTGACTCACGGCTGAGATCGAAGTCGCCCGGCTGTGATGTACCGCTGAAATTGCACATGTGCGCTTCGAGCTGGTTGGATGGGAGTTGGGAGGCGGCCGCCGTGGCGCGTAAGCTGGGCGTCCTGGGCTTTCGAAGATGATTGCTCACTCGCCCGATGCTCGAGGCGTCACTAGGAGCTCATATCCCGGTATACTGTTGATGACGAAAGCGATGCGGTCAAACTGCCACCGAGTGCTAACAGCTATAACCTCAATATTCGAAATCCAGGCCACTTCATGTGTTGTCCATCTTGTCTCAAATGCATACACGTTGTCATGTGTTATTGAACCTGAATAATCACCCAGGAAGAAGGATGACGGATGAGCTAGGTATTGAGACAACAGCAAACGTTCGCTCTCTTTCTGGGACCTTTTCTTATCACAGACTAATTAGTAGGGACACCTAAGCTGTCTTGCCTGCGACGGATCGGACTACAAGCCATCTTGATCTTCCTCAAAGTGCATTAGTATGACGGCTTTTGTTGTTTTATATTGGGTCCCGTTCGTTAACCTCTCTGTGTGTTTTCTTGGTCACTGACTGTTGTCTTTGATTGGGATGGGGATAAATCAAGTCGGGGTATCTAGGCTTAAGAGTTATTGATTAGTAAACAAGCCTCGTCTTAATTCTTAATTCTATCTTGTTATCAATATATTATGATGGCTTTGACAAGGCAAGATACTGATAAGGCAACAGACGTAGCGGGTGCTGCATTGCATCCTGAACTACTCAATCTATCGGCCCCACGGACGCTCAATCTTCTAAGAGCTTCCATAAGTGTAGCCTTGATATTTGCTGTACGCACGCAAACCTCACCGTTTTCACAGTCGTCTCTCATGTAATACAAACAAAATAAGTAAACGACAATACCACTGAGAGACGCCAATTGTTCCAGGAGTATTTCTCGACCAGCGCAAAGAAACACACGCGATAAGACGTCTTGGAAACTGACATCGCGACTGGTATTAGAAAGGAAACAACCAATGCTTCCTCCTTCGCAAATATTCCTCGGCTGAGCCTACCCCACATCAATCTGCTGCAGCTAATGCATTCCTGAATGGGATGCTTAAATAGGTACTGAATCAGAAAGGTATGATAATATACGTATACAAACTAGCTACCATGATCTTCAAGCTAAGTCTGATTTCACGGTGCAAGAGAGAGGTATAAAAGCAACACTGCATGCTACTAGTTGGACGATTCTGCATGCATGTTACCGCATGGGCCTTCGCCGTATACCATCATGCTTTTCGGGAAGGGTCTCTACCTGCAACATTTCACAACTAAGATTCGAGAACTGCAGCGTGTGACGGGAACCACTCAGTGTCGGGCACTCCACCTCATAGGTCTTTGCAGAATACACCTAGAGAAACAATAGGAACCGACGACGACGAATTCTAGAGGCGGAGAGGCCCTGAGATGGTTACACATCAACTTGTTGAGTAACTCTTCGAAAAGCCTCGTGGCGCTGGGATGCTTGAACTGGGATTCGCGTGAAGATGGCACCAGAGCCGCTTCCATTATGAGGAGTACGCACTCCGCCTCACTCCATAAAGAGTTCTAACTCACAGAGAAAGGGCAAGAGGCTTAAATACTATGCGTCTTGGGAAAAGTTGAGTTCAGTAATTCCAGGACCAAGTCTAAAATACCTTCCTTTGCCACACATGAGGAAGAAACAGACCGGACTGGCATATCCTTTGCATTTGGAGTAACGTGACAGAAAGATCTCTACAAGTTGGCGTCTCGTTTCACGAAGGGATCTCGTCAAGTATAAAATCATACCGAAATGCGAGAGTACGATATCTGTAAGCATGTCGTGGTCGCATTTCACGTAGCCTACCGTGCTTTCTCCACGTAAACCGAGATACCACTCGATGTCGTCGAGATGCTGTAGCTTGACGTTGACCAAATAGCCGCTGTGTCCCATTCTGCACACGCTCTCAGCTCTGCTAGCTTATTCAGTCTCGGATACTCTCACAGTGATGAGGAGAAACAGCGAGGGTACTCATGATCAACCACGGCCTCCCACGTTGACGCGTGAAACTTGACGATCGGTCTCATCCAGTCTCGACTTACTCTACTAAGCAGCAGCCCTTTCAAGCACACACTTTTCGACGTCCCCAACGCTGTTCGCAAGAATACCATGGGCAAAATTACCTACAAATATAGGCACAGAAGATCAAAGGCCGTCGCAAAGGTGGCTTTCATACGTTTGATCAATCGTTCAGTATGGCTGCCTCTTACCCCTCGCATCAATAACACCCACGATGCGTCCATAGTTCGAATGATGGAAAGACGAAGCGAAGAAGAACAATACATTCCAAAGACGCCATCCTTCCCTTTCTACCTTGGTATCAAACCCCAAACCCACACAAACCCACCCAACCAAGAAAACAAACGACCTACCTACTACTAAAACAGCTCGCCCCATTGCTCGAACAACAGCACCCCCCCGTATCAGAACAACAAAACCCTCCCCGGTCCGAGAAACAACACCCGCCCCTCGCGGAGCAGCACGCGCCCCCCTTGGAGGAACAACAACACCCGTCCGTGGACGAGCAGCAGCTGCCCCCGCTCGAGCTGCAACAGCACCCCGGCGTGTCCTTCATCGCCGCCCACCTGGCCTCGTCGTCGTGGTAGTCCTTCCCGTCCACGCTCATCGGGCTCGTGCGCCTGTACCCTTCCGCGCGTCCGGCGCCCGGCAGGAAACCCGCGTCTTCCCCTCTGACCGAGCTCGTGGAGCTCCTGGGGCTGCTGTCGCGCATGAGGGTGGAAGGCGGGGTGGGTATCGCCGCGGAGGCGGAGGCGGTGGATCCGCCGGCGGCTTCGTACGGGGGAGGAAGGTCGTGCCGGTCGTCGAAGGCGTCCTCTGCGTCGGGGACGGTTTGTCGATGCACGCCCATCTCGTAAGAGGCATCGGCTATCGACTTTGTCGACGCGTATGTCTTTTTCGGATCCATTTCTCCTTTTTTTCTCCCTGGTCAGATCAGATTTGGTAGGCCGGCGGCCAGTGTCGGCGGTTCACTCTGGCAGATCGCGGGGAAATGGAGCCCGGTGGTGCCACGCGCACGAGGTCGGTGGAGAAGGGCGCTGGGAACGCCGGAACAGGTGCAACGCCGTACGTAATGAGATGTTCGCGAGAGGATTCTCTCAAGTAATTGATGGAGTCCTTTCACGGAGCCTTGAGACGTGGATTCGCGGGGTAAAAAACGCGATTTGGATTCAATGTGTCAAATGTGGGCAATTGAGTGCGCGGAAATCCGGGGAAAATGGACGTCAATCTTATGTGTGCCGGTCGCACGGAACATGGTGAATATCGACGTCGCCGGGCTCAGAAGAGGCCTCGTAATCCTCTTCGCACAAACATGCACGCCTTGCCGCAATGGGGTTTCTGGTGTGCCTCGGCGCTCAGTTCTCAAGCCGCTTTCTTGAAGCGCAGTCGAGCGAGATAGCGCCTTGGGAATGTTGTGAAATGTGATTGGCACAACACCGAGCGCCCATTCCAACGGCTTACGACTCCCGGCGGACGCGACAGGTCGCCGGCTCAAAGGCCTCCCGCTGTGCCGCTGTCATTTGCAACGCGACGGGAGTCAGTCTGGTCGACCTACTGATCTCGGTGTGTGATTTATCCGTACCAAGGAATCGTCTCCCCAAGGCCAAAGTTGACTAAGCTGACAGGAGATTGGTGTGCGCCTACTCGGCCAGCACATATGCAAGCACTTCCAGCAGCCCCGGCATCGCATCGCAGGCACGCATCTCGAGATAAGATGCCGCCGTGGCATCGCGTCGATTCCGCCCAGGAACCAGGTGCGAGAAGGACAAGCGGCCAAGCCGTACCTCAGCTAGGCTTTCCGCCTGTTTGCGGGCGTTCAGCCCTTTGGACGAGGGCGAACAGAATCCTCCTAAACCCCCGATCGTGCCTTATCAGCGCCCTTGGCCATGCCGCGCGCGGGTGATCATCGACAAGCCTTCAGTAGACTGGGAGCGGCATTCCTTTGCGCTGGGCTGCGCCAAACGGCGGCAGAACAGGGCGCCTGTCGCTGTCAAGGACCACGGTCGCCTCGCCATTCAGCTGCTGCACGAAGCCGAGATGAACGCTCTCGGCGCATGAAGGCTCTGGGCAGCCCTACGGATACGTTGCCTGCCTTTCAGCTGGCAACGACGACACTTCATCCGCCTGCCCCAAACCTGTCGATATCAGTCGGATTTGACGTCCGGGAAATATATTGACCGTAGTAGCCCTCTTGGAGCAAATAAACCAACGACTCATGAGCCCTCTGGAAATTCCGTACACGCCCTAGCCGTTCTTTTGCGATGTCTTCGGAATTGAGCCTGATATCGGATGTAGATCACCTCATGATAGGATGTAATGCAACATGTCGAGTCGTCGACCAACAAATCCGATATCAACCAGGGGCGCGCAGTCGACATAAGATTGCGACACTTTCCGGCGGGTCCTTGTCACCAGCTTCGGCCAGCCCGAACGCAGGCGAACCTCGTCCCATACAGGTGTCCACATTTTGGGGAGATAAGAGCCGAGGAAGCAGAGACCAACGTCTAACGCAAGCTGTTACGTACGAGAAACGTCTTTTCGCACGAATGACGGCCTCGTAACGCTTCCCCAGAGGATGCTAATCCATCACCGTGGATTGGAGCAAGGTGACAGGAGCCGAACGGGCTGCTCCCCACGGTCCACACCTGTTCGTTTGAAGGGGGTTTCTGTGTCTGGACGCTCAACATCGAGGTGTGCGCCGTTAATTGACGCGAATCATGACACAGCGGCGCAGATAGCTTCACCACACGCGATGCGGGGTTTTCGACAGCGAACATCTCGCGGGTTTCGATGCCATTGGATCTACTTCCGATTGTGGTCGCGCCTTCAACATCTCCCTTGGCGGGATGTGATAGCTCTTGCGAACTGTGCCGAGTCCAACGTCATGTCGGGCTTGTCGCCGCCGAATCGCCCAATGGCTTCGCGCAGGCGGGGAGGCAGTGTCAATACCAAGAAGCCGTCGAAGGAGCTCACTGCCGTTTCGAGTGCATCTGCGTCGGGGCAATTTTGAATACGGGGCTCGTAGGACTGCCGCGCCGACTATCTCAGCGAAGTGGGTTGTTGCAAGTGATCCGTACCTGGTTGCCTGCCGCTAGGCCTTCCATCCCGTTGAGTTGACCTTGCCAGGACCAGCCAGAGTCGACGTTTTCCAACGGGTCTCACATGAAAGAATGCTCTTGATCGCGACAATTTTCTTGGGATCCGTGATGCTTCAAATAGAGACGGATCAGTCAGCCACAACTCAAGTGACCGCTGTGCGTGTGGTTGTTTTTGAAATTCAAAAGTGCTGTGGGCAAAGCACCAATGCTGACACCAGCCGGGGACTTCCTTGGAGCTCCCATCTCATCCGCCGCCCCTGTCTCTTGGTATCACGCTGCGGAGCGCCTGAGTCGTGTGACGCGCAGCTAGAGGAAATGCTCCATCTCTCACTGGTTGTTTGGTGTTGGAATGCCCGCTCGCGGCCTCATCCTCGGGAACTCTCCCCTGAACCACACATTCTCGTCCGGCCTGGCACCTTACACTCTGGGGGGTTTTCCCCGAGTTCAACCACCATCATTATGGAGCATTTCTAGGCCCCTAGGGAGTCTTCCGGGAGGATGGGCAGCGATGTGGGCACTACGGCAGCCCAAAGTCGAGCCGGCTCCGCATGAATGTGGTTCTGTCGTTCTGTGGTTCAGTACTTTCGCACCCTGGTTCGCTGGGTCTCCCGTGCAGCGTAGATAAGCGTTTCCGTCTCGAACTTCCGTCTGTTTGATATCGGAACCATAGATAAGACCAGCTGAATGACTTCACACGCATGCTTCTGGCCATGCGACTCGCGGGAGTCTCAGGGAGGCTCTGATCGCCCTCAGATTGACGAATCGAGATGCTGCAGCACGAGATTGGCCACACCGGCCGGCAGAACAGCGCTAGAAGCTTGAATAGAAGGCCCTAATAATCTGCCCGCGAGGCAATGCTGGTTGGTGAGTGGTGTGTGTGTGCATGCCGAGCGAGTTTAGCCAGCGATGGTACCCAAGCAAAACACCACTAGCCAGGAATAGCGGCTTCAAAGTGACGGTGAAGACAACGGGATTGGCGAACAAAAAAGGCGCTGGCACGGCACGATGCAGGCTACTGAAGTGAGGGGCCAGAAAGACATGGCAAACCCAACCCAGACCGCTTCACCGAACATGCCACACTGAATGAACTTTTGGACGGATTCTGTTTGCTCAGCTGCCGCATTGATGGCTCGTTCGAAACCAGTCGGCAAATGGGATGAGCCGGGCGCACTACAATCCTTATCGCATCGCCACCTGTCAAGCCGGTTCGAGGTGGTTCCGGCTGAGCCTATATTCTGTCCCAAGTATCAGCACATCACCAAACGTCATGGCAAAATTCTGTCACCTCTCAACGTATCGCGCCTCGAGAGTGACCTTCGAGTCTCATCCCACGCCGCAGTAACCGGGAAGTTGGTAGGATCGCTGCTCGACGGATCTGTCATGTACGACAACCAGCAATCGGGAGGCGTCGCTTCCATGGATACCACCGCGATAGGGCCCTTTACCGGCGAAAACGCGATGCTGTCGCGTACACCACGTAGTGCTGGCCTGATAGATATCAGCCGTGGGGTGGGACCCAATCTCCCACGCTTCCCTGCGCGCTTATTGCAGGCGTGCAGTTCAGAAACGAAACGCAATGCAGAACCCTAGGGTGCCGCCTGACACCTCCGACAGCGTCGACAAGCAAGACCAGCGACGAACAGGATCAACAAGAATTGGCGCTGCGAAGAGACTAGGGAAGTGGCATAATGGCCGTGAACCGACGACAGCTTGCGTTGAAGAAGGACGCTAAGACTCGCGAGGCCCTGGAGTCGTTGGACACGAGCCAAAAGTCCTCGCTGTTGATGGCGACCCTGTCGTCTACTGCACGACGTCGGGGGATGATGCAAGGATGAGGGAAACCTGGGGCGGCCAAGATCGGAGGTGGCCCACACATGCATACCCGGGCCAGCCAGCTGTCTGCAGCCAGTCGAGCCAACAAGCCAGCTGTGCTTGGCGATGCAAGGTCGAGAGATGGGAAGAGCCATTGTCCGTAGGTGCCGTGCCGTGCCCAGAAGGAGGCGCTGCAACCCTAAGGACGGTAGATCTTGTGGCTTGCCCTCGGAATTTTCTCTTCGTGTGAGCCTCCTCAACGTCGACGGTTTTCAGCCATAGTTCGTGATGGGCAGACAGACTGAATGTCATTCCAGACAGTGGGAAACACGTCGGGATTGTCTCCAACGTCCTGGACCTGGACATGGACCTGGACCTGGACCTGGGCCTCTGTCTGGCCCTCCCATCCATCCATCCCCCCCTCATGCTGACCGAGCCCAGGGACTCGTGCTCTCTTCTCCACTTGGCCGACAGTCCCACACACGAGTTCGACGGGATGAGGGTCGAACGGATCCTCAGATAACGTTGAGGAGGCAGCGCCAGTGGGTTGGCAAAGGGGCGGCCACTTTTTCGGAGCCATTTGCTAACGGCTTCGAGTGACATGTCGCCCATTGGCCAACCAGCACCGCCTGCGCTATCTGCACGTTCCAGATAATTCAATCGCCCGGATGGACATGACATGGCCCATTGCTGGTGGGGAGAGTCTGGAGAGCAGATTGCCCATCCGGTCTTGTGGCCCTCGTCTCCTCGTCCTGCCCCGGAGACATCCACGCTGCTGCGTCGTCGACTCTTTGCCCAAATTCCCCCATTTGCTGCGACGTGAATAGTGACCAGGTAGAGTACCTTTCTTCGGCCGAAAATGGCTTCGTACTCGCGCCTGGATCCCTCGTTAGCGCGGCATGCACGTCGGATAGTTGTCCGCCTAACTCACCTCAGCTTGTCTAGCTTCGACAGCCGGTGTAGCTTTCGCTCGTTCCCGCTCGACTATGGCACGTATGCGAGGCACGTCCGAAAGCCAAATCGCCCCCAACCCACCACACAATAATATGCGACAAGTAAACGGGGTCGTTGTCCAGGATGGCCTGCCACACTGCCTGTCCTTGCCAAGATCTGCGTCTCTCGCCCGTCGAGAATGAGGGTGAGAGGGGCAGGATAGAAAGGGAGAGGATAGGCCCCAGTCCTTCGACTCTTCCTCTCATGTGTAATTTTCCATCGTAAAGGGACTGCAACCTGGCAGCCTTCCATGCAACTGATCCGCTTGCCGCCTTTGACAAGAACCCTGAGTCCTTGCACGGTGGTTCTTCTCCTCGACTGCTTTTCTTCAAAAGGGCCTGGCCTCCCCCGTCCCATCTCGTTAGACGCGGTTTGGTATCCCTCTTTTCCCTTCTCTTATCCCCCTCGGGTCTTCATCCCGTAATCCTTTCCTTTGCGACAGACAACCTAGTCTGTGTACCCATTGTGGTCTTGAGTGACACTCCTGCCCAAGACACATCGTCACCATGACTTCTCACGATGGGGTTACACCCACCAAGGTCCTCGAGGCCGACGAGAAGGCTACCGGCAGCCTTCCCGGATACGAAAGCGGCAGCGGAAAGGCTGTCCGCGGCGACATCAGCGAAGAGAAGTGGGCGACCCGGAACGGCTTGAACCTCGAGTCGTTCAAGAAGCGCGAGTATGGCCGCGGCGTGGTTGAACTCGACCGTGCCATGAGCACGCGTCACTTGCACATGATTGCCATTGGTGGCTCCATCGGTGCTGGTTTCTTCGTTGGTTCTGGTGGTGCTCTGAGCAAGGGTGTAAGTTCTCTCGCGTTCCGTGCGATTAGGCAACATACTGATTCCAATTCCAGGGCCCCGGTGCTCTCTTCATCGATTTCTTGCTGGTTGGTATTATGATGTTCAACGTCGGTAAGTGCAGATATTCACCCCCAGTACTTTGGCAGAGTCTGACAAGCAACAGTGTACGCCCTAGGTGAACTCGCTGTCATGTATCCCGTCTCCGGTGGCTTCTACACGTATTCGACCCGCTTCATCGATCCTTCCTGGGGTTTTGCCATGGGCTGGAACTACGTTTTCCAGTGGGCAGCCGTTCTCCCGCTCGAGTTGACTGTATGCGGTCTGGTTATCGGATACTGGAACGACACCGTTAGCGTCGCTGTCTGGATCACCATCTTCCTTGTCGCCATCATCGTCATCAACGTCTTCGGTTCCATCGGATACGCCGAGGAGGAGTTCTGGTCGTCGTGTCTGAAGCTGGCTGCCACCATCATCTTCATGATCATTTGCTTTGTGCTTGTGCTCGGTGGTGGCCCGGCTAGCGGTCGATACAACGAGTACCAGGGCGCCAAGCTGTGGTACGACCCGGGTGCCTTCCGCAACGGCTTTAAGGGTTTCTGCTCCGTTTTCGTCACTGCCGCCTTCTCCTTCTCTGGAACGGAATTGGTCGGCCTTGCGGCTGCCGAGGCCAAGAACCCCGTCAAGTCGCTCCCTGGCGCCATTAAGCAGGTGTTCTGGCGTATCACCCTGTTCTACATCCTGGGTCTGTTCTTCGTTGGTCTGTTGATTCCGTCTGACGACCCTGCTCTGCTGTCCGAGTCCTCCTACTCCGATGTCAAGGCGTCTCCGTTCGTTCTCGTGGGCAAGTACGCCGGCCTCAAGGGCTTCGACCATTTCATGAACGTCGTCATTCTGGTGTCCGTCTTGTCAATTGGTGTCTCGGGTGTGTACGGAGGATCTCGCACTCTCTGCGCCTTGGCCCAGCAGGGTTACGCGCCCAAGATCTTCACCTTTATCGATCGCTCTGGCCGTCCCTTGCCTGCGGTCTTCGCCATCATCATTTTCGGCCCCTTGGCGTTTGTCAACCTGAACTCGTCCGGACCTGTTGTGTTCGACTGGTTGTTGGCGCTCTCCGGTCTCGCAGCCGTGTTCACCTGGGGCTCCATTTGCCTGGCGCATATTCGCTTCCGCAAGGCGTGGGCCTACCACGGCCACACTGTGGACGAGATCCCCTTCAAGGCGATCGGTGGTGTTGCCGGATCGTGGCTGGGACTCTTCCTCTGCTTCGTCGTGCTTGCTGCTCAGGTATGTTTCTTCATTTTCACATGAACAAGTCATGATTGCTAACAATGTAACAGTTCTACACTGCCATTGCCCCTCCCGGCACGGACGAGCTGAACGGCGTCGAAGGCTTCTTCAAGTCGTATCTCGCTCTTCCCGTTGTCATCTTGTTCTGGGTTGGTGGCTTCTTCTGGAAGCGCACTGGATGGCTCCGCACCTCCCAGATGGACGTCGACACTGGCCGACGTGAGCTTGACTGGGACGAGATTCACGCCTACCGCGCGAAGATTGCGGCCATGCCCGCTTGGAGACGCGCCATCAACCACGTCTGGTAGAGCAGGTCGGTCGAGACGGGGACTTGGAAAGAAGCTTCGAACGGCAGTGATGCGGCGCCGAAGCTATGGCATCTTGCCATTCTTTGTACATCATAATTCAGACCATCAACACTTGGTGTTGTGTCTGCCGGAACATAAGTTCCTCCTGATAATTTCTTAGCTAAATCAAGATACCACGATTGTTTCAAACGTACCAAGTTTAGTTCCCTCCATTTGATGTCTATTGCAGCCTGTTCCTCTCTCAGCGGCGAATCGTGAGTCGTGAATCGTGAACCATGGGCAGGCATGGCGCCTAGGCGTGATGTGATGTTGGCGTTTGCATGATGGGGGCAGAAAGAGCAGCGCAGTTGTCTTATATGCCACCAACAGATGACCAGTAAACAACGGTCTCTTATCTCCCAAGTCAACGCCCGTTCAGCAATGACCAAGGCCGGGATCGGTGGCCGTACAGGCTAAAAGCAAACAATCTTGGAAGCCAGGGCTCTGTCAAATCAGACCCGGGGGTTGGTCTTGGGGGTGCTTGTTGGTGTCTTGGGTGACTGGCATGTAGATAGTGATAACGCAAAGCCACCAAGAACAGCAGGTAGCAAGGTGTTGTCGCCGATAGCGGTAGCTGGCGATGGTTGGCTCGGTTCGGTCGATATCTCTGGGCGTAGGGGTTTGTCGGGAAACCAAGGAGGGCGTTCTAGCCAGATTCAGTGGTTCCTCCTCGCTGAACTGCCAGTGCCAAGGGCTTGGGAATGCTGCTATTCGATATCGGACGCTTTCAAGTCGGGGTAGTCTGCGGGGGGCCAAGATTCAGAGGCGTCGGGATTGGTGGTTGGTGTGGTTAAGAGATATCGGCTTCGAGGCCGAAATGAAGAGTCGAAGTCGTTGGCGATAGCGATTTGGCAGGAGGAAAGGTCGAATTCTTCGGTTGGCCTTCCGGGTCCTTGGATTCGGATCGAGTATCTCCGGCCCCGTCAATTTTTTTTTCTCTCTTCAGGAAAGCACGATTGACAATTGCGATTTCGTTCTGAGGAAAGAGCATTCCATCGCGAATTCCATTCCTCTCGCATGTGCTGCTGCCTTCCGCCATTTAAAGGCGGTTTTTGTTAGCGTCGCAGGGTGTCAAAGACGCCTTAGTGAGGGCGCCCTGGAGCATCCACAGACCTAGTCTAATGCCCCCGTAACTGTCTGTCATTCTGGCGCCCTTCCATGGCGACATTTCATCCACAACGCCCCGCCAAGTGCCAGGTTGCCCCCCACAGTCCCCTCTGTAAAATCTCCATCCAGGGATCTCGAAAGCTTCAATTTCCAACTTGGGCTACCATGACAAACGAATCCGCGTGTGGTATTTTATATGAATCAAGGGTTCTTCTAACAATATTCATTCTTGTTTCTTCCTATATGATGTCTCGTCTTGCCTCATCCTCATCCCGGCTCTCTACCGTATGTCCTAGTTACGAAGCTGTTCTGGAGGCTGGTCGATGCGAGCTGTTATCTTTCAGAAACAAGCCGAGTCTGATTGAACAACTCCATTATTGTCTAAGATCAGGTATATAAAGCAGAAGCTGCCATTCGTCACCAAATTCATGGTGACTGCCTGGTAACACCGGCACCCGGGTCACTGAGGCTTCTCTTTAGTACCTTACTTACCTCGCTTGTAAATAATCTTGAAAAGCACTGACAAATCATATAAATGGATCCGATGCCTCTGAAGTCTACATATATGACTGAACGAACATCTCATTGCCGTCTGACCCCAACAAGAATTCATCATTCCCGTGCCGCCACACGCACGGCCGATTCAACGGCGCTGCGTGGAGATTAGGTGGACCCCGAACCGGGCCAGGTGGACCCCTCAGCCGCAATGCGCCCCCGAGTTTTACGCAGCTGCGCAAAACTCGAGCTGCTCAAAACCGCCCTCATAAGCGGCCACTCCCAGGCTCCTGAGTCTCATCTCAATCACCCACAGAGCACATCCAGCAACAGCACATGAAGCGATACACGATTCACGATACCCGGCTCTCACGCTGATCTCACTTGAACCACCAATCTGGCTTCGTTACCCCGCTCTTGACCAATCGTCGCACGGGACTACCTAGGTCGCAGCTACGATGAGTCCGCCTTCACCAAAGAAAGGCGCCCCGGCCTCCGATCATGGTCCACCCGAGAATGACGCCCGCCCTCGGAGCGACTCACCGGACGTGTCTGAGCCGAATTCTGATGAGCCAATGCCCGCCCCGCTCCGAGCCGATGCCGTCCAGGAAGCCGACCAGACAGCCCTGGACGAAGTTTCCGATGCCAGAATCAAAGCCGAGTCTCAAGCCACCGAACAGTCGGAAGCTTCGCCCGAGCTCAGAAATCTCGTTGAACAGAAGGCCGGTGAAGATCATGGGGAGAATGTCACACTTGGGGACGGCAATGCTACCATTAGTGTCGGCATCCAAAGCGCTCGAAGGGCTCCCCAAGGCCGGATCCCACGTATGATCGGCAATGTATTCAAAAGGAAGCCTTCATCCGGTAAGAGCAAGGAGTCCACCGGACTGGCTCTGGACCCGGAGCTCGAAGACAACAGCAAGATTATGAGAACCAAGCCGACTGCCCAGCGACCGGCGGCGTCCAAGGACGTCGTCAAGATGGACCAGTCTGACGATGGTGCCAGCAGTACCATGTCACAGAGCCCAGAATCGGCACCTAGTTCACGGATCATCAAGCTGGACAACGCGGCAGCAGAGAACACTTCCATCACGAACAATGAGGCTTCGAACGAAACCGACGACCCTTCCAGGAGGATGCAGAGAATGATGGTGGACAAGGCCATGTCTTCTTTCATGGACTGGCTTGATGTCAAACTGAAGGTGAAAGAGGAGGAGGATGAATCGCCGAGATTGTCAACTCATAGGCCCAGGCTTGGGTCTGGCCAGGCTCCCGTCACAGCACAAGCCCTAGCAGCGCAGGAGCTGACGAGAAAGCTGCGTGCCGCAAAGATAAACTACACAAGCTCGAGGATACTCCCAGAGAAACGACGTTCTTCAATGGAAAGGACACCGCCAAAGGTTACTTTGGCCAAACCACAAAGTCCCGCCTTCGCAAGCTCAGCGACGCCTCCGCCGCCACCGAGATCTGCACCGGTCACCCGCTCTCGCGGTGCTCTACGATTATCAAAATCGTCCCTGGATTCGAGTTCTGGTGGCTTGGGAGGCAGATCTCCTTCGCAAGAAGCAGATGAGCCGACAATCCCCTCCTTGTCCTCGCCCCCACGCTACTATGCGGGCAACAGTCTCTCATCGCAGCCTTTGGCCGCGCCAGCGACAGTATATTCTCAAGAGACTCAAACGAATACTGCACCACTTCAGGAAGAACTGGAGCTGTCGCCATCACTGCCCCCGCCGCCTCCCGGCGGTGCGGGAGGTCGAGAAGCCAGAGCAAGAGGAGTGGCGGCCCCAGGAACAGAAAGCCCTTTACCTTTCGAGGAACCGAAGAAAAAGAAGAAGTCCAAGCGCGTAGCTGCTGTGGAGGAAATGGAGGAGGAAGAGAAGCTTGAGGACGAGGAGGATGAGGACGAGTACGACAGGGCATACATGGTTCTTGAGAGCTATGAAGAAGTCCCTGCTCGACCTGTTAGACGCTCTGGACAGTGGAAAGAGTCCCCGGGAAGGATCCTGCCCCCGCCTCCGCCTCTGCCCGCCGCACCTTTCCCTGCTCTCTCGAGACCTCATCTGCCCCAGGACCCTCAAGAAGCGGAATCACCAGTGCGCAAAGAAAGGAGAAATGCCCAACAGATTAGAGGAGCACCACAACATCGCAAGGGGTTCTCATTGCGAGATACTGAGGAACCCGAAAACCAGCAACCCGAGGCGGTGATACAGACTCCTGAACCCAATGTCCCTTCTTACTCGTCATACAATCCACCAATAACAGTTGGAATAAATTCGATTGACGTCTTCTTCGGAGATTCTGCTCCACAGGCGCCGCAACAGCCAGCTAGTGGTACTGGAACGGGATCGCCGTCGCGAACAACCGCTGGAATATATTCGATTGACGTCGTCTTCGGAGACTCTGCTCCACAGGCGCCGCAACCGCCAGCTCTTGGTACTGGAACGGGACCGCAGTCGCAGCGTCGTAATGGGCCCTCGGCCGCCAAACGTGGTAGGTCCAAGGGCAAAGCTAAAGACGACGAAGATGAGGAGGATGGAGACGGAAACCAGGCACCTCGTACCAAGCTCCCCAAGGTTCAGGAGGACGCAGTCAGCGGCGCAAAACTAGCGTGTCCGTTCTTCAAACATAACCCACGCAAGTACAAGAACCAGCGCCCTTGCTGCGGGCCTGGTTGGGACCACGTGCACCGGATCAAGTGAGTAAACATACCCATAGCCGTCGGGACGGTCATACTGACGCGAATCCCAGGGAGCATATCTACCGCAAGCACTCGCTGCCCAAGTTCTCCTGTCCTCGCTGCTCTCAGCCGTTCGAGACACAGGCGGATCTCCAAGCTCACGCCCGATCTCCCGACCCCTGCGAAGTCAAGGAACCCGAGATTCTGGACGGCATCACCCAGGACCAGGAAAAGAAGATTCGCTCGAGGAAGAAGACAAGCGGAAAAGAGCTCACCGAGGCCGAGAAGTGGACGCAAGTCTACCGCATCCTATTTCCCGACGTGAGGGAAAGGGAGATCCCGTCGCCATGTAGGTCCCCCAACTCTGTCTCTATTCCGATGAAGCGCGAACACCAACATGATACTCCCAGATTACAACACCGAAGATGCCCAGACGAATCTAAGCGGGTATGAAGATTACCTCCGTCGCGAGCTACCGACCCTCGTCCGCCGGCAACTCGAGGTAGAAGTCGAGCGCGAGCTGAGTTTCGTCGAGGAGGGAATGAAGCAAAAGGTCATCGAAATCGCGCGGAATCTCCAGCTCACACTCTTCAAGGGCTATCAGCAGCTCGAAAGTCAGGAGCGGGAAGGTCTCGAGGAAGCATCACCGAGTGCTGGCGACGTTTTGAGCACGGAGACGGGCGGGCTTTCGTCCTTCACGACGACAAATACCTCGCCGTCCACCATGACCACTGCTGGCACGACTCCCGAAATACCAGATCCGTTGGAGATATTCGGTGCCGATCCTGCGATCCCGGACTTCGACTTCAACTTCATGGCAGACATTCCATTCCCGGATGCCCAGGAGCCGCCGAAGGAGCTCAACCCCGCGTTTGGTATGAACGCTTATGTTGTGCCAGACCAAGTCAACATGCAGCCTGGAATGGAGTTGTACGGAGGACAAAAGTTGGATCTACCATACTACGGAATGGATGGTTACGGTCACAACCAGGATGCGGCCACGGGTGCACACTTCCCCGACCACCACCTCGAGATGCAGGCCATGTCTGTAAATCAAGCGCAAGCATATCAGCCGTGATCGAGAAATAAGACAATCGAATTCGCTATGATGGCCTTGCTAGCCACAAGCCTCAAGCCTCATCATCCTTAGAATCCCCAGACCTTTCCGTTACGTAGCACTTGCCGAGTTTAAGGACGTCGACTCCCCAACATGTATTTCTTCCTGTCCGTCCAAGGCCCATTGGACTTCAGCCGGTGGCAGCTCAACGCCGCATTGTATGGCGCCGACTTTGTGTACTATGAATCCCGCATCATTACCATCCGATATGAGTACGAAAGCTGTGTGGCTCTCAGTTCCTTCCAGTAGTATGAGCCAGTGCCGTTGACCTGGGTGTTGACCTCCCAGATTGACGCCCTCGGTCATCATCAACATTTCGTGCTTGTTACTCTTCTCTCTGATTCGAATCTCGTAGGCTCCGCCGACGCCTGTCACCAAGACCTCCTTTGCACGCACCACGAGGCGCCGGTCGACCAGCCTGACCTTCCGCTGTGCCTCTCCGATGTTGCATTCAGCACCCATGCCTGGCACTTCGAAGGGGAGAGCAGGCACCCAACTATGTTCGGGCATGGTTTTCGGCGCGCAGAGTATCTCGAGGCCCAGAAATCCTCTCTCAACCATCTCCCCCAGTACTTGTTCGATCGGCTGGTCGTACGTCGAGCTCAGCTTGTCCCCTCCCTCGACCATGGCCATCATTCCCCAAAACGCGTCTTTAGCAACGGTACACTGTCTGTTTTTCGCCTGCCTCCATACCAGAGCTAGTGGTTTCCGGTTGCGAGCGATCCATGCCTGGCTTGAGAGGAGGCGCCTCACATGCCTGTTGTCGAAGAGGACAACCCTCAAGTCCAGCTGCCCGACTTCCGTCTCGGAAGATAACGGCGTTTTCGCGTTAAAGGTTGGGGGATCCTCTGGGTTTCGTGGTTTGGAAGGTATCCCGCATGCCCTCCTCAGCGCCTCGTCGATTTCCCACCCGTATATGAGCCCATCCGGTGTATCAAGGTGCGTACAGCAAGCCAGCGCAGTTTCCTGCATGGTCCATACCCTCCTGAAGTAACCGTCTTCCAGCAGGTTTCTGAGCAGCCAGAGTAAAGGATCGACGGCTGCCGCTGTTGCTCCGCTTTCCAGCCAGTCGTCGAGACCTTTCCTCAGCCCCGGCGCCGGCATCGGTATCAGATTCATCTCGGCCCCGGCGTAGTACTCGGCCATTCTGGGAATCTCGTTCGCCTTGTCGTCTATCGAACTTTGGTCTATACACAAGCTGTCTACCCAAATGTATTGGATCCCGTATTTCTCCCATAGTTGGGAGGCGAAGGACGGCCAATCCTTGCCGGCTGTTATCGTCCAAACGTGGGAAATGGTGGTGTATGGCAGTTTCCGCCCCATGCTCTCCTCAACAGCACCCGTCTTGCCGTTAAGCAACCGCGTTGGGGTTATTCGGTCATGAGCTGGAGCACTCTGTCGCGCCGCTGGATGTAACCCGTGGCCGACGTTTCCACCTTTGGGCCATAGCATGCGCTCCTGGATCCTATCGTGTCTGCCATGCTCCCAGCCGCCAGTCGCGATATTGTCATCAATCATGTCCCGCAGAGTCTCGAACACCCACGGAACCGATTCTTCATGCTGGATGACTTGAACGGCTGGCGCGTTGCCGCTGGAGGCTGCCATGGCTGCTTGAACCGTTTAGCCGGGCGATGAGGGTTGGATTAGTGGCATGACAAGGTGGAAAGGAGAGGGACCTGCTGCTGACGGTAAGCTAAGTCTGGGATGCAAATGACCCCGCTTGATGTGCCCACGTGGATATGGACATATTATTACGCGAGCTCTCCCCCTGGTCAATCGAGTCGTGAGGATCATTTCGTACGCTCTACAGCCATCAAAGATCTCTGCGTGGGTCAGGCAATTTCTGCTCAACTTTCATGTGATGTTGTCTGTGACAGAAACATATTGGGTAGTTGTTATTCTTGACGGCTTTGAGCGTCTGTCATGGAGGAAATACTATCTGGGAAGAACGTTCATCTATCGGTAGCCATTGCTGTGTCATAATGCCGTGGCTGGAATGTAGTTTTCTTTGAAATACAAATCGAGAATCGGTCTCTCTGATAATATGACAAGTCCAAGGCGTTCAGGTTAAAACAAAGATTGGGACAATCGTACACTAGCGGGGACTGGCAGGGATCTTCCCGTCGCGTCGAGTCGCGTCGCACTATCATCTTTCCATCAAACATAGTGCTCTTTCAGCATCTTCGGCCTGTATCAGGATGACTCTCACAAGGCAGCAAGCCTCGAAGAAAGCATGTTCGCGTCGAAAGTCTGTCGCAACAACTTCAGCTTCGGCCCCGACGCGCGCCTCGTCACGGCTACACGGCTTGACTGTGACATCGGAAACATCACGGTTGAGAGCAGTTCCGCAGGCCAAGAACAGCGCCGAAGGCTCCAAAGTGTTGGATACTAGAAAGAAAAACAAGTCCAGGGCAACAAAAAATGTGGCTGTGCCCCAATCAAAGGGTTTGAACGTTTCAAGCCCGGTTTTCTAAACGTATCGACCCTAACCTCTCTCACAGACTACCAACATGAAGACATAATCACCGGCCATGAGTTTAAACGCGCTACCAAACAAGTCCTTCTCCTCACTCAGCGCCCTGCCGATGCCTCCAAGCGGCTCGTCCCCGAGCGGATAGTCCAACGCAAGGCACCGTCAAAACTCTACGACTACTGGAACTCCTTTGGCCAACCCCGAGAAGTCACGCTCGGGACGGAATATTTCCACATCTTCGATCTCATGAACCACGACTTTGCGCGCGGGCTTCAGGTTCAATGGGAGGGATACGGCACTTCGGACGAGGATACGACCTGGGAGCCCGCCAAGAAGGTTCGCAGCTTGAACCCGGTCCTTCTGTGTCACTACTTGGAGCGTGAAGGCATCGGAAGAAGGATTGTGCGTATGAGTATGGCTACTGGACTTTCCGTTTCGCCGCCGTGTTCGTTGTACGAGGCAGGTGGCACATGAAATGGAGTGCGCTGGGTTGTGGCTGATATCCTCTATGTTAAGTAGCAACTCATCGTTACAACATGCACGAACTAAGCATCCCCATCATGCGATATTTGATACTGGCAGAAGTTTGAAGAGCACTGCATTTCATCTGGTGAACGTCGACTAAATACCCCACATACACGTGAATGCATATTCAACGTCTGAGAACACTTAGAATGATGAGATCAGGAGAGTGCTTGGTCACGAATATCATTCACATCAGGAAGCAACGAAGGACGATCGGAGCCTAACCCAGCTGTTCATTCCTTCTACACTAGTCTAAATTCACGGGGCTTTTGACAGGCTTCAACCCATGACTTGATGTTATAGAGAAGTGCTTCCCTCGAGCAGAAGCTGATGCCATTTTCTTGACGATCATTAACACGCAACACTGAATTTCTTCTTCTATAGTTGAAGCAAAGAATTCTACCAAGCTCGTTGAAGGCCTCAACACCCATGAGGGCCAGTTCTTCGCTTTGATAACCAAAGATCCTCGGTCCTCTAAGCCTCATGACAACCCTCACAAGCACCTTCCTATCGAGCCAGACACTCATCTTCTTGCAGTCCAGAGGAAGTAATTTCTTTTGGCCTGGGCTGTTGATAATTCGGGAAGCCGTGCAGCTCGTTCCTTCCATGTTGGACATGGGTTGAGTGGTGCCTTCTCAAACTCGCAAATACTCACTCACCAGTCTATTTAAAGCTGAAGTTCAAACCCTTGAGACCACGCTCAGTCTCTTCTTGTTCACAACGTCTTCACAGAATTACACGAACGACAAACATCATCTCACTGAAGGTTCTCAACGCTCAGCCAACTCACCTTTTCTGCAACTCATACGTCACCTGCTACTGATCAAACTGAACTCCAGCTGGCCCCATCGAACTCACTTCTCATCGGATCTCCTCCTCACTCATCTTTGGAATTACGAAAGAAACCCCAAACTCGCCAACATCATTGCGTACGTCCCTGCTCAAAAGCTCAGCATTGCTCAATTTTCTCGGGAAGTCACACGTATCGAAGACGATATGGACAACACCGAGGTCAAGGGATGGTTGACAAAGATCAGCGCCGTGCAAAAGGGAAAGGGCACCCCTTGGGCTCTTCGAGTCTTCTCAGCGCGCGCCGAAGAGGTCAATCACACTTTCCCGGGACTGACCCAGGCTCACTGCCGGAACGTGGGATGTGTAAATGGCATCGCGCTAGTTGACACAGATGTTACTATCTCGACTGTGGATGGAACACGGCGTCCCTCGGTTCTCTACCGTGCCATTCATGGTGGTCAACCTCACGGCGGTATCATATCTCGGCTGGGCCACGGAAGCGATGCAGTTTTCTTCCACCACCATCTCCGGAGACACTTGAGTTGGATAAGTCGCGAACCGAGTCCGTTTCTCTCAGCAACCACGGATTTCCAGAAAGCGGTCAGAGTTGCGTGCATATACGTGGCTAAAGGCTATGAAGATGTTCAAATCGTCGAGTTCAGGACTGGTGGTGCCGGCTGGGATCACAAGAAGCACCGAATGTGGGAGCCGAGAAGTCTGGTTAAACGGCTCAGCCCTGAAGACGACCACGATTACTTCGACAAGGAGTTCCTCATTGAACACTCGATTCCAAAAGAGAGCATTACGGACAGGTACATTTGGAATGAGGACAAGAAGCAGTTGGATCCATCCGGTGATAACCTGGATTACGCGAAAAACGTCCAAAGGAATCGAAAGAGGATGAAAGAAAAACGCCGAAAAGAAGCCAAGAAGGCGAAAGAAGCCAAAGAGAGGAGGATGAAGCGAAAGGCAGAAGAAGAAGCTGAGAAGAAACGTCAGGAAGTCCAGAGTGACGAAACCAACGACTTGATGAAGAAGCGGCCAGCTGAGGGCCTCGGCGACGCAGAGGAGCAGGAGCAGGAGAAAAGGCCCAGAAAACGATACAAAGTTGGCCAGAAGCTGACGTACAAGTCAAGGAACTAAGACGGGGGGGAGGGATTTGGGAAAGTAGTTTAGTCCGTTATTGGTTACAGTCAGATGGTATGGCGCTGCGAGGGAAGATTTTCTCAAACTGAACATGAAAAGGGGTCATTTGGTGCTTGCAAAAACAGCATACTACATCTATACTACCTCTTTTTTCCTGCTTTTGTACATTGCTTCAATTCTCACATTCAGTTTCAAACATCCTATCACCTTTGCTGAGAATGGGCGTAGATACGTGAAGTTCCGAGCCATTATCAAGTAACTCAGCCATGGTGGAATTCATACACTTCTAGGCCCGAGTACTGGTCCATCATTCAACAATCTTGTGCTCGTCAGATTGACAATCAACCAGAAATTGAATTACCCATAGCCTCATCAGACTATGAGACACTGGGCCTTCCGACCCTTGTGACCTGAACAAAGGTTGTCAGTCTGCCGACGAAGGCTTGGAAGAGGCAAGAATTCGATTTCATAATCGTTGGGCTTTTCTACGCAATACCGTAGGTACACCGTCCGAGTCACTGCAAAAGTATACCGACTGGTGATTCTCTTAAGCGGATGAGGATTTGACTGGGTGAAGCTATCCGCAACGCTGGCTCTTCCAGCCCGCAGACAAGAAGATTCGTTCGCTATGGACCCCATGGGTCTGATCTTGAAAACCACGCATGGAAATCACCCCTCAGCTCCCTTGCCTGCCCTTACTCCGCAACGTCTTCCTCCTGAATATCCTCGGGAACATCGTCCTCAACCAAAGCCTCCGGGTAGTGCTGGCGGGTGACCTCGGTGATGAGGTCGCTCTGCATCTGATCGATGACTGTAGACATATGCAACCGATGGCGCTGGGTCGCAGTAGACAGCATCTCTGCGCGAGCTCGAATCTCGAAGCGGTCTTCGTCATGGCCGCCCTGACTCAACTCAGATATCTTGGCAGACACGGAGTCCACCATGCTGGCGAACTTCTCACTCTCTTCGACAAACTCCATCGTGGAGAGTGTCATAATGCTCAGGAATCGGAGTGATTCGTCTGAGATGGGATCCCAGGGGTTCGGCTGAGGCTCATTCGGCTCGAGGCCACCGCCCATGATCAGGCAGGTGACCTTATAGACCCTCTGAACATGCTTCGCCCAGTCGGAGGACGTGAAGATTCCATAGTTCTTGGTCTTGGTCATAATAATGAGAATATGGATGAAGGCGTAGAGGTTTGTAAGGGTGATATGAACGGTGTTGCTCTGGGTGAAGATGGCGTCTGTGACGTGGGGCATAATGTTGCTGAGGACGGCGGAGTTGCTCTGTTCCTCAAACTCGGGCCAGGTACCCTGCAGACAAAGCCAGGTTAGTCACAAAACAGAAAGGATTCTCAGCAGTTCACTAACCTTGCACTCCTGTATGGCCTGGGTAACCTCAGCATTGGACAGCCTCTCTTTGGCCGCCATCAGCTTCGCCAAGCCCTTGTTGACGTTTGTGAATTGGGAACAGAGTCCAAGCTTCTCCATACGGAGTGCCAGCTGGGACTCAGACGCGCTTGTGAAAGAGTTTGAGTCAGGCGCGGTCTGGTCGTAAGGCATTGCGCCGGTCTCAGGAGCCATGTTTGAGTGAATTTGGTTTCTGGCTCTGAAATTAAAGTCAGCAATAGAGATGAATATGTAGCTGCAGCTGTAGAATACCTCGTTGATGATGAAGGACCAAGATGGGCAGAGATTCGGGCAAAAGAGAAGGAGAACGACAGAGAAGAAGGTGGAAGGAAGAGAAGTTTAGAGGAGTAGAAGGTAGACGGATGGGAAGGTGGTGGGAGGAAAAGATGGTGGGAGGAGAGAGTGATGGGAGATCAGGTACTTTCGGCAAAAGAGAACTTGGGCTTCTTTGATGAACAATGGAAAGAGCAAAATGTAAAAGTACGTCAGAGTTTTATTTGCTTATTCTTTTTGTCCTGAAAAAAACGGAAGGAGCTGGTTGAGCTGGTTGCTCCTTCCTCGACAGTGGAAGGATGGATCTGACCTGCCGCCCCTCCCAGAAGAAATCTCTTTCGGCTTAACATAAGACAAAAAGCCCAACTATCTAAATATTCGACATCTTCGAAAAAAGCCGCCAAGATGACTAACCCCTCGGTTGTCTATCCGCCTCCTTATGAAGACGCCGAACTCCAAGAGCGAAGAGTATGTCTTCAACGCCTTCCCATATGCAGCTCACTGACCTGCCCCAAAGCCCTCGTGCAGCAATCTTCCGCCTGTCGACCTTGATCATCTGCAAAACCTAGGTTTGGACATGGACGAGATCAGAGAAAACGAAGATATGCAATACTGCTTGCGCAAGATGGACGCCATGATGCAGCGTGATTACAAGGGTTGCATTGCGTCGGAAGATCTGGGTTTCGACATCGACACGCTGGTGGCTTCGCTCGCCCGTCATCCGGGACAACCTTACCAAGGCCCTATTGTTCTTGTATCCGCCGATGATCTCACTAGTTTCATGGACAACGAAGCCAAGCGGCCGTTCAAAGGAGTAAGCCTCAGAGATACTCCTGCTACCCTGATACTTCAAGCTGATAATATTCTTAGGACTTCAAGCCGAGAATACTTCGGCTTGGCGACAAGCGGCGATCGGCCAAAGACCTCATTCGAGAGAGATGGGACTTTATCATTGTCACCCGCAGTTTCCTCCGCTCCTCGTTTCGGAGGCACTACCTGCATCACAACAAGACATCCGGGGCTAGACCCAAATCAGAGAGCGCGTTGTACAGCAAGACCTGGAGAGAGGAGGGCTTGAGCATCCGTGCCTTGGTCATCGACGAAGCGCAGGTTTTTGCCAACAAAATGTCCACTCTGAAAGACGAGGCCATCAAAGAGCTCGACTGCGACACCGTCATTCTCAGCATGACTGCGCCGCTTCCGAACAACATCAAAGACCTGTTCGGTCTCGTTTTCCTCCTCCCAGGGAATCCATTCCACAACTACAAGACCTTCAAGCAGGCTTTCCAGGTGGGCGCTGAGTTGCCTCGTGGTCTTGCCGACGACTACCAACAGCTCATGAAGCGATTTCTCAACGACGTCGTCTTGTCTCCACCGAATATTCCTTTGGGTTTTCAAGAGTGATTCAAGAGTTGAGATCCCAAAGACAACTAATTCGGTGTGCATTTCCAGACTTCCAGTAGTCAGCCGCACGTCCAGTGCCCGGTTTGGCTGAAGGTCGGAGCTCGGAGAAGGTGAGGGACGCAGGTGATGGTAGCAAGGGATAGGATGAGCAAGGTACTCGGGGCCCAGAGAATGACTTGCGGCGTGTTTTTGTAGCTAATCACAGGGTTGGCAAAGATACTCCTTGCGCTTTGTCCTCAGATATCCGCGTACATTATCCATGCTTCCCGTTGTGACCGCTATCCCCACTATCTCTATTGCCCCTCGTTATCCCTTGACATCTGTTATCGTCTCTTGTCACTCGACTTATGTCAGCATCTAAATGACGGAAATTGTTGGGCTTGCGAGAGGCTCGAGCATCTGAATGCACTCTCTCAACCGGTCTAGCGAAGACTCGAAATTTTTAAGAAACCATTTTCTAGTTATAGAAATGAATTAAATATTATAAGTAGTTCGAGATGGAGAGTACCTGTCATGTATGAATATACCCGCACAATGTGTCTACACACCACACTTCTTGCTCAACCAATGCGCGAACTTGACCGACTTTTTGTCAATCATCCTCCAATGTACGTCCGCAGCCCAGAAAGCCAAGAACATAGAGAGGGCAACAACAAGAGCCGAGGAAAACTGCAGGCTGTGCCCTACAGCTACCAGCCGGTATTTGAGCCCCATGGTGAGGCCGACATACGCAACGAGCCAGTGAAGCAGATATAGGCCGTAGCTAATCTCTCCTAGGTACAACACGAATTTACAGTTCAGTCCGCGTTGTAAGATGGGTAAACTCTCCAGAGCAGCAACCAACGTGATGGCTGAGAAGCTGAGGAAGAACTGCCACGGCGCCAACGGCCATGTTGGAACCCAGGCGAGCCACCCGTAGTGCGTGGCCTTGTACGGGTCGCCCTCGATCGGCCAGCCACCCAGGAAAAGCGCGACGAAGAGGAGCAACCACGGCGCGACGTCGGCCACGATCTTGAACTTGCCCGTCGGAGACGGCAACTTCGCCCGCAGGTGCCGCAGATCGGCGAGGAGCATGCCCGCGAGGAAGAGGCACGACTGCCACAGACCGAGAGAATAGAAGAAGGCGGTGATCATCAGGACGCACGGGATCCGCACCTTGGGCGACGTCCGCGCGAAGGCCAGGGTACACGTGAAGACGAGCAGAGAGCCCTGGAACTCGGCCGCGAGGGTCCATCCCTGAGGCATGATGCTGTCGATTTTGCCGACCGTGATGATGATGACGAGCTGTTGCCAGAAATAGCTTAGCTGGCCAACAAGACCGTTGGGAATGGGAGGATGGATGCGGCCGCCTCTGCGGAACGTCTGGATGTTGATTGAGAAGATCGTCATCATCAGTACGGGGACGACGGGGAGGAAGAGTCGGATCGGGCGGCGGAATATGCTCGACGGGAAGGAGGATATCGCGGCGTCGTTTTGTTTGGCGTAGATCTTCTTCAGAGGGCCGTAGGTGAGGGCGAAACCGCTGATGACGAAGAAGACGCAGACCATGAAGAGGCCGTTGGTCATGAGGCGAATGAATGGGAGTTGCATGATGTAGTGATCCGTCGCCGTCTCGCCCCAGCCGTGGAAGACCATCCTGAACTGCAAATTGTCTCGTTAGTTGCCGCTTTCTCACGCGCCTTGGATTCAAAGTCAACTCACATCTACCAGATTGTGCTGAAAAGCGACAACAAGCGACGCGATGCCGCGCAGGCCATTCAGGTAAGACGTTGAGTTGGCAGCCGCGATTTCCGAGTCTTCGCTATTCAGTCCGATCAGACGTGTGAAGAACGAGGGCAAGAAGTAACAGAACAGATGCAGCGCCTTCCGCGGATCAACGGCGGCGCATGATCTGCGGATGGGAGAGGTCGGCGGCGGCGGTTCCACGTCTTCGTCTTCATGGGGCCCTCGTTCCACGTCCTCGTCTTCTTCGAGTAATCCGGTTGCCGCCTCGTCGGGTTCTGCTCCGTTGAACCAGCCGCGCATCGTGTCGACTGATTCCTCGTACAGGTTGTGAACCCGCTCGCCCAGTTTCTCGCTTTCTGCCATGATGAGATGGGTGAGAGATGCCGGCTGGGAGGATCACACAATCGGGTCGGTCTGGGTGAAGACTTGATGTCTGCAAACCAGGAAACGTCGGCTCTCCGGATAATACAATTTAGTCCACGGGCCGAGAGAAACTGGGCTGCCATTTGACTTTCTTATGTTTCGCGTCCACATATTAAGCACCCGTTGACTTGGGTCGTGTCTCAGCCGGAAATCTGCAAACGGTCTCGGGTTCGACGCGAACAGCATTGAAAGACATGCTTGGCAGGTCGCCCGCCGATCACTTATCACCAAATCCAGACCACTTTACCCATAGAGAGAGAAAAGCATGCTTTATTTGACTCATTCAGCTGGGTCTCGGCGATTGCTTTGGGTAGTATATCTATTCTGAGTGATGACCAGTCTGCATTCCACTTGCACCGAGGGGCGTTATCGGGCATAGCTCCGGCCCCAAAGCGCAGCCGATACAACCACAAATGAGCGTTTCAACAAAACGTGTCTGCCTATCGCTTAGAACTGACCTAGATCTCGCAGTCGTGTGTCGGCCCTGGGCACGACCCGGAGAAGATTGTCCGTCATGATGACATTGTGAGGTATCAATTCTCCGAAACAAAACATCCGTTTACGGAATTCTTTCAGGTGTTGTTCGCTTCTGAAGACGGTCCAAGTCTTCATGGAAGTCAGTTGGATTGCACGTGATGTTCTAATGCCATATGTATGACGGGGAGCAGTATTTTCATGTGTGGAAAGGTCGGAGTTCGACGATTGCTTCGAAACATTCATGTTCCCATCCAAATACTGACGATCCAACGCGTCTTCGTACAGCATTGAAGGCCATTTGTAACGAATGAGTCTTTGAAGAGTGGCCGGTATTGAGATCAATGATCCCTGCGAATCACTTACACGCCATGTGGCACCAGACCTCATTCCGATAGATGATCAAGCGACCCTAAACGTCCAAGAATTTTCAAGTACTGACCCCTGAAAACAAGAACAACACCTTAATGTAATTGTTTCAGTCTCAGGCCTATGTGATGAATGCTTTCCATCCATTTCATCAGCGCGTTCTCTTTGTTTCTTGCTCTTCTTTATGACATGGCAGCTGCTACAAGCGGTTGCCCTCCTTGCCTATGTTCAGCATGGTTGAGCTTCAAACATGTCATAAAATACTATATCAACTCATTTTATCTTCTTTATTTCACGCAACTGTATAAAGAAAACCCATAGTTGAAAGAGATACTCTCCTTCAGAATAGCTTCTCTTGATGCAAAGGTATTTCGGCAGGTCATAACACTCTTCCTGTCGATGTAGTTATAAACCAGGCAAGGCGTTGCGGGATTCCTGTGCATTCTTATAATACATGTGTCATCACTTCCCCCATACAACCAGACCAGATCTTCGCAGCATAAGACAGAAACTTGCGCACTCTGGTCACCATGTCCAGGTTGAACGAGAAGCGCTCAATTGGACCATGGAAATCGCTTGAGGAACTTGTCGAGCAGTTTGAACTACTCGAAAAAGTACCCGAATGGAGGCATGCAGTAACTGCGGAGCACCCAGCTCTAACAAAAATGTTTCTCCATAGACAGAGACTTTCTCGAGAAGAAGCCTCCCAGGCAGCTCAAGAGGCCAAGGTAAGCTAACATCCCCTTTCCACCATGTGTTTCCAAAGTTGTGCTACAGCCTGTTCACTTGACGTGGTATTTATACATGCGAAGTCGGAGTCATCGTAGACTAATCAGCTTTCTTCCAGTCTCTCTGGCCTCCTTTGATCACTTCCGGCATGTGTTATTCCATTGACGGCAGGCTCATGCGCTTAATGTCCGAAGTGATCTCCGAAAAGCCTGATGGCCCTGACTACCCGCCCGATATCGTTGGAATTTGTATGTTTCTCGTGACATCCAGAGTGGTCGACGAGGCTGGCACGAACATCGCCAATTAGAAAACTATTCAGGCGCCGAGAGTAGCTATGATGAACAGCAAAAGGATTTGGATCACGAGGAAGATAAGGGAACGATTTGTCGATCGGCGTTGGGCGGAACCTGAGTATCTTGTCAAGCGGTTCCTTTGAGACGGATCAACTTGTGATAGTGTCTTTTTTTTATTACACCATACGGTTCATACGGTCCATTTGATCCATCTCATAACTGCCATTATGCCCCTCGTAGTCGCTTCTCGTATCATATTGCACAACCACTTCGTTCGTCCTGACGATCTTGCCAAACTCCAGCTCTTCCTCCTCCCCGAGAATGCTCCTATCGCTCCGGTCGTCCGCCAGCTTGTCCTTTCGCTTGACGGAACCCTTCCGTGTAGACGTCGTCACCGTTACCGTGTTGGTCCTGGTGGGCCCAAGGCCTCGAGACTTCTGCGTCCTGGTGCCGGAAGAGCCACCGTAGTATTTCCGAGCGGTGCTGGCGACATCGCGGACGAGGACACGGAGGACTGGGATGGACGCAGCCACGATAGTCACACTCGCCTCGCAGGTTCCCCAGATCACGAGATCGCTTCCATCGTCTGTGGTCTTGGTGAGTCAGGTTATTCGTCACTACTGAGGATAGACTTACAAGTGAAGTCGCCGGAAAGCAAAGTGGGGATGGTCGTGCACTTGACGATTGCGGTTGCACCGGCACTGGAGATCTTCGTTAATCAAGGCCGATGGGAGATGGAGCAGATTACCCACAAGAGACCCATGCTCATCGCGATGCCTACGCCGATCTTCTCATTCAACTTCATTTGGAGACCCCAGATCAACTTCCACGGCAGCAACGCGAGGAGAATATCCATCAGAGCGGAGTATCCTACAACAGACATCAGCAATGCGATCATGGATACCGACAGATGGAAAGATAAGACGGACCAGCAGCGAAGACACCATAGTAGGCAGCGACCTTCGGATCCCAGCATGTTCCAGGAAGAGTAGGGTGCCAGTTCTTCTCGATCGGAGCACACTGAACCCAGCCAGCCATGGCATTCAGCCCCATGAGCAAGTTCATCGAGATGATGGCGACCCAAATCAGATACCGCGTCCAACCCTTGCCCTCGATCCGAAGAAGCGTCATCGCGAACGAGGTCTTGCTCCATACTGCGGCAGAGATCGATATCGTGCTGACGACTTGTCCGTTGAGACCAATCGCGGGGAAGTTGACGGGGTTGATCTGAAAGACATGCTTGCCGAAACCGAGTGACACATTGACCGAAGTGAGTACGGAGGCGATGAATAGGGCCACCTGAATTCCACTCGGTTAGTAGCCATACAGATACGCCTGGCTGGGGATATCCGCTGGACATACCCAAGCTGCTATGAGCACATGATCATCCCACCAGAGTCCTCGATGCTTCTTGAACTTGCAGTACACCCTCAAACAGAGGAAGAACAACGAGAGTCCAACCTGGGACCAAACCACGGCGTTGATCGTCGGGCCGTAGTCCTCTGGCCGCCCCATTTGACCAGTCAAGGGGGGCAAAGTCGTTATTAGACCCACGCACGTACCAGACGTCAAAAGAAAGTATGAACAGGCCAGCCGTTAAAGATTCGCGAAAAGCGAGAAAAGAGGGATTTCAAAGAGCGACAGGGCAGCGAGCGATGGGGCGTCACAACGTAAAATAGATACAAAGAAGGAAAGGAATAATAAGAGGGGACATTAAACTGTCACATCCACTCGGATGTGTGTGTGGGGGATGACACTCGAGATATGGACATCGGTCGATTCACCTGTCTGGGTTGTCTTGGCCCATCAGCCTGGTCCATCGATCCCGGGAATACAGATAACCATTCTGCCGGGCTGCAGGTTCTGCTGGGCTTCGCCCAACAAGGCACCTAGTTGCCGATGATCGACTTGTAAGGATGAGACGATGATCACGCAAAAGTGCTTGACGGGTGTAAGGTTGCCCCAAGTCTCAGTCAGGGAACCCGGGGAATGGAAGGACGGCGTTCTAGAAGAATGGAAGAAGGAAGGTCTGGCTCCGGGCTGGAGGCCTTTCCATGTGGTGTGTCAGAAAGGCGGAGTCTCCTCAGCTGGGCATGACAGATTGCCAGACGTCCTTCATGAAGAGAACCTGTCGGCCGGCGTGGCGTCATGGATGTCATAGTCCGTGTTGTGGGGGATGAACGACGAGAGCGAGAACCCTGACTCGACGTCCGAAGAAAGTAGGATGTTTTCTGTCACTCCTGCGGGCACAAAGTCTCTTGGCAAAAAAGGGAAGTTTGGGCGGGAACTTGTGGTCTGTCTGTCCGGTTTGAGTCTGCCCTTCGAGAAACATTTTCCATGAAACTCCGCCCTTCGAGAGAGTCCAGCGGTTCCAGATGAGGGAATCTGCGGTTTTGGATAGACTGCGCCTCTCGCTTCTCGTCTCCGTTAAACTACGCGCCAGCAGCCTGACAAGGGTTGATGCGGCGATGCACCCGCCTTAGCGCAGTAGTCAAAAATGCTAATTGATGGAAGGAAGGTTACATTGATGTTCAGCTGCGATGTGCAGGTCGCATTCCAGATGCTCGACGTTCCTCTTAGAGTTAGTGAGACCGGATGGCAAAGACATGGCAGCCGGTCAAATACACCCTTTCGCGAAGATCACCGCGGCAGACCGGTACGAATTCAGAAGAATCCCATAAACCCGCGTGGGTGGAAGAAAATCTGCCGTTCCTCAGCGTCGCGCCGCTGCCGCTTCTTCCAGAAAAACCTGGCAGTTCACGATCTGTACAGGGATGTTGCCCGAGTCAGAGGCTTCCGGGCTGCAGGACGGCAATCATCCGCTGCGAGAGTCCGGGTCATCTGGCAGGCGCATGAGCGGACGTCGTCTCAGAGTGTCAATGCGGACAGGGAACCAATTCTTATTCCGCGTGGGCTATTGAACGACAACATAGCAGAACTGCCAAGACGTTGCAACCGACGGGCCAATCGTATTGTAGGGCTGGGGTTGATGGGGAACGGTGTTTCGACCGATGTTATTTCGTCACCAGATACTATTTAAGGGTAAACAGGTGGGTTCCAGTTTTTCGGTGTGGCCGTTCTTCTTAAGTACAGGCAAATTGCCTGCTTCTAAATTCCAGATCCTGAGGTGACATGAATCTTGTGTTGCTCTGGTGCCACGAGGTTTTCAGTTGATCGGATGATTCCCTCAACGGCGTGTCGGAGCCCCCAGGAAATTGTTTGGCACATTGACTCATCTACTCTTGCAAACCCACGCCGGATGCCAGATAGTGTTCCGTTTGCTCTAGGCTTAGGAAGTTCCGGCTCGCATTATCAAATGACCATCACATGGGAAGAACTTCGCAGCACGAGACAAATCACGACAGCATGAATTAGAACATCAAATTCCAAGAATAAGAAGTACAACTGGGCGTCTTCCTCCAATATCTGTCATCATTGTAGTCGCTTCGCCTTTGAGTCAAGGCCAAAACATTCCCCATGCAATTGTAGTCAGAAAGTCGGGGTTGAAATACCTCGGCCACCAAGTAAGATACGTCTGCCGCGCAGCTCCTGCACAAGGACCGGAATAAAAGCAACTAATGCTGACGCAACTGCACAATTATTCCACACGTGTAAGCTGCTGTCCACTAATGCATTATTCGAGGTCAACATACTAGAAGTGTAACTGGGCGTATGTCATCCAGGAATTGTGTTCAGCAGTTCTGCAGCAATAAACGCATGCAATCTTCGAGCTCGCCATGTTAGTGCAAGCGGCTGGACTTTGCAGGGGTAACTTACGCAGTATGCAAGTTCAGGTGACAAAGGTTGTCGCTTGTCGATCTCAGTAGCATTGAGACCGTGCTGTTGAACAGCCTCTGAAGTTGAGCTATTCGAAGGCGCATAGTATCAGCTAAAGGTACTTCTAAATAATCAAGAAAGTACGAATTTCATGCCTGGCAGTCAAACACTTACTTGAATTGAACTGTCTTTGCTTCTGCTGGAACTCGTCTTGACTCTGGATTGACCTCTTCATGTTGCTTGCTGATTGAAGACATGAAGTTGTAAGACTTGGAGCTGGCAGAGCTTGATGCGAGTGACGGAGTTGAGACAGTGCCGACTTGGCGATTCTGAAACCTTGTGTCGAAATCAGTAGATCTGGGCTTCAGGTCCTTGGGCGCTCTAAAATCTTCGGCATTCTCGTTGTGGCTCCAGGTTGCAGGCACTATCGAGTCCCGAAAGTCTTTGTTTCCAAGACCTTTCTGGGCCTTGCTCACAGTGGTTTCGGATTCCTTGTGTCCGTTTCTCGTAAGTGTCCCTCTGATCGCTCCAGTCATGGCGACAGGAGCGACCATAAGAAAACTAAGGACTGCGAAGAGATGCATGGCGACCTGTACTGTTGCGGACGCAGTTTACAAGAATGAGAGTCGGAAGATATGGGTGCAGATTCATGATATTTAAAGAGCCAGGCAACCCATCTTGAGGGTTCATTGATTATGCTAGTATCGACCGCAACTCCATTGATACGAGCTGGCGGAAATCTAGCTTTGACTTGAGTCAAAAGCATGATGCAGGTAAACTACATTAGAAACACTTCAATGTCTGTTGTGTTGTCACATGTTCGTATGTTACAGCCTCGAAGTTCCACAAGATATTGAATACTAGAACAGCCACAACAAGAATTACGCTGGTCATTGGAGCGCGTTGAGTCAAACTCGATGTGGCAAGCATGGTCAAATGACTGATATAAAGAAAGAAATTTAGGTGTTCAGTAGCACGGCAGCTCCACAGGGAGTGAAGGCAACTCAAAACTGTGGCAATATGCCCTTCATACTCAAAGAATCATCTCAATTTACCGAAAATCATAGAACTTGAGGCAAACTGGGATGACATCATAGTTGGGATCCCAATGGCAACGTTACTGACTGGTAGCACTGCATTGAATATGAATGTTGCTGAAAAGGCCTTGGCCTGGTCACAATGTCTTCTGGAAGAGAGCTTCCATTTGCCGCATCCACCTGCTACAGGAACATTCTCTCAACGAAACTACTTATGTCACATGAATATTCCATGATCAGTACATCTTGTACTTCGATATTCCCAGATCCAAAGACTTAAATATGCCACATTGCCACATGAATTATCCTCTCAATTCCTAGGTCGCGCTGTCAAGCATCTAACTCGTATTCAGACCCCCAAAGACTCAAAAAGGCAAACATGGTCTTGATCAAAAACCTCCTCGTCTTGGCTCTCCCAATCTCTGCTACGACCACCGGATGCTTCAAAGGCGGTGAGTTCGGTTCTTACGGCAAATGGCTTAAGGAGATCGACGACGTCATCAAGCAAGAGCGGCTAGAGGTTGCTTGCGCTATGCTGGCAGGAGATGGGAAGAGGAAGTTCAAGGGACACGAAGAACGGCTTTTCTGCATGCAGGAGAAAGACGGACTCAAATGGGACTTCAGCCTTAAGGTAAGCCTATGATTGATGTCTCTCATTTCCTGTGTCAGGACTCCTGTCAGGTGTTGTGGCATACAAATACGCTATTAGTTGCGTAAACTGATAATACGATGCAGTACATCAGATCAGGCGAGCGAAGCATCGACAAAAATGAGTGCATGAGTGGCATGAAGAAACAGATATACTGCAAATACGGTGGCAGGACTGATTACTACAACTGGCAGTATAAGTAAGTTTACCCCAACTTTCTCCCATTGATTTTGCCCGATTCTGACATGACGATTGTACCAGGGCGGATCCCAATAGAGGCTCATGTGTGGGCTAGCCCAGGACGAATTTCAATTTTGTTTCTGGCTCTTGGTTTGTGATTTGTTGCGAGTTTCTGAGCCCAGATGGACGGGAAAGGGGCTGTTGTTGCGTACTTGAGTATCTTGTTCGCTAGTTTGGTCTGTCTGTTCAACAACCTCAACAACAAACCTGTAATGTTCTGAGAGTTTGAGACAATCTCAATGGTTGCTTTGACCCCTGTATAATGTGTCTTGCCAAAAGGCAATTGAAGTCTGAGATGAGGGGGCGGGATGATCCGCTACTCCACGATCGCACGATTTGCGGGGTGAACTAAATGACCGCAGTGGATCTAGGAAAATTTTGCGCCGGATCGCGGCATCAACTTTCGGCAATCGTGAATACCCACAACCTCCGAACTTCGGAACACGGAACGAATCTCAGACCGTAAAGTGCTCCCCTCCCGATCTTCAAAGTCACAGATCTTGCTCTGAGTTGAGCTTGTGCAAGTGTCTTGAATATTTTCTCTTCAACTTGCCGTATCAGACTCACATCATGGCAGGTGACCGGCAGCATCAACCGAAGATCGTCATCGCCGGTGCTGGAATCGGCGGTCTCGCAGCGGCACTGTCCTTGCACGCGGCCGGCTTCACCGACATCCACATTTTCGAAGCGGCCTCACAACTCACAACTCTCGGTGTCGGCATCAACGTTCAGCCTTCGGCAGTTCTCATCCTTCGCAACCTAGGATTGGAGGAAGCACTCGAGAAGACCGGCATCAAGACCCAAGAACTTAACTTCTACAATCGTCATGGTCATTCGATTCTCAGCGAGCCAAGAGGCATCAAGGCCGGCTACGCCGTCCCGCAACTCAGCATTCATCGTGGCGAGATTCAGATGCTCCTTCTGAGTGCTGTCAAGGAACGCCTGGGCGAGGGCGCTGTCAATCTCAACCATGCCCTCGTTGGCTTCTCTCAAGACTCGAAGAGTATAACGGCCGAGTTCTCACGACGACGTGATGGTGCACCTGCAGATCAGTCTCAAGTGACGGGCGACATTCTGATAGCTGCCGACGGCATCAACTCAACAGCGAGAAAGATTCTCTACCCTAATGAAGGACCACCACGATTTTCCGGCCGAATGCTTTGGCGTGGTTGCCTGGAGCGGGAGCCCTACCTCACCGGCGCATCGATGGTCTGGGCCGGTCATGCCGACCAGAAGTTCATCGCTTATCCCATCAGCCAACGTTCAGCGGACAAGGGCAAAAGTCTAGTCAACTGGATTGCGGAACTCAGGATCAGAGATAAGGATGATGAGGACCTCACGCCTCCGAAGACGGACTGGACGAAAGCCGTGAACAAGTCCGTATTCGAGCGACCTTTCCACGGATGGAAATGTGGTGGGCTTGATATGAAAAGCTTGATCGACGACACGGAGAAGGTGTTCGAGTTTCCCATGAGCGACCGTGATCCGGTTGAGAGGTGGAGTTTTGGCCGATTGACTCTGCTCGGAGACGCTGCTCATGCCATGTACCCGATCGGCTCTAATGGCGCCTCGCAGGCGATCATCGATGCCGAGACATTGGCAAGAACACTTGTGGAGAGCGGAGAGAATGTGGAGGCCGCCTTGAAGGCGTACGAGTCGGAAAGACTACCAGCTACGGCCAGGATCATTATGGCGAATCGCGCCAACGGGCCTGATCATGTGTTGCAGCTGTGCGAAGAGCGAGCACCGGATGGGTTCGAGAATGTTTATGATGTCGTTCCGAAAGAGGAGTTAGAGGGCATCGGAAAGGTCTACAAGCAGGTTGCTGGTTTTGAAATGGACAGCGTCAACAAGAAGGCCGAGGAGACAAAGGGCGTAAGTGAAAAGCTGGGGTTGAAGAGTCCGAAGGACTGGATTTGAAGAAGTACATCTTCTTACATCGGCCAGAGGGTGTGAGTAATCTCACCAGTCAGAGTTTCCGTTGCTACTCTAGTCTTAGCAGCGTTCATTATCCGGGAAAGCCCAAGTCTCTAGCAGCCTGCGCAGTGAACCCAATTTGGGTTTGGGACTTCCATACTGGTCGCCATGGTTGGATATTATGAAAGATACATACACGAATAACTGGGTTTAAAGCTCCAAATTTCATCAAGCCCAATCGAAAGGGTCGAGGCACGAACGGCCGAGTGTGACACCAGTAATGAGATCGGCATGCAAAGATGATCCCACCGCCCGACCAGCAAGGACATATGTTTCCACAAGCCTCTGATGATTGGCACGTGGTGCAAAGGTCTCTCGTCAATATTAGCACACCACCACACCATTACCAAGATGTTGGGTAGGAAGAGCAATCCGCCAGTCAAGTAGCTCGAACATGCGCTATTCTTGTAGGTGCCGATATTAGATCTCGGGCTATCGTCTCTCTTCTAACTCGTATAGGTTGCCGGTATTTCATAATGCCGTTAGCTTGGGCTGTCGTCCCGATAAACCCTTGTCCTCGGCGCTGCCTCGGTCTTTCTTTCCCCGGATTTCGACTTTTGGGGTTCCCCTTCCCGCATAACCCGCAACCCCGCACGCCACGGTAGTATTCTCTGCCAGGCTGGGCAACCTGCGAGTAAGATCCAGAACAGACTCTCGACGGTGATTCGATGGTCGGATGTTTAATGTCGAGGAGTTTGGCTCAATTGGAGGAACCTCTGGGGTGCGTATCCGCCGCGAAATGAGAGTCTTGAAGATCTTGCAAGATGACCATATAGTATTTGAACGTCGTGATTCCCCATCAATACCTTGAAGGTTTCTATGATTCCTCATCTCGAGAACAAGGACTTCGCAATATTCTCAAGCGAGCAACCATGGCCATCGTTGGCGCCAAAGAAGAGCACGTCGATCCGCAACTGACGCGGATCGCCCAAGACGACAAGAAGATATGGTACAAGAAGCCAAACCTGCGCTTTCTCTACCTCATCCTCATCCCAACCGGCCTTGGCGTGGAGTGGACATCTGGCTTTGACTCTTCCATGATGAATTCCCTTCAGTAAGTTCCTGTCGAAACGCTTGCGATGTGTCTGATTCTAACCGCAATCCTGGCAGGGCCGTTGAGTCTTGGTTCGAATGTATGCAACAAACCCTCAGAACTTTCAAGTCATATCCTGCAAATAGCAATACTGACGGGTGTTTTGCAGACTTTGGTCGCCCGAACTCCTCTAGGCTAGGTCTTCTGAACGCGATGTACTCTCTCGGTGCTCTCATGGCAATCCCCTTCGTTCCTATCGCGTCGAACTATCTGGGCCGTCGGCGTACCATCCTCCTCGGGTCGTGGATCATGGTTCTGGGTGCGGGTCTCCAAGCAGGCGCTCGTAACCAAGACATGTTTTTGGCGTCTCGCTGGGTTCTTGGCTTTGGGATCCCCTTCGCAATCATCAATGCTTCTTCTCTCATCGGCGAACTATCATATGCGAAGGAACGTCCTGTTATGACCAGGTTAGCGATTTCCCCGTTACTTGGTTTCGAATCCGTGTAGCACACTTGTGCATGATAAGCAACTGCTAACAACCGAACTCTAGTCTTTTCAATGCCTCCTGGTTCGTTGGTACGTTATCATGCAAGACCCCTGGTTTTGTAGTTCTAAAAGCACTAACGGCAGATAGGCGCCATTATTGCGGCCGGAGTCACCTATGGTGAGTCGACTCTCATGTCCCCAGGCTGTTTGCTTGTTTCTCCCGTACTTGTCATCATCCCTTAATGAGATCTTCTGACCGTGATTTGTAGGTACCTTCCAGATGTCTAGCACATGGGCATGGCGCATTCCGAGCCTTCTTCAGCTCGTTCCTAGCGCGTGTCAGATCTGCTTCATGCCCTTTTGCCCAGAGTCTCCTCGATGGCTAGTCTCCAAGGACCGTGGCGATGAAGCATTCGCCATCTTACAGAAGTACCACAGTGAAGGCCAGCATGGTGACGAGTTTGTTCGTCTTGAATTTGCTCAGATCCAATCCACCATCAAACAGGAGAAGGAAGTGACAAGCAAGTTCGCCTGGGGTGACGTCTTTCGCGACGCCGCTATGCGGAGGCGGTTCATGATCGCCGGCATCGTTGGCTTCTTCACGCAGTGGTCGGGCAACGGACTACTCTCTTTCTACATGAAAAAGGCATATTTAAGCTGGATACCTTTAACTTTTATCAGTTCTCTAACTCACTTTTAGATCCTCAACCTGGTCGGAATTACGGACAACCGAACTGTTCAGAAGATCATTCTGAGCAACACTTGCTGGGGTGAGTACTCTGCTCGGCATCTATCCCGATCAGCTTCCTCGCAAACCCAAGACTAACGTAACTCGTTATTAGGACTTATCAATGCGACCCCAATCGCGCTGATTGCACCACGGTTCAAACGACGTACCATGTTTTTAGTTTGCACGATAGGTAAGCATGTTGCTTTGTGCTCTTGGACTGCCGTTGTGAATAAGAAGGCGATCAACTGACCAATATCTAGGAACCGCCTGTGTTTACACCGTCTGGACTGTTGCATCAGCCAGATTTGCTATTGAGAACTCTCGGGCAGCCGCTATCCCAGTTCTGGTTTTTATCTACGTATACTCACCGTAAGCCACACTCTTTGGGCAAGATTTGCAAAATTCATTGACTGACCAAACTAATCAGGTTCTACAACATCGGCTGGAATGCGCTTACGTATGAATTACACCTACTCGAGGCCTCACATCAGAAGCTAACACAACATTAGATACACTTACATGGTTGAGATATTCCCATACAGTGTTCGATCCCAGGGCATCGCCGTTGAGCAACTTACCGTACGATTCGCCGTTTTCTTCAACACGTATGTAAACCCGATCGCTTTGGACTCAATCGGCTGGAAATACTACATCGTGTACTGCGTGTGGATCTTGGTGGAGATTGCCACAGTCTGGTTCATCTTCCCCGAGACACACGGACGCACCCTCGAAGAGCTCAGCTTCATGTTCGAAGGCAAGGAGGTGCAGGACAAGGTGCAGAAGAACACTCAGAAGGTACTTCAAGTCGAGCTTGAAGACATCGCACCCCGAAGAGAATCGAGAGAAGGGACCGAGAACCCGAAGGTCTAGTTGCATCGAAGATTCGGGTCGCCGAGAGAGCGCCGTTCATCTCCGAGTTGAAGGACTCTTGAAAGCCTGGATCCTTAGGCCGTGGGGTGGTGTGTGCTAGTAGTATCTGTAATTATGAGGGCATTGGGTGCGGTAAATTGGTCGTCACGATGCTTTTTCGTGCTCGCTCATTCGGCAGAATGGAGACTCCAATCAACTGATAACTTGGGACTGCATTTCTTAAGAGTGACGTCAACGTACACTTAGCCGCCATCAGGCCGCCCCGCCGAGACGGGCCGGGCGGGCCCGCTTCTTGCGGAGGTCAGCTCCGTCCGGAGGTCTGGTCTTCTGAAACTACAGCTCCCGCTTCGAACCAACCATGAACTGCGAAATCACCAAGAAGTCGTATCTGTCACTTACAAGTGAGGCGAGCTGAGATGCCATGTGGGTTCTAATACCGTTCGTAGAATGCCAGGAATTCAGGTCCGTCGCACGGGCACGCAGGCCAAGCATATTGTGGGGTGAGAGGTCGTTCGAATGAGGCAATGAAGAGCACAAGCTCACTGATCGGCAACCAGGAAGCAAACCGGAAAGCAGCTCCGATGAGCTCAGTGTCACTTAGCTGGCTGGCGGTTTGATATGAATAATCTCACTCTTCGGACCTTGTATGCAGCCCATCGGGAATCATCCGTTGGCGAAGTTACGTCCGTACATAGACATCCGGGAATGATCTACAGGCTTCGCCCGCGGCTTGGTAGCGAGGTTACTCTGCATCTGTTGTCAGCCGCGTCATCTTCCGCTGTCCATCGCCTGTAGCTGAACCCAGTCAATCAGTGAACCCCTGTGAACCGTATTTATGGAAATGCGATCTTGAACTCGTGCCTTTTTGACCGGGCGAAGTTCAGGCCGGAGCAGCTGCTCCTTACTGCTCGTGGCCCCTTGCACGGTGTCCACCTGATCACGACGCGGGATGGCGGCGTGGCGGTCAACTAAAACTTGACAGATAGCGAAACCTGCCTCCGTTTGTCACACCAACGGCTAGGTTTCAGGGTACTGGGTGACGACAACAAAACGTCAATGAGGGAAGTCAAGTCAATAATGTGCGTTGGGTTTGGAGGGTCAAATGAACGTCCATATCAACATGTTATCTCATACATAGTATTTCGTGACGCGGTCGCATATTTCCACAAATCAATCCAGTTACCCAAATTTTTCTGTTGTATTTCAGAGCTCACCCCCAACCTTTAGCATTCACGATCTTCTCAGGATCTTCCCAAACTCCAAAGATACTTCTCACGCACGCCCAAACAACAACACCCAAACTCTGAATCTGGGCTACGCTGCAACCTTACTATACTACAATTACCCATCTCAACTTCTGATATCCCTACATAAAACATGTTCCTTGCATCCAGAGCTGCCCGCGGCAGCTCAGCTCCCGCGCGCATACTGTCGTCTCATGCATTCTCGGCTCGAGCAGCGGTGCGGATAGCGCAAACATCCATCTCAACGCGTTGGATTCAAAGCACGGCGGACCGAAGTCTCGCAAAACCAAGAAATCCAAACCCCACGGACAGGCCTGCCTATGACATCAAGCCACCAAGGGATACCAATTTTGGCAGCAGTCGCTTTACAGACTTCGATCTGAAGGGTCGAGTTTTCATCGTGACCGGTGGTGCGCAAGGCCTAGGGTTGAGTCTGGCAGAGGCGCTCGTCGAAGCCGGCGGCAAGGGTACGCTCTTGAGTTGTCACTGACAATGTCTGAAGATTTTAAGCTTACATCTCACCAGTCTACTGCCTGGACCAACAAGAATCGCCCCATGAAGACTTCGCTAAGGCGATGGAACGCGTCGTCCCTGAGTGGGGTGGTACTCTCCGCTACAGACAAGCAAACGTCGTAGATACTGATGGACTTGACGAGGTCATCTCTGGTATCGCTCTGAAGAACGAAAGACTGGACGGTGTGATTGCTGCGGCCGGTATCAATCAGATCACACCTGCCATTGATTACACCGTCGAGGACATCAACAAGATGATGGCAGTCAACTACACCGGAGTTTTCATGACTGCGCAGTCCGCGGCGAGACAGATGATCAAGTACAAGTGCCACGGCAGCATCTGCTTGATTGCCAGCATGTCGGGGTTCGTCGCCAACCACGGCATGCTCTCACCCGTTTACAACTCTTCCAAGGCCGCTGTTATTCAACTTGCTCGGAACCTGGCCATGGAATGGAGTCCGATGAGGAAAGATGGTTCTGGTGGTATCCGGGTCAACTGCATCTCTCCTGGACACATCATGACACCAATGGTGGAACAGAACTTCAAGGAGGTGCCTGGTTTGAGAGAAGAATGGGAGGGCCATAACATGTTTGGAAGGCTTGCGGACACGACTGAGTTCAAGGGTGCCGGTTTGTTCTTGATGAGCAACGCCAGCACTTTCATGACTGGCAGTCAGCTTGTCATTGACGGTGGTCACACGGCATGGTAGGCCAAGCCGTGTTATCCAATTCCAGGGACTGGAGATGGATGCATTTCAGGTTTGTCTCTGCGAAGCGATAGATGTGTTTGGGGTTATCTTTGGCTTGGTACCTAGATACAGCGATAGCATCGGAGCAGCGGAAGGGCAGGACTTTCAATATTCCACTTCCGTATTTTAATTTAAGATCATGTACATTCTGGCCCAACTCAGAGAGATCTACTCTTGTGATGAAAATGTCCACGAAAGATGCCCCTTTTGTTTGGTTCACCACATGTTTACTAAAACAGTCCTCATGGCAAATGAAATCGCAATGATACCCCCACCTGATGTCTAGAGAAAACAGTGGTGTTCTCATCAAATGACTCAGATGTCAATGCCTCTGACCTGTAATGATCAAACTTTCTTGAAGCTGGATTTCTTCACAATAACGCAAGTTCGCCTGTCGAGACGCTCCAGCGTGACCATGTAAGGTCAAAAGAAACCGCACTCTGATCGGCAGTGCTCTTCTAGTTGGCCGACCTAACAGTCTAAAGAGTAACTCGGGAAAGTATCGGCATGACTCGGAAAGTACGGGCAATTTTCTGTTGTCGTTGTTCCTGATCGCCAAACCTTCTCAAGCTGGAGGGATTGTCGGGATCTCCATTACATAACCAGACACCGGAAGACTTTGGATTCCCAATCCCGATGTCAGTCCACCTTGTGTTTGTGCGATTCATTTCTTCGAAAACACATTTCTTCACGGAGATTCACTTTACTTAAGATGACCTTTCCAGCCCTGCCTGCGCGAGGTTCATATACAAAAGCCATATTCTCAACCGAGAGTCCTAGTCGTTTCAGACTGCAGACATCCTCATGTCCTTGTTGTCAATGAAGTCAGATATCGAATCCCAAAAGCACCATGTGCCAATAGCCCAACGGATGGCGAACCCGGTACGTTAAACATCAGCGTAGAAAACCGCGGGAATGAAACCAGACTGACATCCTCGTCATCAAAGAGCCCACTTGGCCTCGGCGCCTTTTCAACAACTCTAATGACTCTGTCTCTTTCTATGATGGGCTTACGAGGAGTCTCAAACCAAACCGTCTTCATCGCAAATCTATGCTTGCTCGCCGGTATTGGTTTAGTCATCACAGCACAATGGGAGATGGTGAGAGGAAACACATTTGCTTATACCGTATTAGCATCCTTCGGTAACGAAGCCTGGCTTGATTCACGCAGTACTCAATCTGAACATCTCTCCAGGCTTTTACTATGGCGGTTATGGCCTTCTGTTGCTTCCCTCAATGGGCATTGCAGACGCGTACGGCGGAAAGACGACCGAGTACTACAACGCTTTCGGTTTCTACCTGGTTGGTACGCTTTCGCCTCATGGTTCTCTGAGCATCTTGTACACAAATTTACTAACATGGTTGTCAGTTTGGTCAATTTTCAATCTCTTCTTCTTCATCGCCTCGTTTGCCACGTGAGTAGGACCTCCTTTCAAAGAAACTCCGTACACCTGCTAATGCGGAAGGATGTAGAAACGTCGCAAACATTGTAGTGTACGGTGGCCTGGAGTTTTCCTACATTCTCAACTGCTCCGCCAACTTCGCCATGGCTGACGATCATGCGGCGCTGGGCATAACGCTCACGAAAGTTGCCGGAGCTTTTGGGTTCATCTCCGCGCTGACTGGATTCTATACTCTGGCGCATGAGCTATGCAGCGAGGTGCTGCCGTTTGAAATCCCGCTCGGTGATACATCCCGCTTCTTCCAGAAAGCGGATCCGCATGCACATCGCAACTAGAAGCTCTTTGTTCATTCCCTGAATTGACCGACATCTTACATCGTAAACCGCCGAGTCAGACAGCTTGCTTCAATCACTGTCCAGCTTCAATCTTCGTGGTGCCAGCATGGTATGACATTTCTTTGGTTTCGTACGGACAACGAGAAGGATGTTATGATTGATTGCGAACACCGCGGGGTTTGAAGTGGCCCGAAGCGTCGGGGTTGGATTCGGGGGGACTTCGCCGAATGCAAATCTTTGTCCGGGCTTTGTGTGCAAAACCCTCGTCTAAAGTCGAATGAAAACCTTGAAAAGATAATAAAAGCCCGCGAAGTACACTTCTACACCCCGAGAGCCTGGAAAGAGAAGCCTTTTCCAACCTCGTCGTCTTCCTCCGCCACAAACGTGCTTGAACCGGTATAAAACGCCCGCCCACTCACTTCAACTCTAATGCCCTGCATCTTACCGTAATCAATCTTTTCCACGGCTTTACCGACGAAAGCACTCTTGAAACCCCCCTGCGCTCTCGAAACGAGACTGTGGTACGTCCAGCTCTCACCCAACTCTCTTTCTCCCTTCGCAACAGCCACCGCAACTCGCGCTTGTACCACCGAGCCGGTCGGACTGCGGTCAATCTGCTGGTCCGAGAAGAAGTAAACTCCCGTTTCGGCTCCCTTGCATCCCGGTGCCGCCGGAACCTCGTCGTCGCTCCCCGCGTCTGTGACCATGACCCCGTAGATCGACTGCAGGCGTTTGTCGTCCGGCAGAGTCAGCCGTGTCCTCAGCAGGGGACTGGCATCGAACGACCGTTTGATCTTCTCTGCGGCGTTCCTGAGCGCGGCGAAGTTGGGCTTCGCTAGCGAAGGCGGAAACCCGAGAGCAGACGCCGACACGATGATGTAGAACGCGCCGCCGTAGCCGACGTCGACCGTGACGTTCTCGCGGTCTCCGAGCTCGGCCCAACGCAGGTCCTCGGGGATGAAGAACGAAAGATTAATAGCGGTAGCGAAAGTTGGGATGGAGAGGAAGGTGATGGGCCGGTTCATATCCGTTCTGTAACCGCCGTCCGCCTTGACGGCGGGAACCTTGATGCGGACGACTCCAACCGGTGCGTGGAGTCTCACTTCGATCTCTTGCGTTTTCGGGTCGAACTCGAGTTCTTTGCGTCGAGGGAAGATGGTCTCCTCAGTGCAATCGACCAGAAACCTGCCGAGCGCGATGGTGGCGTGGCCGCACATCATGCCGTAGCCTTCGTGGGTGAGGAATAAAGCCCCCATGTGAGCTTCTCCAGAGTCTACTAGCTCTGTGCGAGGTCTCAACGCGGCGCCGTACATGTCCTGATGGCCGCGGGGCTCATAGATCAAACTCCGGCGAATGTGATCGTGCTCCGATTGAGCCAGGCTGCGCTGCTCGAGCAGCTTGCCGCTATTATGGTATCAGTAGCTACCGATGGATTCAGGGATTCCCGAAGAAAGGTCGACGTACGGGATGTCGGGGTAGCCGGCGTAAATGATCCTCGCCGGCTCTCCCGAGGTATGCATCTCCACGGTCCGGATCTCGGACCCGACGAATGGGCGGATGAATGACGGTAGGCTCATTGCGACGGCGCCTTGTTTGTATTGGATCGTAGCAGCGCGGTGCGTGTTTGATGCCGGATGATGAAATGATTGCGGTGTTCATGAAACGTTGACGACTGATACTTGGCCATAACATCATGTACTACCGTGCGACCGCCACGGCGTCCGGCTCCACTTCCCGGCCGCTAGGTGCCGATGTCGGGATCGGCTACCGATCTTGGCCCGGTGCAGCACCCGGGGCTCGCCGTAAGCAATATTATCCAATCAATATTCCTCATATTATATGTACTTGAAAATACCATCTACACGAATTACCAACTTATGCGCTCGCTCGCCCTCGAATGCCAAGTATCACTATCTAACTTCTCGCTCTGCCTGTGTCCTGTCTTGTCATGTCATCAAGGATATCAACGAGATGGCTACTACTGCTGCCGCAGTCAACCGCGAGGGCGGGTAGACGCATGAAATCCCCGAGCGGCTTGCGGTTGAATTTGTGGTTTGCGCTGTTGCCGTCACTGTAGTGTCTCGAGTTACGGTGACCGTATCGGTTTGCGGGACTTTTGTGTCCGCGTCAGACATGAGAGACTCCTCCGATGATGATTCTAGAAGCTTGATTGCGGACTGACTTACGTGGATATGTAACTCGGTACCAGGTCATGGGCAGGACATACTGCTCCGACCTCGCGATGCAGAAGATGATCCTCCGCGCGTCGTCGCTGCCCTTCGTCTGTATCACGGTGACCGTGTCGCAGGTATTGCTCGGCCCACTGGATTCTGGTGAGTACATATCCTGTGGCTGCTTGTCTACAATGCATCTTGACAGCAAGAATGTCCGGTCACATACCAATCAGCCAGCCCGCTGGGCCCAACGGCGAAGTTATTATTCGCGCCGCCGCAAACCGTCGCGAGGTCGCAGTTGGCGTTGTTCCGGGGACAGCACACGCCGTAGGTCTCGTCGGCAGCGAAGTAGGACTCGGACGGGCACGTGGCGGAGACCCAGGTGTCGGAGGCGGTATACCAGCCGATGAAGTTCGTGCGGCCGTCGGAGGATCGAGGGGGGCCTTGGCGGGCTCTGAGCAGGCGGTGCGTAACCAGGTCGCGGTCTGGGGCTGGGGTCGTGACGGGGGAGGGGACTTGGGGAAAGCGGCTTGGTGTTTCGGGGCCGGTGATGGTGCTGGATGCTAGGCTGGCGAAGAGGAGAGTGAGGTGCAGCGGAGGTGGGATGTGCATCGTGAGCACGATGGCTGCGGCCGCGGCCTCATTGAGATGATGAGACGGCGTGGTACGGTGACGTGGGCTGGAGTTTAGAGCAAGAAGCGTTGGGGATCTTAGTGACCGAGGCAGATGAGGAGGATGATTTGGCCTTTTGATTGCTTTTTGCACCTGTGTTGAAGAGGAGGGGGGCATCTCCGGAACATCGGGAGACGGGATCCTAGACTGCAAATGCTGAGCGTCTGATCTTGACTTCGAACTTGCAAAATCGGGAGGGACCAACTTGGGAAACGCGTATGTGGAGGATACGGCCATGCATTTAGTGCCTGGGTATGGATATGGGTAGAAAAAAGTGCCGGCTCGACGGCATGGTTTTACGATTTCAGACTTGAGAGGAGGCCGTGAGCTTGTCTGGATGTGGTGATGAGTGATACGGCGACTGCGCTTCCGGTTAAGAAACGTCTGATTGAGCCAGTCTTCCGCAGTGTTCTAGAGCTTGTCTTGCCGTATTGATGTAAATAGAAATAAGTATAAACGCAACACGAAGTTTGGTCTAGATAAGGCCCGTCGTCAACGGCTGGCGATGTTACTGGCCTCACATCGGTTTCTTTTCCGGATCAAGACGTCCATGACAAGCTACGACTTCAGGCGTAAGCAACATAATACCGCCTAACCCATCTTCAGGATAAAAAATGATTTGAAATGTCGTCGCGTCCATGGAGTAGAGTCGTCAGCTCTACCCGTGCCCTCGTGTCACATCGCGAATCGGAACATGGGACCGAATTGGCGGTTAGTATGTTTCCGCGGTGACAACCGGTAAGTGCTCGCCACTGGACTGTTTGGGCAGCACCCCATTGCACCCGAACACTCGATAATCCGATGTTCGTTGGTTTTGACTTTTTGGGGGTGCGGCATGAGGACGGATATAGCTTCCCAGTTCTGGACCTTGCTGGTACCCGCCGAGTGGAGGGACGGTGGTTTGCGAGTAAGTCTAAATCCTTGGGCCAAGTGCGTAGTGCTGGGAAAAGATTTTGAGGTTGTGTTTTGCGTCCGAGATCTGGGCCGTGGGAGATCGAGTTTAGATCGCTGCCGATTCGGCGAAGCCAGCCGAGCAGCACCGTCCGATGTCAGGTAGTTAGGCAGCTAATCAAACAAGCTATTTCAATAGGTGGAATCCCTTGCATTCAGACTGTGTAATTTGTTGACGCTGTAAAGTAACGGGTCGTTTCTCATCACCTCTGTCATGGTAGCCATCTGGTAGCTCTAGTCACATTGTTATCGTAGGCCTCTTGTCGGTAGCTCGAGTATCAGTTGTGTCCCCCTGATATCGGGTCTTCAATACCAAGGCAACTACAGTCCTCTGTTCCAGAATGTGTCAAACCGCCGATCCGTGCCAACATAGAAGCAAACGTCCGGGGACGCGCGTTGACCGTGGTGTTTGACTGGAAAATGATGAGACAAACTGCAGGTCACAGCAACCTGGCCAATGCAAAGTGCCCCTCATGGTCACAGTCCAACCATTCAGAAAGACAGCTCAAAGCAATTTAGAATCCACATCAAAAGTGCTCACAACGCGTCAAAAACCAGAAGGAAACACATCCCTCACCCTCCGACGTCCCGGCGACAACACCGCTCCACACCGGCCGTCGGCCCCACAAAACAAGACAGAGTTTACGGAGCCGACAGTATTCCCACGACCAAAAAACCGCCTGCCCTCAAGCGCGCCCACAAGCGCAGGCAGAACGAGGCAACCAAAACCTCTGCGGCCACTTCACCAACACAGTCTGTCCGCCCGCCTCAAAATCCTCAGGTTCTCTCTCTCTTTTCTCTCCCACACATCCCTAACCACTCAGATTCACCTCGGGGGAAAACCCCCAATCACCGCCGTCGTCCGAGAAAATTCGCAAAACCCTCACGACTCGCACAACTTTGACGTTATCATCGCCAGGCCCACTGACCGTCCGTCAAGCGGGACATCCATCGCCGAACCATCACGGCTGATGGTACTATTTTGCCCCCTTCAACTTCGCCGCCCACGACTCACGCTACGTTTATCCGATATCGCATCAGTCGATCTAGACTTCTGCCCTTGGTTTGGATCCAGGGAATCCCTGCACACCACCGAGAACTTGACCAGACGCTGATTCAGCCACAGGATTCGAGTGCTAGCCACAAAATCAAGCGGAAGAGCCGCATCGGCTCCGTCTGCCGTCTGGAATGGTCGCGCGATAGAGGCTAGCTAGCATCAACATCGGCTAGTACTACGACGCAGCATACGGCATTTCACCTCACGGAACGCTAAGGAAGAGTATTATACATCATATTTCTACAACTCGAATGGTGCTTGCTCGCCTAGCTAGTTGCAAGCTAGCGCAAAATAGATGCTCTCATACCGCGGCATCTGCGAACTGGGCAATCAACTCCTTGCGTATCCGCCAGCAGTGGGCCTGGCGCAAAGTGGATGCCTCGGGCGTGACGGCAATTGTTCGACGACATGTCCAAGAAACATGAGACGTTGCCGCCTCTGACATGAAGACGCCCCGCGAGACATCAAAATGATCAAGGCGCCCGATCCATCTACGCAGGCCAGGTTTGTTGGCGCGGAAACTCCGTTCTCCGTCCAAGATCCTGAAACATAAACGCGATGCAAATGAGGAGAGCGCTGCCTTATTCTTCTTCCGAGTCTGAAGACTCACTGTCTCCGTGGATCGGTGCTTCGTCCGCACGACCAGAGCTTCCAGGCCGCTCGTTACCATCATCAGAGCCCCCCTTACCGTACATGTGACGCAGTCTCTCAAGCTCTGCGATCCGTGCCTCTTGCTCTATAGCGTTCATGGGCTTGTTCTTCTTGGGCTTGCTCGACTTGGCCGCTCCCTTGGCAGGTGCACTGTGTACTGGAGAGGGCTCACGAGCTGACGGTGCCGGAGCGATTCCTTGAGCAAACGTGGGCAGCGCTTTCTTGCACAGATCCCAGAGCTTATGGAGAGCCTCGTTCGTGAGCTGATCTATTTCAAGCTCAAGTTCACCGCTGCTGTTCTCCTACAAAGATTGTTAGTGTACAGATCGAATCATGGTGAGGGGGCAAACACGCACAGATTGGCCTGTGTCCTTCTTAATGATATCAATAGCTCTCTCAATATGCGGACTCTCGAGGTCGTTGATAGCGTTCGCGATCGCATCTTTCTCAGGCTGTGTCATATTTCGGAGTTTCGCCTTCTTCGATCCGCCGCCGCCACTCTTCTTCGGAGGTGCTGCCGGCGCCGACTTCTTAGTGGGCGCGGCGCTGGCCTTTGGCTTAGTTGGCTTCGCAGGCTTGGGCTTAGCGTTCTTCAAGGGCTTCTGGCCCTGCGGAAGGTTCTGCTTCTCCTGCAGGATGCGCTGCCGGATGGTTGCAATCACAGATTGTTGGAGGTCAATCATTGCGTCGCTTGACGCGTCTGCGGTCTTGTACAGATTCGTCAGCTCCTCCGTCTCTTCCTGAAGACGTTTTTCAAGCATCTGGATCGTTTTGTTCGTCTGAGGCGCAGCAGCAGCAGCGGGGGCCTCCTCTTCCTCCTCTTCAGCCTCGTCTTCGCTATCGCGGGCCGAACCGTCAGACGTGGGCTTCGCCGGCGTGTGCTTCGCAATCCACTGATCCTTCTTTGACCATAGTTCTCCGAAAATCTTCTCGAGCTGCTCACCCTGCTCGTAGACGGGCTGTCCCGGACCGTTGAACTTGTAGCAGTTCTTGAAGACTTGCTTAACGTCAACTCGGAACTCCTTCGTGGTCTGGTAGTCGTAATTCTTGAGCTTGCTCATGATTGTACCGAGATCCATGGGGCGCTTGATGATGGTAAAGTAGGTGGGAATGGCCAGTGCAACGGGATCGACGGGATACAAGAACGGCATGTTGCAGTGTGCGTTTTTGGAGTCCATCAGTTCGGTCAAAACTTCGTAACAGAACTGAAGCTCGATGGGGAGCTTTTTCTTGTTGAAGTTCTTGGCCGAGTAATCCGGGTCACGGTTCTTGGTAGGCTGGATGGCGCGCTTCGGTCGGTCCAAGTCATTCTGTGTCGAGGCACGTCGGACCTGAGGCACACCACCAGGGGGGACCGCATACGCTTCTGTCTCAGTCTTGGCCGGAGGACTCGCAGCGTGAACACTAGGCTGTCTGCGGACAGGCGGTGTGGGGGCCGAGGTTCGCGACTCGGAGTGGGAGTGACGGGATGGCTTCGGCACTGGCTTCGATTTGGCGGGTTCATCCACGGGGATGTCCGCCACACGAGTCCAAGCCAACTTCACGACGCTGAGTGCAGCCTTAGTGAACTCGTTGGTTGGTCCGTTGAAAGCGACCGAGTTGTTGTAGACCAGGGCAAGGTCGTCCTTGAAGGAGCGCAATGAGCTGTATTTGTTGTCGCGCAGGTTTCGCTCGAGCTCGCCAATGTCCATCGGTTTCTTAATCCGCATCATGTAACTATCGGCGAGCCCAGGCCACAGCTTGACGACAGGCTCCTTGAAATGGGCGCCGTGCTTGGTCTTCTTCACGCCGGCCAGGACTTTGCGGAACTCGCGTATTTGATGAGGCGTCAGAGGCTTCGGGTCACGTTCAGGGTCATTCCACCTCGGGAGGTCGTCGAAAGAGAATTCGTTCTTGCCCGTGTCGCCTGGCGGCTTAACCTCGACGGTAGAGTCCGCGGCCGGTGCTTCCTGAGAGTCGGCGTTGGACTCCGTCTTAGCTCGCTTTGCCGCAGGCTCATCGGCAACATCCTCTTCGCGTTCGCGGGACACCTTGGCTGCCGGCGCAGGTGCGTCGGCCATAGGGACGTCGGCATCCTTGGGTGCTGAAGACTTTTCCTCGTTCTTGTCAATTGCCAGTTGCGACATGCTTGCTGGGTGGAGATCTACCTCTTGGCCAGCCACAGCAGACAGCGCAGGGGACTCTGCTTCTGTCTTCGCCCCGTTAACCTTCTCATCGTCTTGGCCCATCTCGACATCCTCCTTGGCATCAGGCGCGCTCTTGGCAGGTTCAGATGCCTCGGCCGCCTTCTCCTCGGCCGTGATTTCCGACTTGTCGTCCGGCTTCTCCTCGGCGGCGTCGGTCATCTCGACGTCTTTGGGTGGCTCCGCGGATTTCGGACTGGGTGGTTTGCTCGATTCCTTTTCGTCCTTCGCATCGTCTTTGGCCTCCTCGAGTTCCGCCTTGGGTTCCTCCTTGGGTTCGACCTTGGAGTCATCCTTGGGGTCATCTGTCTTAGCCTCATCCTTCGACGCGTCGTCGGACTTTACGGTCTTAGGCTCTTCGGCTGACTCATCGGGCTTTACGGGAGATTCCTTGGGCGACGGCTCGGGCTCTTTGGTGGCGGTCGTGTCTGCGTCGTCGGTGTCCTTGTTCTCGCCATCGTGTTTGCCGTTGCCATTGACAGTCGGCTTCTCGGACTCGACGGGCGCCTCGGATGGAGATGCGTGACTACAATCATGGTGTTAGAATCGAGTACATGTGCGCCTGCAAGGATGCGCCACGAGACGCAAACAGTTTCGAAAGCGCCAAACATGAACAGGAATAACCAGGCAAACAAACTCACCCATTAGTCTCGGCCTTAGTATCCTCCTTTGCCGGTGTTGACTCGGCTGGTTTCTGATCCAAGGTGGCGCGTTCCGATTGAGGTGACGCCATGACTGCCATTAAAGTATTCGCGATGTAGAGAGATCACTGAGCGCGACGCGACATCAACGGCGGCACGCGCAGGTCGTGGTGATCGTGGTTGCGATAAATCGAAGGTCGCAGTTGGAGTGCGAAGGTGATTGAGGATGAATAGCGAGGCGAAGTCGAAGACTTGTTTCACGACAGGGTAGTCGCGAAGACGTCTGGTGTTCGGAGGAAGGCGCAAGTCAGGCAGCAACAAATGCAATGCGCAAATCGCAGGGAAGCTACCGCCGACAAGGTTTGAAGCTTGGGAAGGTGCGTCGCAAAGTGGGATTGTTGTAGATGCAAGTCGAGCAGGAAGAACCGGGATGCAGCTATCGCGAGTGTCGCAAAAACCTCGGTGAGAAGATTCGCGAATGCGCCGGGAATGATTGCAAATGCGCCCTGGATGATGCGCCGTGCAGATCGATGATGATTGAATGCGGACGAGTCGGAATGGGTGGATTGGTTAATCCGGCCGAGTCGCGTCTGAATTGGAAGGTGCGGTGCCGAACGGTCTGGCGATGGCAGCAGGTGCGGCGGTTCGGGAGGGTGGAGGGACCTAGAGCGGAGGAAATCGCGTGCACGTCAGTGATTTTTGGCCGAGATGGCGGCGCGTGCTATTTATGAGAAAGTGACAATTGGGAGTGGTCCCCGGAGAGCCGCTTATCTGGCCTTATCGGGGGGAGGAGGCGCGTGCAATCACGACCTCGACCCAACTGCTTCAGAAGGGGTTCGGCCTGAAAACAGCGGCAGGAATAAAATAGCAGCGTTGGAATTGGGCAGAAAGCGCACTCACTTCAGTGTGTAAGAGGCGGGAAAGGGTCAGTGAGGTGTTGAGGTGGTCAGTGCGTCAGGGTGATCGACGACGACGACTGGGAGGGAGGGAAACCAGAAAGGCCGAGGGAAAAAAAAGAAAAAGAGGGAAGAAATGGCAAGATTGCGAGGAAATGGTTGGAAGAGCAAGTTGAAGGAGAAGGGGGCCGACCAGGGTGGAAGGGGCCCAAGGGTGACATAAAAATGCATACTTATGCAGGCGGTGGAGAGACTGGCCAATGGGATTGCATATTGCTTCCCGGATTGGGACTAAAGGCGCGAGGCTGGGAAATGTGCAGTGACCAGGGTGAGGTGAGTTGGATGGGGCCGTGGAGCGTGGAACGGATGGATATGAATGTGTGATGTGACGCGGGAAGCCGAAACGAAGGGGGAACATGTTGTTGAAGAGGTGCAGTAAGAGAGGAGAGCTTACCTCGTAATGGAATCGGACTGTTTGCTGTCGCAGTATGTTACTTGTCGAGCTTTCGATACCTAAATGCAGCAAGAAGAGGTCAGTACAAGACGCAGAAACATATGGCTGATCCCAAGTCCAAGTGTACGTCACCGAGGCTGGTGAGATGCGGTGAGGTGAACATGATGTGGATCTGAGCGGATGCAATGAATGCCAACGCGCCAGATTCCAACCGAGGAGCAACATCAATCATCCCAAATACAGGACACACGAGGATCAACTCGTAAGAGTGTGTTTGTCATTTCTGAGTGTACATAACAGATGGTTGTAAGGTACAGGGCTATGTCTGGCCGTGAAGCCAACACCAACGCTGTCCGTCGCAAGAAAGAAGAGAAAGACGCGATGGCGACGCAAACGCATGTGTTTGGAAAGAAGGGAAAGGATGGCAGACGGCCGACGGTGCCGCGACGCGACACGACTGAATGCGCGCGGGTGCTGGTGCAGCAGATGCGACAAGAAACAAATGTCGGTACGTACCGGAAAGAGTCGGACTTGGGCAGTGAAGCCGTCGACTGTGATTGGGAGGAAAGTCCAGGTCTCGTGACAGATCAGATGACTGGTGAGCTTCGTGGAATTCTTCCAGGACTTTTTCGCATTAGAAGGCGCGAAATTCAGGAATCGGGGCCACTTCTTATTTGTAGGAACCCGCCAAGTCGCGCTGACCCCAGCGCGCAGCTCGACAGTTTACCCTTGCAAGGGTATGCGACAGGGATGGAAGCACCCCTTTGGTCCAATCATGACCCTCCATGACGACGAAGCGGGGCATGATGAGACAAATACGGCATAGCACCCAGAGACGGTTCCACGCCTGCCTGAGCAGCGCGTCGCCCAATCAGAGGCTTCCGTGGTTTTTCATTGAGGGTACCAGCGCACTTTGGTCCAATCAGACCTCCGTTCGACGGGACCTGGACGGGACCTGGACGGGACGGCTTTTCAGTGCTTCTCGTCCTTCTTGCCGTCCTGCTCCGACCTGTCTTCTCGCGAATAGCTTCCACCTAAATTTTAGGCTCCGCGCACAGCCGCCGCGTCTTTGCGACCTGTTTGAAGCTCGCGATGCGCCGCGTTTGTCAACAAAAAGGCGCCAGCTAGCTGAAAACTGGAAGCTGAGAAGAAATGGCGTGGATGGTAGATCGCGCTGAGGAAGCAAACTCTTGCGCTTGCCACCCAACAGAAGAATGGTGAGCTTGATGGCATGAAGCTCCGCGTTGAAGGTGGAGGAATGACATGTGCAGCGGTCCGTACCCAAGCTCTTCCACGTGACGCATTCCGTTGCCGTGATCTCTTACGTAAGGTAGAAGCGCAGACGGAGCACTTCACATCGGCTAAACTCTGCTCCGACCCGACCCCGATGCGGCCCCACCCGACATCACCGAAAGTGCCCACCAAGCCTCTTATGTCAGCATCCCCGCGGGCGGTCGATTGCCAGACGGGAAAAAAAATTGGCAACCGGCAGAAAAAAAAAGTTCAGGCAGGTCGTTCGTTGCTGGAGACGTGAGGGTCCCCAATCGACAAATTTGCTACCCTTCACAATTCCGCCCTTCAAGATACCCCAACAGCACCAGCCATAATGTCTGCGAAGAGAAGGTCATCCGGCAAATTTGCGCCGCCGGTCGTCAAGTCCGCGATCCGAGCCCCCAAGACGACAATTGACGAGAGCAGAGCTGCCGTCTCCGCGACAGATTCCCTGCAAGCCGCTGTCAAGGCCGACGCCGCCGCCGAAGCAATCACAATCTCTTCCGACGAGGACAGCGAGGACGATGTCTCCGACCAGGAGATGGAGTCGCCCGACGCCGAGACGAATGAACCCGTGAACGGCAAGGAGGACGCCGCCGAGAACCAAACACAACAAAAGCCCGACGCCGAAGGAGGCGCCGCAGAATCTGACGACGAGGCCGGGTCGCCCACCTTTGGAGAGCTGCTGCGCGGCACAATCGACGTTCCCGCCATCCTATCCCAACAAGGCGACGCCACCTCCAAGGCCGTCTCCGCCCCCGTCTCAAGAAAGAACCTCGCCGTCCCCTCTTCGCTATCCTCTCTCAGCACCGTCCTCACCCAGGCCCTCAAGACCGAAGACACAGACCTCCTCGAGTCCTGCCTGCAAAACACCAACCTCGAGACCATCCGCCAGACCATCGAGCGCCTCGACAGCAGCCTGGCCGGCGTTCTCCTCACCAAGCTCGCCGCCCGCTTCCACAGGAGACCTGGTCGCGCCGGCAGCCTCATGATCTGGGTGAAGTGGACTCTCGTCGCCCACGGTGGTGCACTGGCCATCCAGCCCAAGGTCCTCGACCGCTTGGTTGCGCTGCAGAAGGTGCTTAACGAGCGCTCTCGCGGCCTGCCGAGCCTGCTGGCGCTCAAGGGCAAGCTCGACATGCTGGAGGCTCAGATGTACATGCGCAAGGCGAGACCGCGCAGACGCGGCGCGAACCAAGTCGAAGACGTCGACGACGAAGACGAGGATGACGAGGAGGAGGATGCCATCTACGTCGAGGGTGACGAAGGAGCCAATGTCGGCTTGATCAACGGCGTTGGCGCGGGTAACGAAGACGACGACGAGGTCCCCACGACGAATGGCTTCATCGGCGACTCTGACGATGACGACGAGGAGGAGGAGGCCGATGTGGAGGATGACATGAGCGAGGTCGAGGAGGCGGACGAGGATGAGGATGTCGACTACGACGATGTTGAGGACTCCGAGGACGACGACGACAGCGATGCGGAGGCCGCGCCGCCGGCCAAGGTTCAGAAAACTGCTTCTTCTTTCGCGAAGAGAAAATAAGGGCACACGTGTCCCGACTCATAGAGGAAGGGGTAGAACGGCACATAGACTTGGCTCGGTCGTCAATTGACATAATACTGTGCAATAGGGCAAAACGCGTTGTAGGAGTTTTTGGTCAATCAATTGGGTTCTTAGTGATCGGTTCATGACGCGCTCGGTGTACAACTTCCTCCTTGGAGCTCCATTCAGGCTCTGGTAACCTTTTCTGGATACACTGATTGGTTTCTCCAGGCGATGTATCTTGATCAATTCGTATAGATGCACTCTCACCATCAAATGTCCGACGCGTTTACGGGTCTCTCACACCGACGACCCGGCTCACCGGAGCACAAAGGCTCCACATTCCCTTTTGGGAGACGGAGGCACGAACCTCCATGATCAAGATCCACCGGCGATCCCCTCTACAAACACGTTCCCGCCAACCAGGCGCGCAAAATGCGACCTCAATTCGACTCAATTGACCATTGACCAGTGACAGACAAGCGGAGTTCAAGATGAAATACAAGTTCCCTCTCCAATTCGCCCCGCGCGTGGCTGGAACTGTCTTTGAAGGCATATAAAAGGCAACTTACACCCCTTCGCCTCACCTCAAATCCCTTCGTTCTCACCGGCTTCGACAACCAACACCACGCATTCACCGCCCAAGATGCGTTCCCTTCTAACATGGGCCGCCGCCCTCCCCCTCGTGTCAGCAGCAGCCCTCCAACAAATAACCTCCTTCGGCCCCAACCCCACAAACGTCTCCTTCTACCTCTACGTGCCCGACTCCCTCATCCCCTCCGCGCCCCTCCTCGTCTTCCCGCACTGGTGCCACGGCACAGCCCTCGACGCCTTCAACAACAAGCCGTGGCGCTCCCTCGCCGACTCCCTGGGCTTCGTCACCATCTACCCCTCCACGCCCTGGACCGCCGACTACTGCTGGGACGTCTCCTCGCCGCAGACCCTCTCCCACGACGCCGGCGGCGACTCGCTCGGCATCGTGAGCATGGTCCGCTGGACCCTCGACAACTACGACGTAGACCCGGACCGCGTCTTCGTGACGGGCGTCAGCTCGGGCGCCATGATGACCAACGTGCTCGTCGGGGCGTACCCGGATGTCTTCGCGGCGGGGTCCGCCTTCGCGGGGGTGCCGTTCGGGTGTTACGCGGCCGACGGCTTCGCGGTGTGGTCCGACGACTGCGCGAACGGGCGGATCACGCACTCCGGGGAGGAGTGGGCGGAGATCGTGAGGGATGCGTATCCGGGGTACGAAGGCCCGCGGCCCAAGTTGCAGGTTCTACACGGGGATGTGGATAATGTGCTGAACGTGACCAACTTTTACGAGGAGATCAAGATGTGGACGACGGTTTTGGGGACTGGCGAGACGCCGACGGAGGTTGTGGAGGATGATCCTGTTGCGGGGTGGACGAAGAGCGTGTATGGGAACCGGGGACTGTTTGAGTCGTTTTTGGCGCATGGGGTTGATCACAATATCCCGGATCAGGTCGATGAGGTTGTGAGGTTCTTTGAGCTGGACTGTGTTGGTGAGGGTTGCTTTTCGAGAAAGTCGTTGCCTGTGGCTGGGGCTTGTAAGAAGAGGCGTGGTCTCAGGATGGCGACGCCATGAGAAACAGAACTTAGAGGGCTATCACGAATGAAATGTTTTGTTTATGAAGTGTGAATAGAATTTGATGATTGTAGAACATAGGCATTCAAGTTCATCAAGATGTTTAGCCAAGACCAAGATTACCTTCTAATGGTTTGTTGTAAGAGGCACACGTTATGCCAAGTGGGATATCGGAGAGCCGAGCGGCGCAGACGGACGGCACTAATCGCAGACGAGTTCTCAGCCTCATCTACACGAACATGCCCAGTCTGTGGCATCCAATCACGGAAAAATCGTCAGCATTCGATCTTCGCAGCTGACATATTTAATTGCACATAAAGATCACAATCCCCATCTTTATTCGCTCTTCTTCTCTTCATGATCTTGGCAAGTCCTGAAGAGACGAGATCTGCCCTCGACTTCCATCATGGCAACAAAGTTTCAAAATAACAAGCATGTGTACTTCACAGGCAACATCGTTCTACTTCTCTTCAACAGCATGCTCGTTGGCCTCGCTGTATACGTGTATACCCAACATGATGGTCGAAAAATTCGCGACGGCTTTTCTCACGTACGTATCGCGCCGTTTCACAATGATAAAACAACACACTGATTCGATTCAAGGTCGCTATATTGGGTTCCATGTGGCTCTTCATAGCCTTGGACTTTCTGAGAGTCTGGAGGAAGAGAAAATCGATAAGGAGGCGCGGAAGCTGGATTGCCTTTTTGATCTTTGTAAACTCGGCGTGAGTGCTGCGTGTTTGTCCTAACGTTTAACTGAACCAGGGCATCGGCTGACATATACGTCTTAGAGTTATCGTCAACCTCCCGGAGAGCATCATAGGTGTCTTGGATGAAGCTCGAGACGGGCTGCCGAAGCTCACGCTCATATCGACGTTTTATGTTTGGTTCGTATGCCAGGCATGGCTTTACCTGTACGTTTCGCGTGCACTACACTCTTACGGACTTGTCACTGACCCTGGTGGGATGGCAGTGTCATTATTGCTAATATAGTTGTGCCTTTGGTCAATGCGTTTTGGTGGCTGGTTTCCTTTCGGACGACATCTCACGGAGATGAGCCAGAAGCAGAAACTGCTGGGATTTAACGCATTCTTGTCGACAGTTGTGATCCCACTCTGGAATCTACGATATTCATTGTCGGCTAAATATTCTGTAGTTAAGGGCACAAGTTAAGCTCAAAAAGTAGCAACTGAGACCTTATGTTTTGTGGAGTCTGAAATGAAGCCGGCATTCCATGACAGACATTCTCAACGTCAAGTGAACTGGAAACGTTCTTATTCTCAACGCAACAGGTTGCACAAACAAAGCCAAAAAGAAAGACTCGACGTTGGCCTGATTCGAACAGACGCTCCCGAAGGAACAAGATTTCTAGTCTTGCGCATTAGACCACTCTGCCACAACGCCATGGTAATGAACCCGCACTTGGACGGGGATGCCAAGATGGTGGACCCCAGAGATCCATCAAGCTTGAGATACCCACCCTGGCGACCACGACGGTGAATGCAGCTTGCTGCCCCATAGAATATGAATTGTGGTTATTCTCTTCGGGTTTATTATATGACAAAAAGAAAGATTGTGAGCGGCGTTAAAGATCTTAATCATATGTCTCTTTCCTTTCAACCGCTCTGCGCAGACCTCAACCTGAGCTGCTATCGTTTTCGTCTTCTATAGAGTCCAGCCCAGATTGCTTCTGACTGCTCAGCGGTATGTATGTCTGGTTCAGATTCAACCGCAGAACCGGTTTCATGACTTGCATTAGAAGTCTGATCTGGTGCCACATCTAGCGACAAGTGCCCAGAGTCGGAGGCGAAATAGTCGTTGACAGCAAAGTAACCCTGTTCTTTCTCTTGGCTGGTAGTAGAACGAGTGGAAACCATGCGCAGTAGAACATCCTCCGCTTTATCCCACTGTTCTGATTCCGGCAACTCCAGATCCTCGAACCAACGATACATCAACCATGGGAGTATCGGATCGGTTCCTTCTAGTGGCTCTGTAGACTTCAAGAAGCTCGTATTGAACATTCCGGATGCTCCAGATCTCTCCAAGTTGTCGATGGGTATGTCCGCCCAAGGAAGCGAACGCAGTGAGAAGTCGTGAATGTGTTCCAGAATGTGGCTAATTAAGCCGGGCGAATCTCGCGGCCCGGATCTACTACAAAGAGGGCACTCGTCAAGCCCAAATGAGATGCCTGACGGCCATAGGCGAACCGTTCGTAAGTGATTCTCTGGAAATGATTCGGCATGCGCCTCCCGCACATGGTGAACTAGTTTGTCTGTGGAGTGGAAAGCTGCATCCGAATCGTCACAGAGTTGGCATCTCCATATGTTTTGGTGATGTTTCTTCATATGCCGCTTCAGCTTTGAGGTAGAAGAATATTGTATGTGCGGCATTGGGCAGTCTTCGATGATGCAAATGTAAGGGCAAATATCTGCTGACAAGTGTAGTCTATATCGGGTGTAAATCAGCATTGTAGTTTCAAGTAAAACCACGCCTCAGTACATACTGACCTCCAAGCCGTCTCATTTGTGAGAATTGTGGACGGCAATAGCTCGCAGCAACAGGGGCATTTTATCGTTTCTCGCTGCCAATCCGTACTCTTAACAACGCCTCGAACCCGGGATCGGGGTGTTGTAAGGCTAGGATAATTTGCTGAAGTCGTGATTAAACTATTTTGGCCTGATCTTGGAGACTCTGTCGATGATGAGGCGAGAACTCCTCTGGCCAACCTGTGAGAGCCCGTTGCCTGTTTCTGACGGGCTATTGATGGCCGGGTTTCGTTCTCGTCAGAGTAATTTTGAGCGCAAAGGAATCGACTTCGTCTTTGCAGATTGGCCGCTATAAGCCGGTTATGAAGCCAAGTAAGTTTGATTTTCATATCTTCCTGCCATCGAATGGGCATCACTCTGGGCGACTGCAGGCTTTTCTCCCGAGGTGAGGTAATCTGAATGAAAACCATGCACTCGAGATGGACTTTGAGATCAGCCAGAGCTGACGGGTTTACTGTCTGGTCAATTTTGGCAAATTTGATCTCTTTTCCGGATTGGCGAACTGCGATGGCGACCAAGTTGAGGTTTTCGATTAACGAATCGACGCTGTTTTTCACCGCCTCGAGCGTGGAAGGGTCCTCCTTTACGGCGTTTTCGCAGTCAATGAGACAGTTTCTCAATTTCGGAAGCAGACTCTTTGCAAGGGCCGATTCGCGGGACTTCAGTTGCATCTCGTCGTCCAGAGGAGTCTTCTCGCCACCCATTCCTTGAGTCTCCCGCAATCTTTTCACCCAAAGATTGAAGTCGGCTTGCCGGTTCTCAACCCACTGGTCGTAATTGAGGGGCACCAAAAGAGTACAAGTGTGGAACTGTCGAGTGCACATGTCTATCAGAGCCTCAATGGACTGCTTTTTTGGTTCATCTGGCCCAGGCGACCGTCCCTGGCTCCTGGGTGGTGGGCTCAGCGGAATAGCATGCGATACAGAAAGCGTTCCGGAAAGCGTCGATACAATCTGATCTTCATCTACCGGGCCCTTCATTTTGATGCCCATGCTTTGAGTTCGACCTACGGGGGCCTTGTAGGTTGCTGAGGAATTGGAGAATGGTCTTCGTGAAATCCGACCCTCCGAAATTGGCCTTAATATTTCGAGGTCCTTGTTGTTATGCTGGGATTTTACAACCAGAGGCATTCTACGGCCTCTAGCAGCGGAATTTTCGATATGACTGCCACTGGCTCTAGTAAAATCTGAGCCGTCACTGGAATCGGTCCAGTGGGAGCTTCGAGTCGACTTGCTCCAGACCGAGCTGATACTGGCAGCATCACTGGTAGCATCGCTATGAACAATGTCGGACGACCTGTGTTCCGAGAAGTGCTTCTTTTGGTCATTTTCCTTGTAGGATTTCCGTTCTCTGCCGTCACTTCGGAGATTTTTCCCCTTAAGCTCCTTATTATGGGAATTCAAAGGACGGATAACAGGGGGACTTAAGGGACGGGAAATGATCGCGCCTGACATCGTTGGCCTTTGCGGAAGTCGATCTGTGCCCGAAGTTCGCAGTACCTCACGCAGATACTCTTTCTCGCGGATTAGAATATCCCTTCCATCTTCTAAAACGCCAATAGTGTTTTCCAGAGCTCGCATACGAGCTCGCGTGTCGCTGATCTCGGCTTCAGCTGCATTTAGCCGGTTCTTGGTCGCCCGCAATTCCTCTTTCAACTTGACATAGTTTGCCTCTAACTCGAAAAAGTCTTCTGGCGATGGGTTCGAGTTGCGGCGCGATCCGGCTCGCGAGTCGCTGGTCTGGTTGCGATGGCTTATGATGACGGGGGCGTCATCGAAGGAGACATGCCTCTCTTCATGTGTCCTACGGTAGGACATGCTTGTGGACCTTGCGTGTCAGAGCGAGAATTCGGTGCAATATTTGGGATGGAAAGTTTTCCAGAAACATAAGCATTTCTGAAGCAGGTGAGATTCTGGCTGGTCTTTCTAGCCACCGACGTCTGCTAAGGCAGCAGCTGAGCAGAGTGAGGGGGCACAGAATGAAATCAGCAGCTGATTAGGTACATCGAAAACTGTGAGAGGTCTATGATTGGATGTTCTAAACGAATGAGCTGTGCCGCATGGCCACACGAGGTGGCGAGGCTCCGGAGAAGCGGGCGTAGCGAGGGGGCTCACACTAACCTCATTCCATGTTGTCCATAAACATCAACCAGGAGCTGGAAACCAACACGTCATTATGGAAGATGATTTGGGTTTTCGCCGCCTTGAAACTTGCGCCTGGAAGGTAAGTGAGGTGATGCAAGCTACCACGACATGCCCACACGTACCTCGGGGGCTGAGAGGCAAGGAAGGCGGTCGACAGTGCGACGTCTGTACTGGCATTCTAACCAGGCTGGGATTGGTCTCGATTCGAATCAAATCAAACCCAGAAGCGGAGTTCGACTTTGACGTTCATCAGCTAGCACTTGATCTATTGAGAACTTTGGAGGAAATGTGCTTGGTAAGCCGTCAACCATCTTTCATGTTCGTTTCAGTGAAAATTCCAAAATCGACTAACCCGTCAGTGGCGAACTCACACGACCACTGGGGTACTGCAACGGAATCAAATATCCGACAGTGTACGTAGCATGATTGAGGATGAAACAAACCACGAAGCACTCACCAGTAACGTTGTGGCGTACTTGAGGCAGCCGTCTTTCGTTCTGGAAGGCATGAGCTCCTTGTGTGATGAACTCTTGGCAAGGCTTCAGATTGATGATGAGGAAGAACCCATCGAGATGGCCGAGCCTGAAGACCTTTCAAGGGTTCATGAGGCATTGTTCCCGGTGCTTCGCGCCTATACGGCGTGCGCGTCGTGTGAAATACGCCGGACATCCCACGCAGCGGCTTCCTGGCACCCGGCGAGGCTGTTTCTTACCGGGCCCAAGAGAAATGATAACGACGGGGCCTTTTTCGATGTCATCACATCGTCTGTAGTCGACGAATCTTGGCAGGATCTTTGCATCGAGATGCCAGTGTACGTGCAATCATCACAAGGAATTTTACATGGCTAAACATCTCATCTAGACTCCCCGACGAAGCCCTTTCTCTCACTAAAGATGCGACCATGGATACCGGCCCCTGTTGCGAGGCGAGGCTTCATCTCCCTGACGCGGAACCTCTCGATACCTTTTGTGAGATTTTCCAGCATGACGACGGTTGCCGAATTACTCTAAAGCTCAAAGATGGGGTTCTCCTCCGACTAGGCGTCGAAGTCTTGAAACATCGAACATCTCCAGGACAAGGACTAGCACTGGCGGACGTTCTAGAGCACTACGAACTGAGTGTCAAAGAGAAGCTTGCTCTTGCGCACGCGATTGCCTTGGCCTCTTGGCAGTTCTATGGTTCAGAACTGATGCATCGACCTTGGAATTGCCATACCATATGGTTTATGCCGGAGCCGGATCTACGGGGACAGTCAAACAAGCTGCCATTAAGAGCATATATCTCTTTTCATCCAGAGGCTACTGAATGTACATTCGATGCCTGCGAGTTTTCGACAACTAAAGCGTTGATTCACAGATGTCCACGTATTCAGGCTTTGGGCACACTATTACTGGAGATAGGACTTGGAAAAGCTTTGAACTTCGAACACTTCGATCGAGAGACCCTGTCGCTCAACTACCGCTATTCCATGGCAACTGAATACTTGGAAGATCTCAAGAAGATGACATGGCCAAATTTCGCCCACAAACACATTTTCACGGACGCCGTAGAAGCTTGCCTCAAGTTCGAAGGCTTAATGGGCAAAGAAAGAGACATCGATGCATGCCAATCTGCTGTACGCAGAAGACTATTGCATGAACGTGTTCTATCTCGCCTGCAGTGGTTGAATGGGGCGTTCCGGGGAAAGGAAGATAAAATGGGTTATCTATCGGCCAAAAAGGTTCAGAAACAGCTGTTGCCGAAAGAGCTCGTCACATCGATCGTAGAGAAGTATCAATCTCAGACCCCCTCAGCAACAGAAACTAGTGGATTCACCAGCGTCTCATCTATGAATCGACCAACAAGTCGACAGGATTTCCGCATTGCGATCATTTGCGCACTTTCACGCGAAGCGGACGCGGTTGAAGCTCTTTTCGACATCCACTGGGACGAAAACGGGCCTCCTTACGACAAAGCAGCAAATGATCCCAACGCCTACTCCACCGGCTGTATCGGAAGACATAACGTTGTGCTTGCCTACATGCCGGGCATGGGGAAAGCAAACGCAACTCTTGTCGCGACCAACTGTCGTATCAGCTTTCCCAGCATTAGCCTGGCTCTCGTCGTGGGAATTTGTGGTGCCGTGCCGTTTGCGCCGAGTAATGGGGACGAGATTATTCTAGGCGACGTCATCATAAGCGATGGACTAGTCCAGTATGATTTTGGACGACGACTTCCTGAGCGTTTCGTACCGAAGGACACTCTTCTTGACTCTCTAGGACGACCCAACACTGAAATTCGCTCACTCCTGGCGAAGTTGAAGGGCGTCTATACCAGGAAGACTCTACGGAGAAAGATGCTGAGCTGCGTCGAGGAGCTTCAGGGTAGGTCGGAGCTGAAGGCAGAATACCCAGGTCACAAAAAGGACATTCTTTTCACATCGAGCTACCACCATGTTGGCGGCGGAAAGGTATGCGAAGAGTCGGGCTGCAACGGTGAACTAGTCCACCGCCGTCGTCTTGGTGAGCTTTCATCAAAGCCACAAGTACATTTTGGCTTGATTGCTTCTGGCGATACGGTAATGAAAGCTGGGGATCAGCGCGATGAGATCGCGCAACGACAGGATGTGATAGGATTTGAAATGGAGGGTGCAGGAGTATGGGATAGCTTCCCATGCGTTGTTATCAAGGGCGTCTGCGACTATGCCGACAGTCACAAGACGAAAGTATGGCAAAACTATGCTGCGGTGACCGCAGCAGCTTGTGCCAAGGCGTTCTTGAGTTATTGGGTACCGCAACAGCAGTAGGTAGAGGAAATGTCATACGTAGTTCAAGATCAACTTGAGTCTGATCAAACTTTGGTCGAATTGTTGCTGGAATATTATGAGATACAAGCCTAGTCACACTATCAGCATCCAAAACATATCAATCCCAGCTACTATGGGCAATCTTTGTTTTCTGTCAGGATACTGCGTGAGTTAGTCGGGAATAATGAAACGACACCCCATGCACTTGCGCTCGTCCACTCGCTGGTCGCTTACCGGGGAAGCAGACATGCATAAGCGAAGGAGACTTTCGATTTGTTGGAGTCACTATCCGAGTTTCCATGGGCACATCGATACATCCGTACAAGCCTTGTCAAAGACGCGGCTTCAGGGGTGTTGAATGCTGGATTATCGCACTCTCCTTCCTCTTGCGCTCTCCTAGCCCCACGGCTGTACACCAACAAGGCAATATCTTCGTTGGCCTGCATCATGCAATGCTGCTTGTTGGTTCCTCATGACCCGCCAAGGTGAGGGGTAATAGTCCATTTATGGCGCTTTAAAACTAGCAGAAGGAGTCCTCGTTGTTGCAGATTTCTCTTCTCGATCCAACATGAACTTCTTGGCCTTCCACACCCGCCATTGTAAGCTCCCCACTAGCGACCATGGCGACTTCCCAAGATGCTCCGCTTGTCCCTGATGATGAGGTAAGTACCAACACGTCATATTGTCCACCATAGACATTACTAATTGTTGAAAGATTGAAACCGAAACTGAGGCGGACCTTCAAGTGAGTGCAGCATGAGGCAGATGGACTTTTGTCTGCCGCCCTATCACTCTCTAATATGAACGCACCTTGTTACCTCTCTCAAGAGAATCTCAATTGGAACACAAGTTTTTGACTTCCCTCATCTTACAGAGTCTCCGTTCAGAGTATACCAGTCTGAGAAGCTCGATCTTAGGGGGCCGAGAAGAGAACGGCCGCCTGTATCACTCGTACAAGGACGGCAGTAAGTTCAACAAGTCTTTCATACCGATGACTCTGCAGATGCTAATCATTGGAACTTCGCAGAATATGCCTTCCCAAGCGACGAGCAGGAGAATGACAGATTAGGTACGTAGAGTCACATTTACTCGACTTGGAGTCGTACCAGAAAAGTACTGAGACTGAATACAATGTAGACATGCAAAACGCTATCTGCTACCTCACTTTCAACCGCAAGCTAGGCTTCGCCCCGCTTGCTGATGATGATGCCAAAGTCGGTCGCGTTCTGGATCTTGGCACCGGCACCGGGATGTGGGCCATTGAATACGCAGACTTGCACCCAGAGGCTGAAGTGAGAGAAATACCCTCTTGTTCAAATGGTTCCGCGTGCAACTAATCTGATCATCTTGCATTCAGGTGTTGGGCGTGGATCTTTCCCCAATTCAGCCGACAGAGTAGGCACCCAACTTCTATTGCCTCTTGAGTGTTCACACGGTTCCATACTGACAATGTTTCAAGCGTTCCGACAAATCTGAAGTTCGAGGTCGACGATGTTGAAGAGGAATGGCTGTACTCACAAAAGTTCGACTACATCCATCTTCGATTCCTCAATGCATCCATCGCCGATTGGAAAAAGTTGATGGCCAGAGCCTTTGAGTAAGCCCGATCCTGAACCAGTTGCTAACGAAACTTTCAGAAAACAGGAGCTGACGTAAACCGCAATAGGTTCACCAAGCCAGGTGGCTACTTCGAATTGCAAGAAAACGATTTCGTTTTCACCTCCGACGATGGCACCTTATCCCCAGACAAAGCTCTCTCAAAGTTTGCCGTCCTGGTTCGAGAGGCTTGCGCCATATTCGGACGGCCTGTCTTGGAGATTTCTGTTTTGAAAGACATGATGATCGAAGCCGGGTTCGAAGACGTTACGTTGAAGAACTTCAAGTGGCCATCGAATCCTTGGCCCAAGGACGCTCACTACAAGAAGATCGGCGAATGGAACTACCACAACTTCGTGGACGCCGCAGAGGCACTGGCCATGGCGCCATTGACACGCGCGCACGGCTGGAAGAAGGAAGAAGTGCAGGTTTTTCTAATCGACGTTCGCAAGAACATGAGAGACCCTAGCATCCACTCCTACATGCCCATGTAAGAGCCCCATTCGTCCCATAAACCTGTTTTCCATGATGGCTGACAAGGTCTATAGATATACTCTCGTTGGCCGGAAGCCTCAAAAGGAGGCAGCTTCGGCATCGAATTAAGCCCGAAACAGGACTCAGATGAGCCCTTCTCTTTACTTTCAACACCGCAAACGATTTATCTACAGGAGTTAAACTGGCCTCATATCCGAGTACGCCAGAACAAAGTGGTGCATCAATGTAAAGGAAACTGGAATGATGCTTAGTTGAAGTCTTTTTGGTGATGCTTTTCTTCGCAAGCCCAAAGAAAGAACCACGAAATTTGGTGAATCATATGAGCCGTGACCCGTCCAAGTCTACGTGTTTTGTTTTGACGCTGATTGGCAAGATTGCAAGTAGTACGAAACATTCATGTTTATGTCGTGATATGAGTGGATTCAGACGGGTAGATCTATGTGCTAGGGTGCTGACCACTAGTAGCAAGTACACCATTGAATGTCAAGAAGACTGTTCTTGACACATCCAATACTCATCCCTTCTCGACATCCATACTTTCTCTTACAGTCTGCTTCGGAGAGTTTCTCATCGCACTTGCAACCCCGCAGGAGGCGGGCTCAGCGGCGCTGGTGGTGGCTTCTGGGAGCCGCATTGGCATGTACCCTCAACACAAGAGTATACAGCACCAACACCAGTACATGCGGGTGATGAGCAGCCATTATCGCTCTTGCAAGAGTCGGTCTGTGTAGGTGGTGTGAACTCCAGACCCTTGATATCGGCCTGAAACCTCTTCGTGACTTCTTCGTCCTTGACCTCGCCCTTGAACTCTCCAAGGTATACAGGGAAGATATCTTGGGCGCGAGATTCGTTGGCAGGTGAGATGTTGTCGATTTCGGCAATTTTCCTGTACTTTGGTGGTCTGGGGAAGTAGCCCGTCGCATCATAGAAGTACAGGCTGTTGGCCAGCCAGGCGTAGCTGTCGGCGTTGGTGCTTGCTCGCGCGGCTCCTCGAGTCCTCCTCCTTGGTTGAGCGGATGCTGTGCCAGCTTGTAGACAAGCCGAGGGCCGTATGCTTTGGGCCCGGTCTCAACCTGTTGCAAATACTCACCCTTGACTAGGCGGACATCGTCAGCTTGCTTCAGTGTCACGATCTCAAGAGGGCAGACTCTCACTGTCAGGGTTTCCAACGGCGTCAAGGTGCATCATTTCGTGCAAGAAAAACTGGCCTTTGTTCTTCTGCCACTCAGCTTCCTCGGCATCTTTCGTGTTACCTAAGGCCAATTGTTTCTCAATCTCCTCGAACTTTTCTTCAAGAGAGTTGAGGCCAAAGTACCGTCGATTCTATTACGGCAAATGTTTTTGGTGTCTTTGCAACTGATAACGATGTCAAATTTCTTCTTTGGCCTATGGTCTTGAATCCGATGCAAGTTGTCTGCCGAAAGTCTTTGTATCAGCATCTGTCGATCCAGGACTGTAACGCAAGAAGCATGTTTGAATAAATGACCCCGCACGTAATACTTCTGAAGCGACAGAATCTCGGGGGGACGCTGGAGGCCATCCGCGCCGGGTAAATCAACAGAAGCGACAGGAAGAAAGAACAGACAGCAACAAGAGACGCCAGCAAGATATGGCCGGTAGAAAACGACGGATAGAAAATAAGGATAGAGACAACTAATAGAGACAATTGACAAACTTACCGACGATACGACTCTATTGAGCAGAAAAGTCAGAGCCAATATAAGCCCGCCACGTTGCCATTTCCCTTGCCGTCTGGGGGTTCTTGCCTCCGAAGTCTACAAGAGTTAACTCATCCCAAGCGGCAATCTCCAGGGCGAGCTTCTGTTTGTCGTCACAGCTGCCGTCCTCGAACTTGAGATCGCCTGCGTATGTGTCAACATCGTTGTTCTGAGCCTTGAGGTCTCGAAGACACTGCTCGGATGGATTCCAGATATTGCCGCAGGAACCGGGAACAGTGACTAACTTCTCAATAAATGGATTGCTTGACTGAGGACGGGGAGGGTCTTTAATAGAAAACGGTGGGGTTTTCGGATCCGACGCAGAAGGGTCGTCGGGGTCAACGTCTCGACGGACATGCGAAGGGATGCCCAGACCTAGAGATGTTCCGGCAAGGAAGGCCAAGAGGCAAAGAACTTCCATAGTGAATCTCCCGTAGTGTGAGATGCGAAATACAACACTGACAATGACGGGACCCAGTTTCGAGCAACAGAAGTCTAGATGGACAAAATGAGAGGCAACAATGAGGGGTGATGAATGTTTGAGATTGTTAGTATGCTCACCATGAACGACTTGATGGAAACATTCACAATCGCCCTCTATGTCTCTCTGATGTTTGTTTTATTCCAATGGACTTTTGCGCAGGAACACGGCTGAGGCCTGACAGTCGAGTTCTCAACGAACTGGCCCCCAAAAGGCAGAATAAGTCCGGACATGCAGATGCATCAGAATAAACAGCTTGAGCCAAAGTGAAATGACTTTCTGGTTCCATTGATCATTGTCAACGCTGTTGAAGAGGCGAAGCGACCCGAAGAAGAGCGGACTCAAAGATCAGATCTCAGCTCCGGCCACGTTGGTAGTCATTGAGGCAACGCGTTAGGCCTAATGACTTCGGCGGACGTTAAATCAGTTGAGGCCTTACAGACCCATACTAAGAGCCTGCTCATGTTCTGGTTTTCTGCAGCGAGATACAACGAAGAAGTGGCTGATGAACTAGCCCCCAGAGGTCTGCGGCAGAGCTCCCAAATAAAAAAGATCTTCGGTCCAGACACCCCATCGCGGGTGGCATTCTGCTAGGTGCGGGCGGTTCGATGACCAATCAGTTCCTCGACACAGCCACATCACCAACGGTTTATGAGAAACAGCTTTCAACCAACACCACCAAATGCCACGATAACGATATCTAGAGCTGAACGCACGTGATGACACACGTGTCTTTTGAGGCAGACGAGAAAGTCCCAACCAAGACGACACAAACGCCTCGTCCTCCGTTCCTGTTTCCGCAACATTCGACATGTTCTTCTCAACTCAGAAGCAGAGAGTTAGCATGTCTTTTCGAGCACACTTTGCGCACTTTTTGCTCGCCGTTCTCCTCATTTCCCCAACTGCGTCGTCTTCCGCACCGTCGCACCCGCAGCGCAAGGTTCCTGGCGTTGGGTTCAGTCTCACACCTGACTACGGGTGAGTAGTCCAGGACAACCACCATGTCGGATTTACTTCAGTGCTGACTTGTGATGTTTCCCTTCTCATCAGCACGGCGGCCATCTATTTCCAGAATGGTTCTTCCGTGAGCGTGGCTCGGATCGAGGGAAGCCCGGCGTATAAGTCCTTCATGCGCAAACATGACGACCGAGAAAACGCCGCCGAGGAAGCATCTGCTGTGTCGTCCTTACGCAGCAGCGTGTGCCGGTCGATACAGCCGCTCAGCCTCCCGGTGTGCAAGAGGGAGCCGGATTTCGCCAGCGTCCAGGGCCTTCTACGGAGTCTGCAATCCTCCGTCAACTCCTACCTAGGCGCCACCTTCTGTTTCGCTGGCATAGCTGTCCCAGACAGGAACCGACAATATCACAACCACGTCATCGAGGAAAGCCTCAAGTCGATCGGTCTTCGCCAAACCCACCAAATCCTGGATGCCCCTCGTTTGGTCTTGGTGGCCAACAACATCGACAGCTCAGAATCTCCGGGCCACAAGTCCCAGGCCGTCCTGTCGGTCGATTACAGCGCGTCGGGGCTGAACGTCGCTTTGTTCGCCGAGGACGCCGGTGTTGCGGACATCATTCGCAGGAACTACAGCCAGCACCTGGGTGGGGACCACCAAAGCGAGCATGGTCACCTAGAGGCTGTCGAGGACGTCCTGAAGGACATCACCAAGCCTCCATTTGGCGACGACCTGTCAGGCTCCCCGATTACAGACGAAGTTCGACAGGTCGTACTCTTCGGAGACCTGATTACGGATCCGGGGTTTCGACGGGCTTTGGAACGCGTCGTGGGTTCCAAGTTGGTCGAGGAGGCGCATGGCGTCAACCCCGTGTTTGCGGCCGCCTTGGGCATGGCGAAGTCTTCCCACGAGCGCATGGACGATTTGGACTTTGATGTGCAGCCTGCCTTGGGATGTCGCTGGTTTTCTGATCTCTATGCTGCTGGGAGGGAGGACTTGTAGTTGCTAAGGGTACTGGGAATCGGAGCATCGGAGCGTCGTTCGACGCAAAGCGAGGCGTTGCTTTTGTTTGTAGACTTTCAGGAAACGGAGCGCCTTGCGGTCTATTTAACGATGTTTGTTACGATGTCAACCACAGTCATTTCACTGGGTCTGGTTCGGTCTCGGGCTGACCATCGTGCTGCTCCTGGAAGCCATCTCCATCGCCAACGTCTTGTTGCGCTGAGGCTGAGGGCTTGGTGCGGAGCTCTGCTCTTGAACGGGTTGGAGAGTGCGAGGGCGCTGGGACTTGTGCGGTTCTCACTGGCCGGTGTGAAAGCGGCTGGAGAGGTCGGCAGGATTGCGTTCGTACCCCGTCTTCCAGGAGAGGACTTGACGGATGGGGACGAGGGTAAGGAGGGAGTGAGGCGTGTGACGTGGAATCGTTCTTATGAATAGAGATCGGGATCTCATTCCAAGCTTGAAACTGAGATGTTAGCACGGCACACTAAGGTAACAAGACATGAACGTCGCCGAATCAGCTCCACGCAAATGGGGTATGAAGGAAACCATGGAGACCAGAACGATGAGAAGCGACATGCAAAAGAGAAAGGCTGACAACAGTTTTACCAAGTTCACGGTTACCTTGGGTTGTCAGATGGAGCGATCGATGCCGCCCTTGATTCACATTGCCAGATCCACCCAAACTACCGTTGCTCGCTGCAAAACTCGAACACCCCTACTGGGCAGGGCTCACGTACAATCTGTACCTAAATCCTTCAAACCCGTATGATCCATCACGACTCCGCGCACATGCAGCAGAGCTCTCCCGCGGACTCCCTCGCTCTCGGCGCCGAGCCGCCCCACGGAGCCGCCCGCTTCGTGGCCCGAGACCCTTTGTCCCAGGCGTCGTATGCATTTCCCCCCACCTGATCTACCCCACAGGCACTGTCTGGACTCCAGGAATGCAGCCATGCATGTCTTTATGCTGTTCTAGACTGTTGAACACCGCGTATTTTTCTTTCACCCCGTATCGAAACACCCGAAATCTCAATGCCGGCCAAGATGCATCTTTCCAAGTGGAAAACTGTGCTGAACGCCGTCCGTAACGCGCTGCTATCGTCGCGAAAATCCGGTACCCTCTTCCTCTGCTCTGTCTGACCATGCCATGCTGCCCACCATGCGTATGCCCATTGTATAGTTGTATGTCTTTGGTTCTGTCCCCATATCTAAATGGCCCAACTGCCTCGCCTCTCTCGCACACCCCACGCTAGGGAGTCGAGGCTGTCCAAGTCGGGATGCTGTCGTGCCCACTCGAAGATGTAAGCCTTGAGGGCCTTCCATCTCGGGCATCTGTTTTCCTCGGCCATCTCGGCCTCAGCTGGGTCCATCAGGTGCCCGGACGCCATCTGCTTAGCATCATCTGCCTCCAGGTCTTCGATGCTCATGTGGGAAATCTTGGAAAGCTCTTCGTCGAAAGCGCGAGCCATGGCGGGATATCCCAGAGATAAGTAGTTGTACACCTGCGTGATGAAGGTGTCGTCGAATTCAGACGCAATCTTGTCCTCGAGCGCCTTCTCCCGCTTCAGACGTTCCTCCAGGCCATGCAGCATGTGAAGGCCCTTGAACTCGCCTGATCGAACACGGTGCTCGGCGGTGCTCGGCGTGAGAGTAGCGGAGGTGACGGGCTCATCCGTGAGAGAGCTCTTGCCGAAAGCTGCAGCGAATGGGTCTCCAGGTGTAGAAGGCGGCAGCGGTGTATGCAGCATTCTGGGTCCCTGGAGAGATGCAGGCACTATGGCCTGATCACTCTCGCTGTTTCGGAAACAGTAACCCCTCCACAAGCCGGCTTCTCCCGTCGTATCCCTGTTTCTCTCCTCGGCGGTCGGGAGTTCAGAGAAAGGATGATCCGGCTCCAGCTTGGTCTGCTTCGGCGAGGGGCACTTTCGAAAGACCAAGTCCTTGCCTAGCATCGGGGGCGAGGCGGCCTTGCGCATCTTGCGGAACTCGCTGGTCTCGGCAGGCAGGCCAAAGTTTCCGAAGGGCCTGCCGAATCCGCCGCCGCCGGCATTGCGGAAACCTGTCTCTGGGACGACCTGGGCGGGTTTGGCCACTGGCACATTGGCCGGCTTGCTGGCCGAAGAGGGAGGGACGTAAGGCATTGAAGCTTCACCAATGGGCTTGCTCACCGGCTCGGGCGCGGGCAGCGCGGTCTGCGGCGCATCCTTGGCGGCCACAGGAGCGGGAGCTATGAGCGGCATCAAGTTCTCGCCAATGGGGCCCTGGGAGCCAGCATCGACGGTATGGTTCCTTGTGGTGGTCAGCCACAGAGGATCAGGGGGCGAGTCGAGCTCCATCTTGTCGATGGCCGAATCGTCCTGGGTATCGTCATCCTCCTCGTCGAAGACAGGAGCGTGCTCGCCCCTCTCGACAGCCAGCTTCTCTGCGTGCTCTTGCATGTGCTTGTGCCAGTATCCCAGATCGGAAGACTTGCGACGGGGCACATTGGCGTGACGGGCGCGGGGTTTGGAGGGTCCCGCGGGTCCAGGCGAGATGCTCTCAGGGGGGCTCTCATCTCCAGAGCTCTCTCTAAAGTAGAAATGGGCAGCGCCTCCCTCACGCGGGCGACTGTTGGGGAAAGCAGCCAGAGCAGCCTCCTGCATCTGCCTTTCAGCCTCCATGGCGGCCCATTCCAGCATGTAAGTGCCGGCATTCTCGTCCTCGGACTCTCGTCTTGCACCCTTGGGCTGACGCTGGACAGTCTGGGAGGCGGGAGATGAAGTGCCATCGGCTATTTTCCTTCGCGACTTGTTCCGCTGGAGATAGATATGGTTTGTGTAGGGGGTGATGTCGGTCTTGTCGGTCGGTCTCGTGGCAGGGCCGGCGTCTCCTACTCTTCGGGTGCGTCTCGACGTCTCGATAAGCTGGGGAGCGAAGCGGCGTTTCGGCAGCTGGCGGGAATCTTGGTGCTTTGGTGGCTGGCGCAGCTGTTGCTCGAAGGGGTTCGGAGAGGGAGTTCGCGGAGTGTGCTCAGGTGTAGGCTCAGGCGCGGGACCTGACTGCTGTCCTTGCTGCTGTCCCTGCTGTTGCTGGGAGCCTTTCCGGACGGATTCGAAGGTGGTCTCGATCGGGACGGGAGCGAACCGCCTCCGCGGCTCGGTGGATTGAGCCATGGCGGAGGACGGTAGAAAGATTGAGGGCGATAGTACGAAAGAGGGTTAAAGCTGCAACCTGAACGAGATCGGAGGGATCAGGAACAGGTGGGAGGGTGGAAAGTTCAAGTCCAGACGGGTAGGACCGAAATTGGTGCGGTAGAGGACCCTTTGTAGTATAAGGAGGGGAATGATGGGACGAATATGACGCTCGTCCTTTTGTCGAAAGTTTGTAAGGTATGTTGGCCTGGCGGTTGCCTCAGCGAGGTTGGAGGTTGGCCGTCTGTGGTTGGGTGGTTCGTTGGAGTCGGTGTCGCTGGTGCTGTCGCTGCCCGTGCGGACGCGCAGCAAGAGGGAGGAGAAAGAGGAAGGCGGACGGGCGGATCGTGAGTTTTGTCTAAAGACGGGAGTCAGAGAGACGAGGTACCTCTTCTGACTTTGGAGTACCTCAGGTGGGTGAGGTATGTAGCGTGAGCAGAGGAAGGGAAGCCGCGGCGTTTGGAGAGAAGAATGCTAAGAGAATTGGTCACGCAGCAAAGTAAGGTAGTCGACGGGAAGGAAGTACGAATAATGCAGTGACGAGAGTGAGTAACAGCGGCAGCGAGAACGGCAGCGATGGCAGCAGCAGCAGCAGCAGCAGGTCGCAGTCGCAGGGAAGGGGCGAGTGAGAAGGAGTAATAATGACACAGTGGGCGCATCCGAGAAAGGTACGTACCGCGAGAGAAAAAAAAGGTACATGAAGCCACTGTTCTAAGTAGAGCTACAAGGCTTTATGTGGCACTGCTGGCGTCCGGAGATGAGGACGCCATGTACGGGTACGTTTTCTGGAACTTGCCTGATTTACTACCTACCTTAGGTAGGGTGAAGTATTTCTAGCCATGTACATCCACTTACTTCTAGACGGGACGGTGACCACCGGCGACCGCACTTCAGACTGCAACTGATCCAATGTGCTGTGCCTGTGCCCATGCGATGAGTCTCCAGGGAAGCATGCGAGGGTGTAGTGGGGTTTTGAAGCTGGCAAGGCAAGGTACCTCGAGAGTGGGATGACAGCCAAGTACCTCTACCGTCCCTGACAAGAGCCGTACTGTGCTCTCGCGGGGCAGGAACGCTGTGGTGGAATGAATGATGCCATTGGGCGACACCAACAACCCCGACTGCAGCTTCCCTCGACGTTGTGAATGCCTTGTTACTCGGAAGGAACGTTGGGGGTGGAAAGCCACCTTCCTCATGAGAGACACTCCTTCATAAATGATAATCAAAAAGAATTTTATTTTCTGAGAGAAAAAAAAAAAACGAAATAAAACGGAATAATCCAGACGGCACCAAGCAGTGATCGTCACCCCGATGTCGCACGGCCGACTGCCCCGCCTCCCGTCTCCCCCTCTGAGGTCGTCTGTCTCTGCCCCCAAAAAGAAGCTCACCCAAAGAATGGAAAAAAAAAACACAGTCGCATTATCAGAGGGTCACACCTTGCAGGTACATTGCCGCTCCCGCTCCCACACATTCCGATTGACCAATTCCGCCCTTCTGATCTCCCAGCTGTTACCACAAATCCACGATACCTTGTACCTCGACCGTCTCTGCGGCTCCCAAGCACCACAGCAGACACGGAGCTGCTCCTTGAGGTCCCAGGTCCCCTTCTTTTCTTCGCCTCTCGTCTGGTCTGTCTCCGACTCTCTCCAGTCAACCCATTCAACCCAGCTAACCCTCTCTTTTCTCCAGTCACCCATTTTTTTCGTCTCGAAACCCATTCTTTGTTTCTGTACAGCCCGCAATTCTCGTACGAAGACAGTGTCTACACTCCAGTCCAAGGCTCGGTGTCAGTCTCACGGATACCGATACCACCGTCGCAACCGTGGGTACCGGAACGCTTCCAGCAGGTCAGAAGGTCGCAGCGTGAACCGGAGAAACAGGCGGGACCGGGGCAGGGCTTCTATCAAATTGCCCATCTGACTTCCTGGTTTTCAGGGGACCGTCGGTGCCCAAAATGCCAATAATTTCGCCCTCCCCGTTAAACCGCTTCTGATACCTCAATCTGCCCCTTGACATCATCGCCTCAACCGACTTATTTTTTTCTCGCCTCGGTCCCGCCCAAGGGTACGAAAGCCAAGGGTCAGACAGAGGCCCAGAACCACACTGCGGCCATCATGCATGCCACCCTTACCCTTCGACTGGTACCTTCGCCGTGCTCTCCGCAGTCCGTACCCGTACCGCGTGCCTGAACAGTACGGATACACCTTCTAGGCATCCCGTGCCGTCGCCTATTGCGTATCCGTACAGCACTGAGTACACCGAGTACGGGGCTCGCAGACGGGACCGGCACCAGACCACTCCAGCCGGCACCAAAGAGGAATGCTTGGCCTGCGTTAGAAACATAGAACACGGCCGACGCCCACAGACGTTGCCAACTACGCAGTACCTTGGTCTTCGCCGCCTCCAACCTTCGCCTCTGTCTCACGGCCTCGGCCTCGACCTGGACCTCGACCAGTGCTACTGCTTATGCACCAACGTGGAGAGAAGAGCCCTAGAGACAACACTCCGCCAACACCTGACGGAAATGGCGCCTGTTCCCCCGGAAGCGTCTCCATATCATGCCGGCCACACCACCCGCCCCTACCTTACCTCACCACCGTGCTGTCGAGCACGAACACTTCTGTCACCCGAACTCGCTGGCCAGCCTTTTGCACCAACCGATGGATTCGACTGCTCTGTCACAAGGCCTGCTGCCCTACCAGCTGCTCTCTTTGGTTGGATCGATGCCGTCTGTCGAGTTCGCGGGGTTCCTCTCACCGGTCCATCATCCCCGCCTGAATATCCGTGCCAAAGTCCCCGGACTGCCAACCACTGCACCGTCGGCTCCCGGCCTTGGCCCCCTGGACCGTCGCCCAGCTTTCCAAAATAGGATGAGAGAAGATTCACAACCATTCCACGGCATCCATGGCTCACCCCCAGATTGCCGCGCTCTTCGAGAATTCTCACTTCCCCAGAATTTGGCACGCGTCCAGAATCATCACTAATTTTGGCGACCGCTATGGAGGAGGCCGTATTGCTGAGATGAGCAATGCGGCGTTGGCGTGGCTGAGCTGCCGTTTACCGTTTACGAGTCAAGCCCCGAGATTATTTCACGAGCCCTGACCGGAAGAACCTGAAAAGACCCGGTTCGCCATTTCCATTTCCAAGGTTCACTTCGCATCAAACCTGGGTCTGTCCTGTCGAATCTTGCCCGGAGCAGCTCCGCTCGGGGAGTCTTCCGTATTGCTTCGCTCGTTCATGCACCGCGCTATCTGACGCTACTTGACACCTCAACTGGCGCCATGTTTTCTTGGGCATCGCAAACATCGGATGACTGCCGCTTTTGGAGAAGTCAGTTGAGCTAACTGAGCCACGCAACCGATATGGTAGAGAGATGTCCAAGTTCGCAAGTCTTGCCAGCGCATCAAACCCAAGACCAGAAGCATTCCACATTCCGCGCACCAAAAACAACCAACAACAAGTAACTACAGAAAGACTGACCGAGGGAGCCGGGCAACGACCAAGTCTCTTGCCTCCACATCGCGTACCTCTGGTCCGTTTCCCGCACGGCGCACGGGGGTCGCAGCTACTCACCTCCCTATCTCGGCCGGCATAATAGTGACGGGCACTTCATCTGAATCAATCGCAACACCACCAGATCCCGAATCAAGCTCACCGACGATCAACAACCCCCAATCGAACCCCCACACAGTTCACGCCTTACAATCCAGCGCCTCCTCGCGGTCAGCTAAGACTACACTATCAAAGCTTGACGGCCATCCCTGGGCACTCCATCCCTTGCTTCGACATGTTACTTCAGATCAGTGAGGCTGCCCTGTGCCACCGGCGCCCCAGTCTCACCGATACCGGCATCAGTTGCCCTGCGTTGCAAACATTTCGCGATCGATTAAGCTCTAACAGTAGAAAGACAACGCATTCGAGTTCTCACCTACTACCTCCGCATGCAGCCCCATCATCATGCAGGATACCATGGACCGGGGAATCGCACAAGTCTCTTATTCGGCCCAGCTTCACCTGAGCCAAGCATTAACCCACAGCCGGCCTGGTCGGTGAGGCTTCACGATAACTTCACCGTCTCCCGGCTTTCCAGGTTGTCAGCTCCTTCAGTCTTCATATCCGAGCGCCCACGACATCGCAATCGCACACGTGCCCAGTTGCTGTTTTTTCCTGCCACGCGCGCTCACATCGATGCTACCCCTCGTCTGCAAGCCACCTGCACAACGAGGAATTTTCGTGATAATCAATAAGTTCAAGCCAATCAAAGTGGCCGGCTTTCCGTTGCTCTGCGGCCGCTAAGCGGTCCTTAGATGCATCTGACACACACCGCTCAGCGGGACCTTTTGTTGAGGCCACTCAGAAGTGGCATTCACCGATAGATTGGGTGCTGCCGGCCGTCTCGGTACCTGTCTTGCTTCCAGTCGCATGTTTAGCATCGAACTGCTGGGGAACTGGTCGCACCGTCCGGACACATCGCCCTGCCTGGCCCCGGAAGCCACAATTCCAGCCCCGCGAAAACTCAATAGGGTGCGCTGCCGGACACACCCGCAGCCGGCCGGCGGGGACCTCCTTTCCCCGCGCTTCCAGCTCCACTTTTGTCCGTGACTCGCCGGTCCCAGGCGGGCTACACACGTTACTTTAGCGGAAGCCACGTCCGTCAGTTGAAGGAACCGCTCGGGTGGCGGCGGGAAATGGGATCTTGGCTGCCACATCTGAAGACGTGGAGCTCGGAGACCCTTCCAAAGAAGACTCGGAGGCAAAGAGCGGGCACTGTGCGATTGTGTTTGAGACCTCTCGCCCCAGGACCCTTTGACGATCATTCTTCGACATTAAAGGTTGATCCCCGACAATGAGACTGAGGCCACGTAAGCGGCTCCAAAGACTTCAGATGATACGGACTTCTCTGTATCTGGCCTGCACAACCGACTTCATATCCGCGCTTGTGTCACAGGAAGTCAGCAGGAAACCAGCGTTTGTCGGCGGGGTTT